CGGGCTTTAGCAACCTTGGCATCGGAGGTTATTTGGCTACAAGCATTATTGTCAGAATTACGCAGCCCAGTTACAACCGCTCCAGTGCTTTGGTGTGATAACTTGGGCGCCACCTACTTGGCGCATAATCCGGTGTTTCACTCTCGCTCCAAGCATCTCGAGATTGAATTTCATTTTGTTCGTGATCGGGTAAACAAGAAACAGCTTCATGTTCAATATCTTCCCGCTACTGATCAGTTGGCCGATGTGTTAACTAAACCACTCACAAGGCTGCCTTTTCGTAAGTTCGTCTCCAAGTTCCACCTCTCCGAGGTTCCACTTGCGGGGGCGTGATAAAGCATCCAAGACTTCATTATGACACATCCATATCAGCACACTATTTGTAGAACACTCCTACAATCATATCTGCAATATTCATCAAATCCTAAGCCTGCAATCACATTTATTTCATATCTTTGCAAATCTCCTTTGCATCTGTACAGCTCATGCTAGCCATCTATAAATGGCAGTCTTGTACTGAATGTAAACAAGAAACAGAGATATAATTCTTCCTCTCTTAAACAAGTACACTATAGTGTTTCTTCAGGGGGGGGGGGTTTGGGCACGGCGACAAATTTGTTGTTGGGAGCAACCGTGGGAAGCAGACTCAGTGAACGGAGCTCGGAGGGCAAAAAATCCGGTGCATTCGTGTGTACAAGAGGTTGCATCCATGCCGTTCATCCTTAAGTTACAAATAATTTGCCCTTATAAATTATATTTTAATTTTGTTAAAGGAGTGTTTGATTAATGTGTGTAAATTAACGGTGGGCGGAGCTCGATTCAGGTGTTGCGGGCTTCTTTCCTTCGTGCAACGTTTCATTTCGCTCCCTGTAGGTATAATAGGGTTGCCCATAGCGTAGGTATAATAGGGTTGCCCATAGCGTAGGTATAATGGTGTAGACACTTGTCGACCATCGTGCTTTATTTATTTAATTTTCCTAACCTGATCTTATAAGGCCTTGTATTTTGCCGTATCTTTGCTGCTTCCCTCTCGGGATAACTTTGGCAACAAAAAAAAAAAAAATTGGTGTTTGTTGCTAAAGGGCTTTGATGGGTTTAGTGCATCAAAATAGGGTTTTCATGTTTGTTAAAATATTTTCTATAAGTACAATCTTACATCGATCACTGTTATCACTCGATTCCTTGCATATTCCTATTGATTCCCGTCAATTACACTATGGGTAGTCAACCTCAACCAGACTTAAGAGAGGTTACGGTCCCACCGAGCTTTGCTAAAAAGGAAACAAGACATACCATTTGAGCTTCTAATACCCCTAGCACCTCGTATCATCCGTATGCCTTAACTTCAACTATATCCTTTGACTGTTTTAAGCTCATTCAAATTGACTCTAAAAAATTTTACCGAATAATATTGAGCTTTAACAAATTGCTCCATGTCTTATCTTTGAGCCTCAAATATTTTGTTCTCAGCAGTCTCGAGCCTAATGTCTGCGTCATGACCTAGTGTTCGATCTCTAACCATAATTAAGAGCACGTTACAATCAAGTTACAAACCTCTTACCAACATTCATAAGTATGTGGGCTACTATGTACCACAACACGAACAACACCTGACCGCCGTTCACAATCCGAACCATACAATTAGGAGACCAAAGCAGCCAAATTCTTTCCAACCTGAATAGGTAACACTGAGTACCCCCTGTATTGATAAGTTTACTGAGTGGAATAAGGGGGTGTCTGTAAAGAGATTATCAATGATGAGTATGGGTGCACTCACCGAAACCAATGCTACTATCCACCTATACGTGTATGCTTACCAGTAACATATTTGTCGCCTTAGGCTAATTTTCGCAACGAAAAAACCAAATGTTCATAACAATGTAGTTTCGTTGATAGTTGACACCCTCAATCCCTCGTATCACTTTCCCTATAAAAAAATCCATACAAATTATATTGTCATAGTTAGATGGAATTTGGTCAAGTGGACACATGTATTCTTCATAATGGTTCAAGGGGTCGTTTGCTTGAGGGTTTTGGTGATGGATTTGGTCATGGAAATATATCCATCATGGACTTGAACCGAAATCCATCGTTTGCCTTAGGGAATTAGGGAGATGGAATTTGTGGGGCCCACCACTTTTGGGGTTCCAAATCCGTGGACCCCACGGACTTGGAAGTTCCACCTCTTGAGGTGGGATTTGGGTGATGGATTAAAATCCATGATGGTAAATTACCTTTCTACCCTTAATTATTTCTTTAATTACAAATTTGTCCTACTTTAATTCAATGGTCATGCAACTGTAAACTTTTATAATTTCGTATTTTATAAAATTGAGAATTTATCATTTCATTTTGTAATATCGTATTTTATTTAAATATGAATGTATATGTGATTTGTTAGATTCACCTAGAAACACTTTATGCTCATCTTGTACATTATTATTTGATTGATTGTCGGATTCCACATCGGTGAGTTAGCAAGAAGATGATGAGTTGTAGCAATAAAGCGAGCAATTGGCTGCAATTGATACATAATATTGCGTACATTATTAGATGAATTGTTTTTTTTTATGAAGGATTATTAGATGAATTTTTAATTAGTGCCAAGATGAATTGTTAATTAGTGCCAAATTGTAATACATTTCTATATTTGTAGTTGAATTATTAATCCACAAAGTGGTAAAGAGTTTAAAATTTCTTTCTATGTTTTGGATTAGTTTTAAATGAAAGATTTGAATTATAATATAGAAATATAATTAAATAAGGGTAACTAGGTAATTTGTATTTAATATCCACAAATCTAATCAAACAAAGTCCATAATCAAATCCATCAAGCAAACAATAGACTTGTTCAAATCCATAATGCCACCAAATCCATCATATATCCATGGTTTTCCAAAATCCAAGTTTTAGCAAAACCTTCATTTTTCAAATCCATGAAGCAAATGACCCGCAAATGGTACAGAAGAATTTGGTCATGAAAATTGAAATGGGCTCACATTGAGATCTTATGACAAACAAACCCAACTTGGTGGTTTTGAAATACTTGTTAAAGAAAAGTTATACTCAGAAATACAATATTTCTATTTTAAAATTGAAAACCCAACTTGATGGGTTTTGTCTTCTATTCCTTGTTGTTTGGGCCGTTCACTATTTTTTATTCTAGGGTTCTGAGCCCATTAATATGACTGAGACCGAATAAAAAATATCTTCTGCATGCACCAAAAATATCTTCGGCCGGCTCAATTATACAAAGGGTCATAAAAAGTTAGTACCTCAACTTTAATCCCAAACAGATGCAACCCTGAAGTCTTGAGACAATGCACAAATTAGTCACCATACCTTTTCCCCGTCAACTTCCTCGTCCAAATTACACACATTAGTGATAAAAATCCTTCAAATTAACAACGATTAACCAACAACACCATCACTATCCGATTTGAATATACAAATTTAGTGGTAAACTTGTAAGGAATCAAACCTTAGTGATCGATATGCCAGTGACTCGCAAACCAGTGACTCCTTCTGTAATTCACCAGACCCCAACCGCCTATATAAACTCGCGTTCCACACTGGAAGCTGCATCCCATCCACTCAAACCACTCCCTCTCTTTCAGCTTTTATCCCCTAGGGTTTCCCCCCCAGTTCTCTTTCCTTTTCCCCCCTTGAAAACAATGGCAGCCGCTGATACCGAGTACAGGTGCTTCGTCGGTGGCCTAGCCTGGGCTACCACCGACGAGGCCCTCCTTGAGGCCTTCAGCACCTACGGCAACGTCGTCGACTCGAAGGTCCGTTAGCGAACCGGATCTGACTCGGCTCCCAGTCGGCTTTGTCGATCCAGGATCTGCAGTTTTCTGAATCCGATCTCGTTTCTCTGTTACTGTTACTCTCTGTTACTGTGTTACTCTGTTTTACTGTTACTGTTACTCTATACTACTCACCGCTAATCGGTACGTTCATCTTCATCCCTGCGGGAGAGATCGATCGTTTTTCTTTAAAATTCCTCGTTTATTATAGATCTGAATCTGTCGTTCCTCTGTTTAATCGTTAGATCTGTTGTTCTGGATGGGATTTTTTCCGTGTAGATCTAACGGATCTGTGTTCTTTGTGTTGTTTTGGCTACAGATCATCAACGATCGTGAGACTGGAAGGTCTCGCGGATTCGGATTCGTCACCTTCGGGGACGAGCAGTCGATGAAGGACGCCATCGCCGGGATGAACGGCCAGAATCTTGACGGACGTAACATCACCGTCAACGAGGCTCAGTCCCGTGGAAGCGGCGGTGGAGGCGGTGGATTCCGCAGTGGAGGCGGCGGTGGTGGTTACGGAGGAGGCCGACGTGAGGGCGGATACGGTGGTGGCGGCGGTGGAGGCTACGGTGGCGGCCGTCGTGAAGGCGGTGGCGGTGGCTACGGTGGCGGCGACCGCTACGGCAGCAGGGGAGGCAACGACGGTGGCAACTGGAGGAGTTGAAACCATTTAGCTTTAGATTAGGGGGATTGGGGGTCGTGATGACGTGGATTGGATGATCGAGAGTCTGAAACTATGTTTTAAGAGTTAATTAGGGTTATCGGTGGTGCTGCGTTCTCTTTTTTGTTCTCTGGTTACTGTTCGGTTCGAGTCATGGTCCATGTACTGGTTTGGTTTATCGTTACTGTCCGTGTTATGAAAAATGAAATCTGAGGTACTTTCAGGAAAATCTTTGTTATGTTATTCTAATTGCGATTCCAATTTCAACCCAAACCATCGTTAAGCTTGACCTAATCAAGTTTATGAGGTCCACTATGTTTATAATTGGACCAAGTAAATTTAAGCCGGGACCCGTCTCGAGATCCTTTCCGGGATATACGGGTCGTTCCCTGAAAAATATCGTTATTCTTTGAATGGACCTTGCAAAATATCTAAAAGAATAGTGGTGTCAAATAAATATCTTGCAACGAAGAAAAGACCACTACATGATAAAAAACGGATAAGTGAACAATTTCGAATAATTCACTCTTTTATCTATTATTGAATTGTGGATTAGCTTTGGACCTATGGTTAGGTACTTAGGTTAGTCAACTAAACCAGATTCAAAATTTAACCATTACATTGAGTTAAGATATGAGCAATCAACCCAGCATAGGCAAAACAAACGCTGCTGCCTTCCTCATGATGAACAGCATAACATGTTTAGTACCCGATCTTTCAATAGATAACTACTATAGGACATTACATTTTCCTAGCAAATGTCGAAACCCGCAGTGGATTCTCGTGACATTCGGTCACATAAACCCACACAGATCTCCTTCCAGGGCGCTGTTCTTTCCGAGTTCGAGCAGCTCTGCAAGCAGCAGCTTCCATCAAGATTAACTGAACAAGACGGGAGGACAAATAGGAGGCGGAACTACATGTTACACTCTGCCATTCTGTACTTACACGAGTTTCATATCGTCAATCAGCCTGACCAAGACCATCGCTCCCATCCCCTGCCTTGGATATCGCAATGTACTGAGACCCGGGGGGTTTCTTGGACAGCGATGCAACCTCGGCATTCTTCCTTAGGACGGCTCCTGGTGATGGGTAAGGGCGTTGCTGGAAAAGAGGGCCCTGAACCAGCACAGGAAACACAAACAAAACAATGCAAACAGGGTTAAGATGCAGCGAATAATCAAAGCGAGATTCGAACCATTATGTGTAATCCCATCAGTTAGTTAAGAAGTGTATATAGCATACCGTGGCAGTTGTATCGGCTGCTCGTGGCTGCACCCCTTTTAAGCCCACAACCCTATCAGGTAAAACATAACATCATAAGTTGAAAAAGCAGTCTTGTTAAAATAAGATCAAGAGACGCTAACGGCTTATATTGTTATGATATTCCTTACCAGCCACCACGAGGAGCATCGGAGTAAGCGCTTGGATCCATGGGGTCCAGCTCATCATCCTCGGCGTAGGAACGTTTTCTGCTCTCTTTTTTGTTGTTCCCTTTCCCAAATGGAGGTCTCCCATTTGGCCTGAAAAATCAAATGTCAGCAGTTAACATAAATAAAGTTTACTGCGCAGCAGCTACCTACATATTATAGCCTTCAGTATGATGCATACAATAGAGTAATTTAGCAGTAAAATAAGAACCTACATGAATTCAAAGGGTAGAGGAATTGGTGATCAGAAACTATTCTATAAAGTACCTCTTTTCTGCCCCTTTGTTGTTATGATTGCCATTGGAATTCCCAAAAGTGCTAGCCTGCTGCTGGTAGTTTGGAGTTATGTATTCACTTTGAGGAAGATTAAGTTCTCTGCACAGAGTTTAGTCGAGAAGAAATAAGTAAAGCAATTGCTACCGCAGAAGTACAGCTTAATATAAGTTGTGGATGAACCTACCGTGTGCAATGATTGCAGTAACCCCATGATTGTACAAGGCCTACACCCCAACCACCGCATTCCATGCATCTTGTATTGTAACGTGATTTCTCATTCATACTTCCTGGGTCAGCTTGTACCGTATTCGCAATGGAAGCTCGCTGTGAGGCAAGTACAGATGATGAATCAGGATGCTGCCATTGTGATACTTGGGTTTTGGTATTAAAGTAATATTTATGGCCTGCAAATAACCATGGATAATTAGAAGCAGAGAAGAGACTTAACTAATAACTATGCTTGCAATCTGTCTCATATATCGAGTTTATAGTGGCACTTTTATACATTATTCACAAACTATTGCAGATCCAAATACATGTTCATCAGGCATATTAACATAACAAAAATCTTTAGAGCAAAAGTGCAAAACATTAAATCATGTCAGCTGATTTGTGGAGCAGTAGTTATGCAGATACAAGCACAAAAAGAAGGTAAGAATCAGAAGAAAAAGGAGCAGAATCTGGCCACCTCAACCACTTGGTCCACACGATTATCATAATTCAATGACTTCTTATTACAAGTAATCTCATAAATTAACCAACCTTGAAATTCAAAGAGCAAAGCAAGAAGTCACAAGCAATTTCCTCCACATTCACAACTTCCAGCTACGTTCTCCAGTTTTAATGCATACCTGTTGTTTCATCCACTGCCTCCACCCAATTGCCAGGAAGAGCCAAAGGTAAAGGGACCTGCTTGGCCGGAGGAGTTTCAAGAGGCCTCTCCCATTGAGTCACCCCAGTGCTTTCATTATAGTAATAAGGAGCACCTGTTGTGGGATCTTTTGCTTCTGCCTAGACAGAAATAATAGGATTCAGCAGCGTGCAAAACTACCAATTTCCGTCCATCAACTGGTACACATCATACCATTTGAAATTGTTCATTTCCAATAACAGATTACACGCCATCATAACCACATTTGTAAGGGGGTTGGAGAATGCGACATCAGTCATAAGTAGTCATTTGCTTTACAGATACCAAAATAAGTCAAGCAAAAGAATGCATTATTTGCCTAGATCAAAACTCATCCAACCAAATCTGATTTTGCTGCTTCTATCATTCCTCTTTCAAGATATTACAATCAGAAATACCCAAGCCTATGCAGGTAATTTACGAATCAAAACAACTGATCACTGATGTTCTTGAATCGGTGCAAAAGTAGTAATAGTTACTCACCCATCCAGGAAGCAGCTTATTCAACTGAACATGCTGTGACGAAACAGTTCTCGACTCCTGAAAGGCAAATTGCTACATTAGATGCTAAGAAAATGGAAATGATGGATCAGAAGTACTATTCAAGCAACATCAGCAAACGAAACCCGAAAACTGTCATCTTGAGATACATTTTACGATATGCGAAGTTCAGAAATTGCTAATCAACGCTTTCAGCATAACCAGGCTGGTTCATAAATGTTACCCATAATTTTGGCCACAAACAAAAATTCAGTAATAGAAACCACGAATGGAGGTACATACTATTGGTTTATTTGTTCCCAATTCATGTCCTCTCTCTCTGTTGTCTTTCAGAATACCCCTTGCCATCAACTTTTGCTTGAGATAATCGGGTAGCTCCATAGTAGCAGATTCCTGTTTCGTTTCCTTATCAGGCAGCGGCCTTGAAGAACCATAATATGCCCCTCCACCAGGCACACCATACCCATTCCCAATTTCCATGCGACCTGCAGAAGAATTAAAAATAAGAGCACTGTTCTACCTTGCACATAGAAGCAAGAAAGCAAACTATGAATAAGAAAGATAGCTAATTTAGTCATCCACCTTGTTCAGGAACCGTAGGCTTCCCATGCTTTGAAGCCATTTCAGAGCGATGGTCAGTCGTCATCTTCAACAAGTGCTCCTGTAATACGTTTCACACTGATAAATGCCAAAGACAACCTCGAAAAGGCAATTCCTTCAGAACTATACTGTAGTCTACATCAACACATCACACCGAACTCCAGAGCTATTGACATACTTTTATAGCGTTGGGATCAAGTCGTTGAGCAAATAAATCAGCACCATCCTTGGAGGCTTCTTGACTTGCAGCTCCTGAATCTCTGCAACAAAAAAGCAGAATATCATTTTGTTTGCACTTCTCAAAATTCATAAAACCATCATAAATCCCCCCCTTCACCAACCTTTGATGAGCTTGAATGACTCTTTGTGCCTCGATTTCCTGTCACCAACAAAACCACGAATCTCTAAAGTTCAGTCACAGCATGCGGCATAATGACACGCTTAATTAATTGAGCGGGAAACCGAAACATTTCAGAAGAAAGAGCAGCTTAATTACTTGTTCACGGAGCACTGCTCGCTGAGCCGCGGATTCAATCGCACTGTCGCCGGCATTGGAAGAGACCTGAAGGAATCGATTGTCCTTCCCCTCACCCAACGCTTCGCCCATGCTTCTTTCCCCCACGTTTGGAATTAGGGCTTCGAAAGGAGCAGTTAGGAAGAACGAGTTCTCGCGCGCGCGCGAGCGAATTCAGTCCAGCGTCTCCGGCAACGAGGAATGTATCCTCAGTTTAGCGCCTCCGGCCCGGATTCCGGCGAATGATCGACTTTCGATGTGGCTGTCTGATAAACTTGAGGAAAGTTTTGCTTGCGGCCTGTAACGGAGCGGAGTTCAGAGAGATGGCAAGATAACGACTAACAAGAGAGTCGGTAAAAGTACGCTCACAAATTGGTACTTCTACTTTTCAACCACTACAATTAAATCCTTATATTCATTTCAAAGAGATTTCTCATTATAGTTTGTATGAATTCATAAGTAGGAGGCTGATATGTTAAAACTCGTGCTTTTTTGAGGACCGACACGTCATTCTCAGAAAATAAAGGACCCAACAAAAGCGCTCGAAAGAGAAACCAGAGGCAACGGGGAAAAGAGATTCCCAACGGAAAATTTGCCGGGAAAATGGCAAACCCTAGGAGGAGCTCCTACTCCATCAACATCGGCGCCTCCGACGACGACCGCGATGGTGGCGCCCTCCAGCCTTATCCCTTTGCTTCTTCTTCATCGTCCTCCGCCGCAGCGTTATTGCTCTATCTCAAGCACTGGCTGAAGAAGCCACACGCCTTCCCTTTCCTGCTCTCAGTCTTCCTCCTCCTTACATGGCTTTCCCTCGTTCTCCAGCAACGCTCTTCCTCGCATCCCTCTGCCGATTCCTCCTCTTCTTCTTCGCTGCTAGGAGACGGTGCCGTCCGGTGGCGGAAGCACGAGGAGGCTAATTTGGTCCGATTCAAATCCATGTCATCACCCATTGCCAAGGACAACCGCGGATGGCTTCTCGACCCCGTAGCTCTCGCCGTCGAACATGGCGTTAAAGGTTTCCTCCTATCCCTAATCAGAAATGTCGCCGCTTGAGTTTTCTCTTGTTCTGTGCAATGGTTAATTCGTCTGTTTTTTTTCTTCTTCTTCTTCCTGTTTCAGGTGGAGCAGTTTCTTGTGCTTCGGGTCATGTGGGTCAAATCCGACCCGGTACCCGGAGGGGAAACCACAGGCATAATGCCTGTAACGAAACGTTTGTAATTTGGGGTGCCAAGACTTTGTTCAGGGTAATGATTTCTTTTCATCCTTTCTCTGCCATTGATGAGATGATTGAGAGCTTCTGCATGTTCTGTCTATTAGGGGGGAGATGTGCAATGTTAAGAATCCTGAACCTGTCCCATAGGAATGTTAGCTTGTCATTGTCCCATTTCGATTTGGATCCACATTGTTCTGATTTCTGAAGTTACTTCTATGTGTTTGTTGTGCACATGGTTCATCTTTGGGAAGAAGACATTGCAACCTATAATATACAGTTCTGGACTTCTTGTTTCAATAAATTGTCATAGCAAAGCCATAATCTTTGTTTGGTAGTATAATATGGAGAGGATCCAAAATGTTTTTATCATGTGATGATAGATGGAGAAAGTTTAAAGAAAGTGGAGAAAATGGTTCTTGTTGTGTGGGTTTGATGATTTGCTGATCTTGATTAAGGTGTTGTTGTACTCTTATTGCAGGTGGAGAACCATCAGATTGTCGATAAAGGTTATGCACAAGTGGTAATAGAAGCAGATGAAGTGGCTGTTGCAGCCAGCACAAGTGGGACGGCTCATGCTCTTGTAAATAAGGATTCGATGCACAGCACGTTCTTCATCGGTTGCCAAGACTGTACAACGAACCCTAGCAATTCCTCCGAGTATGGAGTTTGGCATGACCTCTGAAGCTCTCCCCATCCAGTAATCAGCACCCCACCGCACCTCTTTCGTACATTTGTGAAGATGTTTGTTCCATTACAGGTTTAGCAGAGCTCTATTTCCCTGTTTCGGCTATGATTGTGATAACCTTGCTGGATTCAGATGGTTACGGGGAGAGAGAAATGGCTTGTATTTGTTTTGTACATAGAGAAGTACAGATGTAGAGAGCTTGTTGTGTATAACCTTCTGTTGTTTTTTCAATCTGAACTTGAAGCCTTTTTAAAAGCAGCAGACTTTGGTATGGTATTCTTTCTGCTAACGTAGTGGATGAACACCCCTCAGAAGAGGGCAAATCAACATTTGAATCGAATTGGCTTAAGATACATTTTAAAGGGACGATTGGTGCTTGATTGAATCAAATATGTTATATGCATTTATTTTGATCCAGTTTTGATTCTTCTTTACCTGAGATTTCGATCCGGTTCTATACCAATTCTGCCGAAGCTTAGAATCGTCCTAAGGTCATTGAAGAATGTCATTGTGAATATTGTATAATCCATCTTTACTTGACCGAGATTCGATGCTGGAGAAAAGAAAGGAAAATGAACATACATTCTTTCATCCGCTTCCAATGCTTGAAAGCCAAATAAAATGCAGCCTCCCTCAACAGTTTCTTTCAAGCAACTTCCAAACCTTGCGCAACCTTCACAATCCTTTCTGATTCATGCCACAGCGGCGGCTTGATTGACAAGGAAAAAGAATAAATAGGGCCATCATCCACACTTCTTTCTGCAAAATCACTGCAACAAAACTTCTCCATCTCCCCCAAGACCATTCCTTTCCAAGCGGTCCTCCAACACCTCATCTCCCTGACGAAAACCAACACCTCGGACATCGGGACCCACCTCCTCGAGCTCTTCCATTCTGACGCGAGCATCGGGTTTGTCGATCCCCTTCAAGTTGGATCATCTTATGATGAGGGGATTCTTTTGAGTGGGAGCCAAGCAAATGAGACCTCTGCAGACATCAACCCTACCACCACGACGGTGAAGGTAGTAGGAAAGCTTATGGGGCATTCAACAATGCAGGTGAGAAGGTGTTGAAGGAGAATCCAGGTGCGTTGAGCAACAAGCAAATTGTGGGGATGGCTAGGGAGGTGTTGAACAGGCAAGAGTTTGAGAATCAGCATCCTTGCTCGTATTGCAGTGACAAGAATGCTGATGCCGCTTTCCTATGCCAATGAACATAAGAGCTGATTAATTGATTGCATTGAAGCCTGGACACTAATTTGTTGTGTTGCTAGTATTGTATGTTATAATATTACATTGATCAATAAAGATACCATTTGTGTCAATAAGAACTGATAGGACAGTAAGGAGAATGAATTTACCTCATTTTCTCAGATGAACTTCGTAGAGATAAAAAAAAAAAAAAAAAAAGCCTGCTGACATTTGCTCTCGTCTAAGCTCAACTCACGCCAGACCTGTAAACTGGGAAACCAACTATGGTGACCCTAAAAACTAATGATATATTCCAGACAGGAAGAGAAAATCATGCTTGCATATCAGTTAGCAACTAATACGTCATCACGTGCATATCAGTTAACAGCTCATATGTCATGCAGCTTGATGGACATGCAGAAAGCTAAAGGGTGGCCACAGAAGCTTCATCAGAATCAGCAAAATGCCACCTTTAATTCTTTCGCTAGCCAAAATGTCCATTTCTCATGGATGCTTCTCTCTGCTATGACTCCTATTGGAAAAGACTGAACAGCAAGAAAGTTAAAACAGAGAAAATTAGCTCTTGGTTCAGCATCCCAACACACCTATCCTTTCATATGCATACAAAAGCAACCACTAAAGTGAAGGAAATGGAGAGTGAAGTGCTGGGATAAAGCTCCAGATGGCTTACTTGAAGCAGTTACCAGCAGCATGAGTTGGCAGCATTTCTGTTATCTGACATGCTGCTGACCGAAAAATAGAGAGAGAGGGAACGAGGGAAAGGAGTGCTGCAGTATCTGGCAAGGGCTGACTTCTTCGGTCACTTGTTAGACGCCCATTTCAACTCTTAATTCCATATGCAGGCATCCAGCTGCATAACCTGAGCCTGGAAACACAAATCGGAATGAAGTGTATTCACTCACTGTCTGGCAAGCAGTAGTCTTGACAATCATGCTGGTTCGTCGTAGGTGATGCTGGTTGCCATATGGGTTGAAGTACTCCATCAATCTCACGAGTCAACAAAGGAGAAGCATCAACAATCCGCCTGCTCTCTTGGATTATATAATCACAAGACTCATGTTTAGGAGCAGGCCTGAGTAAAGGCAGCTCCACACGAGGATTCTTAATATTTTTCGTACTACACAATTCTCTAGCTGGCAAAACATGGTTCAACCAAAAATCCGAAAGAGCCAACCTCATAACATTCCAGTACTCTCTGTCTCTATGGACCCTGAATAGACTACTTCCTCGTGGTGTCCACATATAAAAGTCCATCCAATCCCTATCCATGATCTCCAACAAACCCTGAGCTTGTGGGATATAATAGAGGGGGATTCGTTTCCATGGCTTAGCATCTTTCATATCATCAAAAAACGGACATTTTATCTCTAGCACGCCTCTAGATGGCAGTCCATAAAATGGTTTCTCTATTAACCCATCAGGCGAAGCTGCTATCCAATCATGTTCTGGATATCTCTCCCCATAGAGTTGAAACAAGGGAAATGCAATATCATGCCCTGTAATCAATTTGTACCTTTGAAGTGCTTCCTTTTCTTTAACATTGCCCCACCAGGTCGCCCAGTTTCCCCTGAATGGCTCCTCTGCACCAATCTTTTCCAACCACAGCTTCACCCGACGCCCACGCCATAACCCAATCGCCCCACCAAATATGCTTGCAGTCAATTTGGTTTTCCTTCTCTCTTGCCAGTTCTTGTACCAGTGCTGAAGGCTTTTAGCTTCGTGTAAGGGGTCGGAACTAAAATTTCTCACAGGAGGATGACCGTAGACCGGACGATGATTGTACAATAGTGGGTCAGACTGAAACTGTTCAATGCTAGGATCTCTACAGGCTTGCGTTCTGTAATTCCTTCCATTCTCAAGCAGGAAACTAAGTCGACCTCCAATCCACCTATAAGTACAATCAACATTACGAAACCATTCGATACTATCTTGACATCTCCTCAGCTTAATAAGCAAAAATATATAGGCTAAGAATGAGGAAAAATAAGAGTTTCCATGGCCAAGAGATGAGATAATTTTATAGGCATACCACTTTCTACATAGTATCTCAGGTGCAGAACAAACTCGCCAGGAAAGCTTGTGAGAAGTCGAGAGCATAGATACGCCTTTTCCTTATAGGTTGAGCTTCCTGGACAAATAACAATTGAAATGAAAAGGGCTTAGCTATATAAAATACACAGTCGCGTTAAGCTCCGTTGGCCACTTTGAACTCGCCGCATTTTCCATATTCAAATTCAACATGTGGCAAACCGCAAACATGATGAAAGTTTCAGAGAACTCACCCTCGAATTCCAACGGGAGGAATAATCGTCTCCAGTTGGCGATTGAGCGTCGGCGTTGGAGGCTCTGGAGGGCGGGCAGGCCGCGGCCGGAGACTGGGAGGTGGCGTGGCGCGGTGGTGGCGGCAGGTTTTGGCGGTTGAGATTTTCGTCAGAAAGAAAGAGAAGTAGGGATGTACAATATTACGAACAAAAATGCCCAGCTCAAAAGATGAAACGTACAGGCCTGTATGTCATTTACCAAGAAAAGGATGTGCAACTCTGATGGGCCGGAATAATGGGCTGGATATTTTTTTAGCCCAGCAGTTATGTGTATTTCATTAGCATAACCTTCTCTACAGCAAAGGCTAGCACACGATCAATAAGGCTCGTTTGTTTGTTGGATAAGAAAATGAAGGATTTGAGTTTTGAAATTTTTTGAGGGGTCGTTTGCTTGTGGGATTTGGGTGTTGTATTTGGCACCCAAATACCAAGCATTATGTATTTGATGCAAAAACATTGTTTGTTGAGGTATACAAATCCGTGGGGCCCACGGATTTGGATCTTATTTTTAGTTCCAAATCCGTGGACCCCACGTATTTGCAAATACCACATTTCATTTGGTATTTGCAAATACCACACTATGGAAGACAAATTTTTGAGACCCAAATACCAAATGAACTAAATCCTTGATAAAATTTCAACTAAGCAAACAATGTTATCTTTCAAATACAAAATGCAATAAACCCATCATAAATCCAAAGGTTTTCAAAACTCAAAACCTTCATTTTCAAATCCAACAAGCAAACAAGCCCTGAATTTATGATGGATTTGTTGAATTTTGTATTTGAAAGATAACATTGTTTGTTTAGTTGAATTTTTATCAAGGATTTAGTTCATTTGGTAAGTGGTTCTCAAAAATTTGCCTTCCATAATGTGGTATTTACAAATATGTGGGGTTCACGGATTTAGAGTTAAAAAAGTTGTCCAAATCCGTGGGCCACACGGATTTGCCTACCTTATCAAACAATGACTTTAGAAGAAAAAAAAAACATGATGGTTTGTATTTGGAGACCAAATATAACATCCAAATCCCATTAGCAAACAACACCTAAATAAAGATACTCAAATGTCAATGAATATTGATATTTCAGGGGACATTAGGGTCTATGATCACCAATTCACCATAGACAAATATGATTTAAACAGTTTTGGTTGACCCTACAAATAGAATCGGAAGGCTAAAATCCAAGGCCATTGCAAAAATCACCTTACTACAGGCTCAGTCCAGTTAGAAAGTCGAGTTTTACTTAACCTGACATCTAAAAAGTGTATTTGTATTTTATAATTCAATGTCGATATGGTTACAACACAAAGGACACTATCTTTATCTTTTGTCATCCACGATTATACTGTGTTGATAATAAAACAGAGATCAACCGACAGCGAAAGTAGCTTCTTTCACCTTGATTAATCTTTTGTCATCCACGATTATACTGTGTTGATAATTAACATCTCATATAGATAATAATACAGAGATCAACCAACAGCGAAAGTAGCTTCTTTCACCTTGATTAAGGGTGTGCAGCATCATTTCAATCGAGAGATCGAACCAAACCATGATAGGGTTGATCCAATAGCAAATATAAGGAGATCGGAACCAGATAATAAGTGCATTTTATTTGGTTTGTCCAATCCAAATCAAAAGGGACTTTTCTTTCTTAGATACCCACAAAGTATTATACCACATCTTGGTCTTGGCCAAACTGTCCACTCTTAATCTTGGATACATAGACTCAATATAGCCAAATGAGAAGCTCTTTTTGATATACTAGTACTCTAATGTAGCAACATTTTACTAATGTCACCATGATCATTTAGGAGAATCATGAATCAACCTTAACATGATTGCCTTGCCCTTTTCCTTTCCTCCCACATAAAATAAAAATCCCATTCCATAGATTACGATTAAGAAGACAAACAAGGCTGCCTTTCCAGTTTCCACAAGCTGAAAACAACGCCACAAATGAAGAACAGAACATTTGCATTCATTCATTAAAGATAAACGCTGAATCCTTTCTCCCCAAGCCACTCTTCAAGTACTCGAAAGATGCTAATGTAGAAAATATAACATTCAATAGACAAACATAATAGACAGAGAAGTTTATAACAGAGATAGAAATGTCACACCACCAGCTCCACCCACTAAGTAAAACAAAAAACAAAAACACCACAAATTCCTACTGCTCCACTTTCTTAGAATTTGCCCCAAAAAGAACACGATTCACTTTTTTTTTGTAATTTTTTCTTCTTAAAAATCAATAAGTTCCTTATCAGACGTGGTAACTGGGGGGTAGAGAGATCATTTACTTGGCCATCATGACCTTGACGAACTCCTCGTAATTGATCTGGCCATCGCCGTCGACATCAGCCTCCCTGATCATCTCGTCGACCTCCTCGTCGGTCAGCTTCTCGCCGAGGTTGGTCATCACGTGGCGGAGCTCAGCGGCTGAGATGAAACCGTTCTGGTCCTTGTCGAAGACTCTGAAGGCCTCCTTCAGCTCCTCCTCGGAATCGGTGTCCTTCATCTTCCTTGCCATCAGGTTCAGGAACTCTGGGAAGTCAATGGTCCCGTTTCCATCAGCGTCCACCTCATTGATCATGTCCTGGAGCTCTGCCTCCGTAGGGTTCTGGCCCAGCGACCTCATCACGGTTCCCAGCTCCTTGGTGGTGATACAACCTGCAAAATGGAGAGATAACCATCGTTATTCGCGAGATGCTGCAATGGCACCCGATTCTGCATGAGCAGAAGCATGCTTGGTCAAGGCTGCACCTGCACTACATTTATATGTTCACACCAGAAACTCAATTACTCAAACCAAGCTTGGAAATCGCCACAAGTACACACACCAAACATTCAAAAGCTTCTATGGCCTGCGTATGAAGCGACCAGAAGTCCAAACAAACACTACATCCACCTATGGCATAGCACACAGCACAAGGGTTCATTATCAATTCATAAGATTACTCAGCAAACAAATCCATATCAACAAATTAGGAAAATATGTATTCATAGTCAAGTCCTTATGATAGCTTTCATATCTTCTTTCCAAATCAACAATTAGCTTTGATTTTGAAAGAAGATAAGATGTCACTTTCTACCCCATTCCAACTTGCCCAATCAATTGCTTGCATGTTCCAACTTGCCCAATCAATTGCTTGCATGTTTCACTTTGCATTAACAAGATTTTTTTGCTATAAAAGACCAAGACAACTGTAGTGTCTCTTCATCAAACACTTGTCGACAGTCCAGTATATCCAGCCAGCAGCCATGGAAAAGTAAAACTAAAACCAAGATATCTTCACTGGATCTGAATTCCCAAGTTCCAAAAATTACAAACACTCGTAAGAATCCATCAAGAGCAGTCGTCATTCCACGAGATCCTACCATCAATTGCATCTTTCATCCAGAAATCAGGACGAAGAATTTAATTCTGAGGAAAACGAAGGAAAGGACAATCGACTGACATGTGCGGGACACCATAAGAACAACGAGCAAGTTCCTCCGAGTCACCAATCAATCGCGATCTGCTACTTTGCCTAACGATTATGGCGATTCTGCTTTCTGACTAATTAACATGGAAATAACCTCCATAAACGAGACAAGTTGACTCAATTAATCCTGTATGCGAGGAAGAAAGGCATCAAGGTTCCGGAACCAATCTATTTCTACGCATCATGAAACGCCTAAAACACAGGCAGGAGAAAACACTCCGTCGTCTCCGATCGAGACCGACTGGCGGAAACGGATCTCAGAAGCGGAAACAAAAGCGGAACAGGAAAACAAACTTAAATCACTAAACAGCAGCTGGACAAGACGAGGAATCAGTCTCTGCGAACGACATCGCCATCAAGGATACAGACGAGACACCAGATCTACAGCTACGAAGAAGAACGAAATCGGAAGGATAAAGAAGAGCGAGGGAGAGAATGGAGAAAGAAAAGAAGGCTCGCGTACCATCGCCATCCTTGTCGAACAAGCTGAAGGCCTCCTTGAACTCGGAGATCTGGTCGTCGGTGAGCTGATCCGCCATTTTCCTCTCTTCACGCCTTCGCTTTCCTTTCTCCGATAGAGAGAGTTTTGGGATCTCTTTCTTTCTTTCTTACCTCCTTTGGGGTTGTGGTGGTTTTTTTTTTCGGCAAGAGGGAAAATAATAAGGCACCGTCTAACCCGGCGAGATGAGTTCCAAAATGATTTAAAAAGGGTTCGAAAATAAGGAGGGAGGAGAGAGAGGAAATACCGCGTTTTCTACTGGGATTTTCAGCGGAATTCCTGATCTCTTTTCCTCCACAGCAAAATAATCATTTTGTTTTTCCCTTTGTCGGTTTTACCCTTCTCCTCAAAATTACCACACTCTTGTTAACAAACAGATCGAATTAAGATTAAATAATAAGATGAATTCAATCAATAATAAATATGGGAAACTAAAATAAAAAGGAATAAAAGAGTAACGCGGTCTGAACGCGGTTGGAGGAGGTCAGGATCAGGATTCCAGCGTCAGTCGACTGGTGAATTGACAGATGTAACCCTCATTTCCTTTTCAATGACATCCTTATCCTTGTCCGGCTCATTTGACTCGTCCAGTCCTTCACCCCAAAAAGTAGTCTAGTAAATGGGCTTCAATCAGTAAATGGGCTCGAGCTTGCGGGCTAAAAAGCCTTGCCCGTTTTTCTGGTACATGGCCGTGAAGGTCTAGATAGAGTTAAAAAAAGCCCAGCCCAAATATTTTTTATCCAGTATCCACAAATGATATCAAAGAATACAAAAAAACAAAAAAAGGTACGGTCCAAAGAGAAAAGATGAGGATCCACGTACAGTACGATATCTGCTCAGAATTGCCAAACTGGCAAATAGGTTGGCTACAATGGATGAGAAGAATCTCTCGTTTTCCTCTACTATGCATATTCGTCTCACCTTCTCAACCTACACTCTCAAAATTGATCCCAATGCCGTATCAAACCTTAACCCAAAACAAGTTGTGTCTCGGAGACTCGGGATGCTTGAATCAGATCGAACCTTATCAAATCATTTATACATAAGTTAGTTCAATCAATATCTTTATATAACTAAGCGACGGGAACAAACTAACTTAACCCGTAGCAATAAATTCTCTTTGCGAGACGGGTTTTAAATTTTCAATAAAATTTGGGCCATGACTTTCGATGTTGTATTAGACATTTTGTGAGCTCGATTTGTCACATAAATTTAGTTAAATCCAAACAAATAAATTCAATCAGGTCCTATTATAATTCATATTCGATCCGACCCGGACCAAACCGATTGATCATCGCCCATCCTATACCCTAAACCCTGGCCCACTCATCTCTCCATTTCTCATGTAGTTTTAGCTAAATTCGAATAAACCTCAAGTCGTGTCAATTGCAATTTCATAAAAAAAAAATTAACCATACATTCTCTTCCATTTCATTTCCGATCAGATAGTATAACAATCGAACTCCGATTCAATCCAAACCAAACGATCATCTCCTATCCTAAACCCTAGATCCTAAACCCGTCTCGCTATATATACACTTCACGAACGACAACGAAACAAATGTATACAATGTCGTCCACATCAACAAGCTCACACCACAAATACCAGCCTCTGAAACTCCTCCTCCTCCTCTCCACAACCATCGCGACATACCACCACCATGAAGTGCAAGCACAAATATGCCCTACTCCGCCGGACAAGGGCGGCGCCTTCACCTACCTCTGCAACCCGTACGAGTTCAACGAACAGTACTACCCGGGCGCGCAGGACTGGGCCCTGGCCCAGACCTTAGTCGCGGACGTGAACTCGCTGGGCCTGTGCCTAAAATCCCCCTACGGCGAGGACACCGGAATCGAGCTGTGGCTGGTCCACTACTCGTCCTGCGAGTTCGGCGCCGAGGTTGAGAACTGCAAGGCCTGTTTTGAGGACGCCCGCCAGATCATAAAGCAGCACTGTCCTAACAAGATCGGAGCCCAGGCGGCGTCGGTTCATTGTTGTGGCCGCTACGAGCAGTACCCTTTCTGCAATGTTGTAAACTAGAGCTAGAGCTACTCTCTCAAAAAATGGATTTCACTGCCGATCGATCGACTAACATGTTCAACTTCTACATCATAATTTATTAATATAAGCTTAGTTTTGCGAAAGAAGAGAGAACTTACTCGTATCAAATTCCAATTAGGCCCCCCCGAAACGATTCGTGTCCGAATTGAACCACACCGAACTGAATCGGTAGTTAGTTTGTATTCGATCGACCATTTGGATATTTTCTCAGAATTCATATTTGACCTCCTAAGAACATATCCAAATTCAGATCGGAACGGATCGAATCAAAATCAATTCATGATCGTGTACAACAATGTACAAGTGGGAATTTATGAGGAAATTGGTCATGGTTCACCTTATACTTACAGAAGTTTTGGAATTTACTCTTACTGATTTTCCTTTCCTTTCCTTTATACATATACAGTATATACCGACGCAATCCTGCGTTGGATGGTTTTCCTTTCCTTTCTGTATTAGTTGTACTAAGAAACCTTTCTGTATTAGGAGTACCACTTTCAGTACTTTGAAAAGCAGAGAACTCAGACAATGGCATCATGAATTCGGTACATTTATCTTTCACATTCAGATTGCAGCAGCAAGCAGGTGAAACATTTAGTTTTTGATTAAAAGGGTAAGGTTTTGTTTTTCTTACATCATAGTCTTACCCCTTCCACCATTTCTTCCTTCCACTTCGACCCGGCCTGACGGGAGACTCGACTTATCCAACTAATGCACAACAAACATCTTCTGCAGATTAGTTCAGAAAATGAAAAAACCCCGCAGCACAATGAACTGCATTGTTATTATAGTCTCTTCAAGCTCTTCTTCCTCGCATCCATCTTCTTCTTCTCTGCCAGAGGCTTCGAGGGGTGGGCTGCAACTCCTTCCTTTCGGTTCACGCCTCCAACCATTGCTTGCTGCTTCGTGGAGCACGTAACGGGTAGACTGCCACCTGTCTCGGCTGTTGCCAGATCGGTGCTGTTTGGCCCACCCTTCGAGGAAGTGGTCGAACAAGGTGGCACTGGAACGGCAGAAGGGACTGTCGTGTTCTTGAGATCGACAGCGCCACTGGTGGCAACTGAGGTGTTACTACTCTGGTCGATATTCAGTGCTGTCGTTGACTCCGAGATGGGCCCAGACTTCTGCTTGGGTTTTGGCTTCGCGTAAATCCCCGTGATCAGTCTGCAATTAGTACTTTTGGTAAGACATGGACTCTATTTTGCAAATAAGGGTTTCATTTGCCGATATAAACAAGGATCAAGCGCAAGAAGGATTTGCGACCTGGCATGTTTGGAATAATCCTCGTAATTTTCAAGCAGCATCTTGGCAGCCTGCTCATTGAGGGCAGATTCAGGAAATGGTTCAATCAATAAGCACCTCACGACCTGTTGCAGAAAAAGCTAAAGTACAATTAGCACTCATCCAGTGTGGATTATGGATTTGACACTTGAAAAGATCTACAGGAGTACAAGATGAGAATTGACGCCAACAGAGTCTATAGCTTATAGACAACAAACTTACAACAAGAACATGTCGTAGACCAAGACTCGGGTTCCAGTCCCTTTTCAGTGTATTGACACAAATTTTTCCATCAGATGAAATATTTGGGTGGAATATCTTAGTCAGGAAGAAACCTGTAGATCAAGAGATTTTGCAAAGCATTAATTTCAAGAAGATTATTACTATGGCGCTATTAAATGGGCTACGTTCTTCAGCAAAGCCCGCCTTGAACAGCTATATCAAAGAAAATGGTAAGACAGTTTAAGAGAAGAATGTTTATCCTATTGGGAAAACCTTGTGGAGGTAGCTGCGGGAAGTCATGTGGCAATAACAACTTCATTCGGAAAATGCCATTTTCATATGGAGTCCCATCTGCATGGCCAAAATTTAACTTTTAGTAGAAATACAAACATTTGTAAACACAAAATAAGAGAGGTATAGCTACTTGCCTGGTCCTTCAATGTCAGCATGTATGATGGAAAAATCATCATCATTAACTCCTACTTTGATGCCCTCTGGTGGAGATTCATGGAGACTCTTCAATTCCTTGGCAAGTTGCTTTATCACATTGGGTGGAAGATTTTCATTTGTCGCCTGAGGAATAGGGAAGCGGAACCAAAGAACATATTAGAAATAGAAGACTGAATTTCGGGCTGCTACTAATATCAAGCTTCACCACCGCATTACTGCTGTGACCAATATTATTCTCTCTAGCAAATAACATTATCCAAGATATAACATAAACTCCTACTTAGATCCTACCATGCATCATGATCAAAGACGGATTGCCAGACTTACTTACAGTACAGTCATTCAAAACTACAGCAAGCCTTTGAAGTTTCATGCAAATCATCATTTTTCTAACCTTTTCCAACATATAGTTTATCTCCTATCCTTCAAAAAATAAGCCTTTCCGAAAATCTTACAGCAGTGGCAACCAAACCAGCTTATCTTAATCTTTCACCAACTCTATCAAAAAGATTCTACGCCTTTCAGTCATTAGGGAAGAGGATAGAGAGGAGACGAGAAATACAACTGGCGGTATTTACCATAGTCAATTATTTGCAAGAACTTCTGGAGAACAATTTCAATCCAACACCTTGCAACCAGAAAAGAAATGATCAAGCAACCAACGCAATGACCTGCAATTACAAAATTAAACCTTGAGTTTGAAGAAAGCTGTTGTCAAGCTCAGAATCCAAGGTTAGCAAAAAATGTGATTGCTTTACGAAAGTATACCAATATAAGGGAACATATGAAATACACAAAAAAAAAATACAGCAGAATAAATCCAAGAAAAACAATACATGAGAACAAACAGGAAAGAGGAGAAAGAGAAACGGCAGCAACAACAACGGAACACAAACAAGCAAGGAGGAAGATCCATATTTTCCCAGCACTGATAAATGCACCAAGAAATAGTATACTGGACTGGAAAATTGGAAACAGAAAGAAAAGAAAGCCTTTGACTACACATCTGTGGAATCCCAGTTCTTTCAACAACTGACAAAAACAACATTAACCACTTGGTCACCTTGTATTGCAATATCAGTGCTCAGCCTAGCTTTCATATACTAGATAGACAGAGAAGATATGCTCTAATGCAGACTCAGATGCATACTTATAACTACCCAAACCCAATTTCACAGAGCCAAACAGTCTCCGTGTTTGAAGAACTTAACATAAGAAGAGTGACCAAGAAATGAAATCATCACATGACATCAATGGCCGATGCCTCACTCACTCTGACTACTAAATTGTGATAGCCGGATGTTATCAGTCACTTCACTACTACTGTGGAGTAGGAGCACAGAAGAAAACAAGAAAAAGTTTCAAATTTTCAAACTAAATCCTTCGAATTCCACACCTAACCTTTGGATCCCTGAGAGGGTTGACTTAGAATTACATTCAACAATAGGAAGGAAAACTCAAGAAATCAAGCTAACGGGAAAAGTTAACGAAATTGCTAAGTCCCTGAAATCAAAGGAAATCCTCATATCACCGACAGGCAAATCTTCTGCAGAAGAGTGGGGAAAACTAACCCACTGATCGAATCAGAAGTAGACCACCCGTCGGAGGCTGAAAACCGACAACTGCCTAAAATCCGTAAGAAAAAGACAAGAATGATACGAAGAACCCGAAGAGCTCAAAGCAAGAAGCTGATAGAACGAAAGATTAGTTCCAGCATTTCCCAATCAAACCCTACGAGATTTACCGGCACACATTTTGACCACGGAAGAAGCAGACGAAACATTTTGATCGACGATTGAAACTGAATCGTTTCGAACCGATTCCATTAACCCTAGCAAATTCGAATACACAAAGAAAAGAATGACAAGAAAAACAAAAGGGAAGAAGAGGTTACCAGGCGAAACTGGCAATGTCCAACGGAAAACAGAGTGGAGTGATGGAGGAGGAAGAGAGAGAGAGAGAGGCGATGGCTCCTTGGAATGATTGAATGAAAGACTGAACAGAACCCCACTTGGATTATTGGTTTGATCGAATGAGAGAAGCTCTCTCTCTTTATTTCTTTTTCCTTTTTTTCCCCAAAAGAAAATACGATATCCAAGATATCCGTTTTAATCAAATATATCCTTATTAGGAGAATATTTTTCCTTTGTCGCAATTATTTATAGAGGGCAACCTACTAATTCTTTTTCCACAAAGAAAGAAAATATACCATCTTTTGAAAAAGTTGTTATGCATTTCAATGTAGCATTCAAATTGATTTTATTTTATTTTGTGCCAAAATATTAAATCATAGGTTCTTTCCGTTTTAAGTTCGACAATTTCTCGTCGTGACTTGCTCGAATAATCTGTAAACTATTCAATTAATTACAATGATAAAATGTAAAAGAAAATGAAATGATTAATTCGACAAATCGATCATTCACATTTATTTTATATCTACTTAGCATCGATTCGGTAGATGCTCGATTCCAAGTGTGATACAGATGAGCACCTCTCATTCACGTTTTTATTTCCATAACAACTACATGATCAATCACTTATTGTTTTAGGGTCGTGATATAATATATATACCCATAGGTGTCAATCTAGCATATCGATTGAACGTTAATACTACACTTTCGGAATTGTCGAGTATAAATGAATTAATAATATATATTCAGGTGGGCAAAAGGTAGAGTGCATCTAATGACCCAATACACACAAAGAGAATTAGTTGTAAGTAGCAAAACTAGAAGGGACAATAGTAATAACTGGTGGAACTAGACGAGCTATTTTTGGATATTTTGTACGCATTAGCTATACATCTTCATTATCGGTCAATTGTAATTGGGAATAAGGAAATAAGAGGATAATTTTTTCCCAATTTCAGTCTCTTTGTCCATCCCTCGATCCTTTTTCTCTAATTCTCTCAATTCTCTTCTGGATCTAGTTTCTTCTCTCCCTTAAATCACGATGTTCGATTCTTCTACCCGCCAAACAGTAATATGCATAACATGTTTATACATACATGATTATATAGGTTCATAGTTGTGCACCCATTAAAAATTATTACAAAAATATATTAAACGAAAAATCGACTTAAATAATAATAAAAACTTAGACATTAGTCATAAAAAAGAAAAGTCCACTACAAATATTGCATGGGCTCGATTAGCAAGATCCACAAGATTTTAAATTTTATAGTTGTTGGCCACTAGGGCCATGGACAATGAATCCTCCGCCCTCCCACGTCTTTTCCCACCACAGCCGTTGCTTTCTAGCATCACCTAATACATCGAACCTAGGCGGTGACATACATCGGATTAAATTCAATCTTATTCTTTTAACGCTACGAAAATTCGTAACTTCAAAACCAAATCTACTTGAATATCATATCCAATATGTACCAAATCATTTGATCGTTACGGACCTGAAAACCATCATCAAGCTACAACCCCCGAGGTCCTATCTCACTAATAGTAGCTGGATCACACGAGAAAATCCATGTGACCTATTCATTAAGCAGATACACCTTTCATCAATGAAGTCGAGAGTTTCACAACTATTGGACACACACAATAACAAATATTACTACATTTATAGGCGCTACTTGAGTTAGGACGTCCTACTGCGATCCACAATTGTCCACACATGATCATCGTGGTAGGACGCCCTAACCGAAATGAGCATTAGGATTCGAGATGGTGGGGGAGGTTGAAAATTTAAAATGGTGGTGGGTGAACGTTAGGAATACTAGTATTCTATCCCTCTCTCTCTCTACGCCGACTAGCCGTTAGCGGGAGAGACAAACATCAGCCGACATGATTGACAGCTACGTAGCTTATCATTTTTCGGTCAGCAACAGCAACACACGAGGTCCCCCAAAAGAAGAAAAAGGGAAACCGACGGTAGTATTTTAATCGCCTTACCTTCTCCGGCGCCAACAGCAATGTTGGTTCAAAAGCCAAACTTCAATTCAAACCTTGTTCCCATTCATGACCAATTTTCAGGTAGATGGGTGCAATCTATAGTAGATTTGTATGCAATCTACAGTGTTGTAATGACAATGATATACACGAAGCAGCAAGTATTCGTAGTGTAGATATGACCTTACTAACCAAGCTAGCTGCAAGCAAAGCAAGAATTTAAAGCATGTGGTTTCATTCCTTGATGCTACAGACATCTCGTTGAATTTGGGGTTCAGAATGAAAATAACGAAAGAGAGGAACTGTAAGCTTGGACATGAAGTGAAGTTGAGGAACAGTAAGCTTACACATCTAATTAAGTTCCCTACGTCAAGGATGGAAACTAAATGCAGCTCAAATTTCAAAGAAGAAAGAGTTCTCGACGTTTTTTCTAGTTCAAAGCACGAATAGATGAACAAACTGCACAGTGACAACATACCAAGAAGAAGAGCTTCTGTCCGTGTCGGTAACAGGACACAGTCGCTCATCAGAGTCCTAATCCGACAGTGCGGCCATCTCGTCGACGAAGCCCAGCTGTGTACTGCTTCTCTAACTCCATCTGGAGCTGCTCCTGCTTTTCGGCCTGGAGACCCTCTTGGTTGTTGTTGGTCTGGGATTCTGCCTTTGCATCCCCCTTCACACCCTACAATTGGCCATAGGTACCATTTCTGACTCAGACTCTAAAACGTGTTAGTATTGTGAAACTTGATGCAAAATAAGAAACCAGAGTTTACTTAGCAGGAATGTATTCAGCAATGCATTCTGCCCCGCTGCTAACACGCACACTTTCTAGTTTCTACAATCCTAAGAAAAGCTAAAGAAGAGAGATTATTTTACCATGAGTTTGTTGAACTTTTCTTGTCTTTCACGATCGCCAAACATTGAGGTGTCCCACCTCTTCTGAAGTGTTGGAAGAGAAGACGAGGAAATAAGCAAATTGAAGGAAGCTCCTGCAGAAGAACAAGTATACAATTAGAGCATAAGGTTGATAGGCATGTACCTCTTCTGAGGTGGTGGTGCTCTTCTTGTTCCCCCACAGCAATTTCTTCTTCTGATCAGTAGACATGAAGCTCCCGCCAACAAGGTTCTGATTGACTGCAGCATGAATAATCAGGGCGTGCTATATGCTCAGATTTTTTTTGACCAGAATCACTATAATCCTATTACTTTATATAAAAGAGAACGAATAACCGGGACGTGCTAGATAATGCTGGGTGACTGGTAAAATGCATGTGTAAATACTGATTTGGACATCCTATCAATCATGATGCTACCAGACTCGTAAGTAACAACATGGAAAGACCGGATAAACTGGCATCCTAAGTTCCTAACACTCTAACCATTGCAACCAGTCAAAATATTCAATACTCCCACTTGAAGTATGAAGGTCAAGGATAGCCCATATAGTTTAAAGCATCATTGAATGCTGAAAGTGGCAAACAAAGACTCAAAGCTGGATCTAAGAAACACAAAGTATAGTATGTGATTCATGCATAAATAAAGCCTTGAGAAAACCCAGACATGTTCCAGTTAACCAAAACCCAGGTATATAGAATAAATAATACCACGTTCTCAGTTCATAAGAACAGGAATTGACAGCCATTATATGTTGAAGGACACACACGATCATCAGCAGGAAAATGGCTATATCCTACTCGGTACTCATGTAATACACAAACATTCAGAATGCGAGACCATTCATGTAATAAGGTACAACTTTCATAGAGATCAAGCAGGGACACGATTACCTAGTTCAGCAGCTTTCATGGCAGCAACCTTGGCTGCATTCAGGTCATTAGTAGCCTCCGAAATACTTCCGGTACCAGCTGCTGCCACCTGCTTAGGGCTCAAGGACTGCTTTTCACCTGCTATGCAGATATCTCCATAAATAGAAGTAAAAATGGTGCAACATTATCCAACCACAACAAAGGGACAGGCATGCATTGGAAACAAAGAAAAAGTCATTACCATCTCCACTAGGATGAACGGCCTTATCTGAACTGAAGAGCTTCATTCGTTTGGCCTCGGATTGCTGGGATTCAGTCATGGAAAGAGATTTGTCTTCATTCTGTCCTGATGCTCTTGAGTAAGCATCATCGCCTCTATCAGGTTCAGAACCATCACGTTTCTTCTTTTCCCTCCAGTCATCAACTTCATTGGGATTGCCTTTCTGAAATTCTCTAGCGCGATATTTATCATCATCCCTCCTAGAAAGAAGGGACTCTTTAACACGTCCTCTAGATCCGCCACGATAATCTGTGCGCTCATTTCCGTAGTCAGAGCTTCTCCCATAATCCCTTTCCCCATCTCGATTATCTCTGACATTCCTGTGGCGGTGAAAGTCTTTGTCCTCTGAAGTTGAATTAGTTTGTTTCCGGTCGGGTACAGGATATGACTCTTTATCCTTACTTCTCTGAGTGTCTCTATCACGAGAATATTTGTCAGAATACCTTCTGTAATCACGTGACCTACCATTATCACTTTCTTCTCTCATACGATCCGAGCGAGAAGTACCCCTAGAATCCCTATCAAGGTAAGAAGGCTTACTACGTCTGTCTTCATCGCGTCTGCCATAGTCATCATGCCTTGAGTTAGGATGTGGATTCTTAGAGGAGCGGGAATCAGCATCTCCAGATTTTACACGCTGATCCCTGTCATATTTTCTCCCTTCATCTTTTCTACTTTCTCGATGTTCAGAAACTTTACCAGGCTCACCCCTAGTAAATATTGGACTGGAGGTGCGATCATTTCTGGGGCTCTCTGTAATCAAAATATAAAAAATGGTGTTATACCAAAAGAGAAAATATGTCTTACAGCATTAATACAAGGCTGACAAGATTCCCTATGTTGAAACACAAATCCAATTATCATGATGAGCCATGGAGATCAACAGTAGAATTCTGTAGACTAACCAGGATCTCCCGATGACTTAATATCAATCGAATGCCGACGATACTTCCTGCTAGCCACATCATTGGATGACTTACGAAAAGTCGCTTTTTCGTCTTCGGTATCAGGTGGTGAAGACTGCACCTTAGGATCCATGATGCGTGGCACCAGAGAGCTGAGAGAGTAAATAACCCCAACCAATCAATTAAATTCCGCAGCACCCGAACTTCAAAAACAAGAGGAGAAGGACGACTGCTATCTATCGCATGTCTATTTCTATTATTCTGATTCCTATATGACTACTAATTCAAGAACTGGCTATCTGAAACAGTCTCATGCCGTACTGCTATTACATCGACTAAGCCAGTAAGGCGTAATCATCCGTCGGCAAGCTCGCGAACAACTACTTAGCGACTAGAAAAAAATCTTCAATCGGTCGCAAGAGCGATTAACTTCGTTCAGAAAACGAAGCAAAAACGAAATGAAAATCCTGGAACCAGCTGAAAAGGCACTGATGCTACAACTACGTTTCCCTGTGTACAAGTGTTGCATAGACGGAAATGGAAAATTCCCGGCAACCAACCAGACGATGAATCCAGAGGGAACCAACGGGAAACTGAGCAATTCTCGCCTAGAAGAGGAAAAATGAAAAGCTATGAAGCACAGAAATGGCGATAGAGCGAACCTGTAAGGCTGTAACAGCGCAGAATGTAATCGAAGTTTGGGCGAAGCGATCGGAAATCGAATTCCCGCCTGTCTTGTGCTATGTGAAGTGGTTTTTAGGGTTTGATTTTGCTGGGAAATTTTCGGACCGTCTCTCTCTCTCGCGGTATTTCTCTTCCCAATTTCCCCTTCTTTGATTAAATGTTATTTCAGTCCCTTCATTTTTATATGATATCAGTTGCACCCCTAAATTTAATTCATTTCCACTACGGATACCCAAGATTTCTCCTTCCATTTTAAAACTCTTCATTTGGCAAGAGCATTAGATATCCTCATATTCCCGAATCTGGTCGGTTCCAATATGAAAGTAGTACTGTTATATGATCAGCTTCCTTCGATGCATCCGTCAGAATTTCGTTGTTACTTTCGTCTTCACCCACCATAAAAGTTTCTTTCTTGCCGCTCTCACCGACGATCCACTCCCTCTCACTGAGTAAGTTCGCACCGCCGTGGCTGAGAATTGGGAAGTGAAAAGACCGCCTGGGAAAGAAAAGGTTTGGCCGAAGTAAGAAGCAGAAAGTAGCAGCTAGTAGAAATGTCGTTCGAGAAGATCAGAGTCACCAACCCTATCGTCGAGATGGACGGTAAGCACCTGTCTACTCTACCATCCTTAATTTTTTTCTTGTTTGCCATTCAAATTTGCTCTGATTGATTGCGCCTATTTGGTCCAGCTGGATTGAATTTTAGCTAAAACCCAGAAAAGAGTTGTTAATGAACTTCTGGTGAAGAGAATGATCAATTATGGGGTGGATTGTTTATGTTTGGAATTGGTGATCATGGGATAGCAGACTTGGAGAGTGATCAGCGGTGGAGGATTTTTCTTTTCCATTCCATGATTGTACTTATTTGTTGGTAGGAAATGAGAGGAATTATCTGTTGTGTGTTGCGGCTATGAGTTAAGAGTGTATGAATTAGCTTCATTCTTGCTGTCCATTGTCTAGAGAATTTGTTCCTCCTTTCCAAGATTACTGTTGCTTCCTTTCTCAATAGCTTCTTTGTTTCCGATGCAGGGGATGAAATGACCAGAGTGTTTTGGAAGTCCATCAAGGATAAGGTGCCCTCATCCCCCATGCTTTCTCTCTGATTTTCCTTCTTCTTCTCTTTCAATCGTGTTCGAACTTTTATCATGTTGATATTCTGGTCTTCTTTATAGCTTGTGTTCCCCTTCTTGGATCTGGATATCAAGTACTTTGACCTTGGCCTGCCGAACCGGGATGCCACAAATGATCAAGTAACCATAGAGAGTGCTGAAGCCACTCTTAAGTTAGTACTTCTTGATTGTCAATTGCGTCAACCCTTTCTTTTTTTTTTTTTTCAGTTTTGCTGCAAAGGTTGATTGACTCTCTCGCCTGTCAATGTTGCAGGTATAATGTTGCAATTAAGTGTGCAACTATAACTCCAGGTAATGTATCATACTCTTAAATCACCAATTAGAAACAAAATCCATACTTTTGATTTTCTGTTCAGATGCTTACCAGTTACATGGAAAATGCATTTTCTTGCGTTATAGATGAAGATCGTGTCAAAGAGTTCAACTTGAAAAAAATGTGGAGAAGTCCTAATGGGACAATTCGGAACATTCTAAATGGTCAGTTTGTGTTTCATATCCTTGATTGTTGTAATGTGCCTGATTCTATTCTTATTCTCTGCCTTGTTATGCCAAAGGTACTGTCTTCAGAGAACCAATCATCTGCAAGAACGTTCCTCGTCTTGTCCCAGGTCTGCAAATGATATCCTGATATTTGGTTTGCTTCCATAGCCATTAAAAGCTACAGACCAACATAAGCAGCAGTATTTCAGGTTGGACCAAGCCAATATGCATTGGCAGGCATGCATTTGGTGATCAGTACAGAGCAACTGACTTGGTCGTGGGTGAACCTGGTAGTCTGAAGATGGTGTTTGGTTAGTTTTCTTCTTTGCAACAATGTGTTCTTCTATAGTGAATATCAGTTTATTTTCTGGTACTAGCTTCTGCTGATTGATCGTACACTTCTCTCTATATTTATCTTAATATATTTATCATACAAGTTTATTGCTGTATTTTCAGTTCCTGATGGATGCAACAAAACAACAGAACTTGAGGTTTTTAAGTTCACTGGAGCTGGAGGTGTAGCTTTGTCCATGTATAACACTGATGAGGTTCACAACTGCATACATTCTTTTCCTTATCCCACTTCACAGATTTTGAAATAGTTGTTCACCAACTGTGATTATCATATCTGACTTGGAAAACAGTCCATCCGTGCCTTTGCCGAGGCTTCAATGAACACTGCATACCAGAAAAGGTGGCCCCTTTATCTTAGCACGAAAAATACCATCCTCAAAAAGTATGATGGAAGGTATGTAATTACTTCATATGTCGTTGGTCTAAGCAGATAGTTCCAGTTAATAATCCTCTTCTATATCCACCAATGGACCTTCCTGTTTCCTGAACTAGTTACAGATTATCACAACCACCACATGTTGCCTTATTAGTTATTTCATGCTTATTTCACAGATATTATTCATTTTGCATGTGATGTGGCAGTTATTTACATTTTTCTCGTTTGACATTTATCAGATTTAAGGACATATTCCAGGAAGTTTATGAAAGCCGGTGGAAATCCAAGTTTGAGGCTGCAGGAATATGGTGAGCGAGAAGCTTGATTTAAAACGGGATTAGTTTGTGAAACACATACCACAACTGACTAAGAGTAACAAATTACTTGTAACTGCTTTATTGCAGGTATGAACATCGTCTGATTGATGATATGGTTGCGTATTCTCTGAAAAGCGATGGAGGGTATGTATGGGCATGCAAGAATTATGATGGAGATGTGCAGAGTGATTTCTTAGCTCAAGGTTTGCATAATTTGGATCGGATAGTCTGAGTGACTACAATTTCATGAACACTTGACATATCAAGAAACAAACTCTGATATTTCCATTACCGATACGTGATGATTGCTTCTTTGGTACAGGATTTGGATCTCTTGGGTTGATGACATCAGTATTGGTATGTCTGTGCACTTCGCCTCATCCTTGGCTTTCTATCAGTCATTTCAACCTATCTTACATTGCATAAACTTTGTTCCAGGTATGTCCAGATGGTAAGACTATTGAAGCTGAAGCTGCTCATGGTACAGTTACCCGTCATTATCGTGTCCACCAGAAGGGAGGGGAAACTAGCACAAATAGCATAGCATCCATTTTCGCTTGGTCACGAGGTCTGGCTCACAGGTATTATGATTTTGGCGCCTCTAACTGGAAACCTATTACACATCATCTTTTAGTTTCATAGCATAATATTGTATGAACTCTTGGAGGTCTTGATGAGAAAGACAACTCTGCACCAGGGCAAAGTTGGATGGTAATGCTCGACTTTTAGATTATACCAAGAAACTGGAAGCAGCCTGTGTTGGAACTGTTGAATCCGGGAAGATGACCAAGGATCTAGCACTTCTCATTCATGGACCTAAGTAAATGATAAACCCCTACTTCCTTTTCTATGTTCCCCCTTCCAAACTTATGCCTAACCACCTGAAGCTCTCATTCTTTATATGTAGGGTTACTAGGGCTCAATACCTAAACACCGAAGAGTTCATCGATGCAGTAGCAGCGCAGCTGAAAGCAAGACTATTGGCCAGCTCAAAGTTATAAGCCTCTATGGTCTTCGGCTCCTGGTTTAATACTGGTAATGTTACTTTACATATCCCTGTCACTTGTCAGCTCTCTCTTTTCCGGAATCTCGTCTTCCATTAATGTTTTAAGGGGTGTGCTGTTGCAGGAAGGAGGAGAAAGAAGAAAAGGGGAGGAAATGGCTGATTAGAGAAGATGGTGATGTTGAATGCAAGGGAAGATCAATGCTAATGATTGCTTTGAGCCAAACTTCTTGGCTCTTCTCAACTATAGACTACTTAATGAATAAAATACTAATCGACTTTGGGAGAGCTGGAAAGTGAACCTACATTGTGTGGTTTGATTTCATTTTAGGCTGATGAACATTTGCTTATGGGGTAATCTTTACTTTGACGGTAATGGTTAATGCAATAATCTTTCGGTTATTAAACTTCAAATAGTCAGATACTCTTATCTCTTGAATAAAAGTTTTCCAATATGGACATATATTTTGGTTGAACTATAAAAAACAAAGACATTTGGAATTGTCTACCCCATTAGCACTTGGATAAGACTCAGAATGAAACATTGAATATCAAAATTTCTCATTTTCCTCTATTATCAAGCCATACATTATATGTTATAATGTATGGTTTTAAGACATTTTGTCTCAAATGTCTCATTTGGATACATCATCCAAACAACTCATAACAAAAAATTATGGGTACACTTTGAATAACCATCCCATCCACCAATATATTTAAAGAGATTAAAGGCAGATAATAAACATTTATTTTCATAAAAATTGTTTATGCTTCTACAATAGTGGTTTGGGACGTTATCACACACGTATAATGGTGGCCTCTGTAACTCTTTCTCCCGTACCAAATGATATGCTCGCAAAAACACATCGGATCATAGACAACTAATTAAGTTCACAAATATAATCTTTCGTGGGTAACTTCATTCAACACCTCAACCAACTCCAAATGCTATAAAAGAACTGAAATGTGATCGGTTATAAAACAAACATTTTTATTTCTCCTTTGCAATGAAATATTATCATTATTCATTCCCCTTTGGATGTATGTACTCTATAGTCTATACCTAATGGCTTAATTCTCTTTAGAAAATAGCCAGAAGATTAGTTTAGGACCTAATTGGAGAACAAGCAAACATCTTGAGGCACAAATGTAATTCCCTTCAAATTAGACGTGTGGAAAGAAAAAAAATGTCAAAACCGTGTCGGCACCTCAAACCCTATCTCAAACGGAACCAGGATGGTATAAATACGAGAATATCAATGTCTGGTTTTGCCAAGTTTCCCTTCCGCAGCCGATTTCCCTCTCCAACAACTGGTGCTCGCCGGAATCGTTTGCCGCCATGGGGAGAAGTAAGTACCACCATCCTCTCCCATCTCTATCTCTAGTCCCGGCGATTATGTATAACTGTTGTTCCGATGACTGAACTGAACCCATATGTCGATTTCGCCTTTGTTCTGCTGCTCCGGTTATCTGCTAAGATTCGCTTGCCTTCCAGTTTTCCGTCGAGAATCTAGATTTGTTCCATCTTCTGGTTTTCACTAGCTTAGGTTCTGAATAATTGGTGTAGATGTAACTTTTAATCGGTTGGTGGATTGATTGTTTGTTCTGGTCCCTGCCAGGGCCAGCAAGGTGTTACCGTCAGATCAAGAACAAGCCGTACCCGAAATCCCGCTTCTGCCGTGGTGTCCCTGACCCCAAAATCAGGATCTACGATGTCGGGATGAAGAAGAAGGGAGTCGATGAGTTCCCCTTCTGCGTCCACTTGGTGTCGTGGGAGAAGGAGAATGTTTCCAGCGAGGCTCTCGAGGCTGCCCGTATCGCATGTAACAAGTACATGACCAAGACGGCAGGCAAAGACGCCTTCCATTTGAGGGTCCGTGTCCACCCGTTCCATGTCCTGCGTATTAACAAGATGCTTTCGTGTGCTGGAGCTGATAGGCTCCAGACTGGTATGAGGGGTGCCTTCGGCAAGCCTCAAGGTGTCTGTGCTAGGGTGGCGATCGGGCAAGTTTTGCTATCGGTTCGCTGCAAGGACAACAACAGCAATCATGCTCAGGAGGCTCTTCGACGTGCCAAGTTCAAGTTCCCTGGTCGTCAAAAGATCATTGTCAGCAGAAAATGGTAATGTCTTAAGTTATAATGTTGTGGCATTATATTGCATTTTGATTACACATCTCGTTGCTTGCTGTTATTCTGAGTTAGAAGATACATGTGTAGTCATGGCTATGCTATCACTTTAGGATGATTTGTCTGTTAACTTGAGATACTTCGCTCAATAGTCTTTCCTTATAAATTAGCATTAGGGGGTGGTTAGGATTGATTGTTAGCATATATGGATTAGTATAAAATGATGTATTTGAATTAGATGTGTTTGTTCAAATAGATAGTTCTGGGATCCTTTTTGGTCCAGATGAGTGATTTGTAGAAGTTGGTTCTCTAAAGTCTATAGGAAGAGATTTCACACATCTCTCCCTTTATGAGGATTTGAACTCTCCGGGAAGTTCAAATCCATCCATTTGACACTTTCTTTTGTCCATTCAAGCAATGTTTTAGTACAATCTCTGGCAACCCCTCATGGAAACTACCTGTAAATGTTTATGTGGGTGGTTGAATGACCATTGCCTAGTTACTGAATAATACGTTCTCATTTGTGGGTAAATTTTGTGGCAAGCAGGGGGTTCACTAAGTTCAATCGTGCTGACTATGTGAGATTGAAGCAAGAGCAGAGGATTTTGCCTGATGGTGTCAATGCTAAGGTAAGTGTGGTTCTCCTTGACAAGTTAAGACCTAAACTAATTTAGTGATTGGGGAATTATGTCCAGAAAGTGTTTATATCGATGCGAACCTCTTATTGTTGCTGCAGCTTCTTGGATGCCATGGACCATTGGCGAAAAGGTTGCCTGGACAAGCGTTCTTGACGTCTGCTGTCAATGCTTAGAACTGTGTTATCCTCTTCTATAGCAGTTAATCTTCCCGTTGTTTTCTGCATTTTGTGTTGGGTTGAATTCGCTTTGCCCTTTGTTATATCAGGGTCTACAAAACCTTTGTTCATTGTTTTTTTTTGTCACCATGCAACTTTGTACTTCTAGTTCCGTTCTCACCCTACTATGGAACATATTCACCTTGTTTTTGCTTCAAGATTCATCGTCATTACTGCGCTGTGGTTTGATCGTCTATTTCAATATTCACATCCGTTTTGTTCATCTTTTTAATTCGTCGTTGGTCCTTTCATGGCTTCCAATTGATTATCGTTAATCTTGGTGCTCTTTGCCATTTACATCACCAAAGTACAATTTTGTTTCGACGATATTGATTTACGACAATAGCTAAAAAATTAATATATGATCTCTATAAAATAAACGAACATTTTGATGTCTTCTTTTCGAGAAATTATCATTCAATTTCTTCATTTCACGAAAACAATCCTTCGTGTCAAAAAGATGACAATGCTTGCTTGCTCACTAAAAATTGTCATGGTGAACAACCGTTTGTGTTCATACCTAACAAACACAGAAAATAACCAGATGACTAGTAATGGACCTAATTGGAGAATAAGTAAACATATTGGGCCACAAACGTAATTCCCGCCAAGTTAGATGTCCAGAAAGAAAAAAAATTGTCGAGAAACGATGAGCCTCTCCCAAAACCCTAGCTCAAATCGATCTGCCGACATATAAATACTAAACTCAGGCCTGAAATTGCAAAGTTCACCCTTGCGTCTTCACCAACTCGTCCTCGCCGCGTCGTTCGTCGCCATGGGGAGAAGTAAGTACCGCCCTCATCTCCCGTACCTCTATTTGATTCCTGTTATTCCGATGCACGAATTGAACCCAGTTTGTCGATTTCGCTTTGCTCCGCTGCTCCGATTATGAGTTCATATGCCCTTTCCTTTCAGCTTCCCGTGGAGAAACTAGATTTAAATTCACATTCTAGTTCCGATTAGCTTGGGTTTTTTTATGGAATGACATAGTACCATTGTTAATCGCTTGGTGGATTGATTGCTCGTTCTGGTTGTTCTTGCCAGGGCCAGCAAGGTGCTACCGTCAGATCAAGAACAAGCCCTACCCGAAATCCCGCTTCTGCCGTGGTGTCCCCGACCCCAAAATCAGGATCTACGATGTCGGGATGAAGAAGAAGGGAGTCGATGAGTTCCCCTTCTGCGTCCACTTGGTGTCGTGGGAGAAGGAGAATGTCTCCAGTGAGGCTCTCGAGGCTGCTCGTATTGCCTGCAATAAGTACATGACCAAAACTGCCGGCAAAGATGCCTTCCATTTGAGGGTCCGTGTTCACCCTTTCCATGTCCTGCGTATCAACAAGATGCTTTCGTGCGCTGGAGCTGATAGGCTCCAGACTGGTATGAGGGGTGCCTTCGGTAAGCCGCAGGGTGTCTGCGCCAGGGTGGCGATTGGGCAGGTTCTCCTGTCGGTCCGCTGCAAGGACAACAACAGCAATCATGCTCAGGAGGCTCTTCGACGCGCCAAGTTCAAGTTCCCCGGTCGTCAGAAGATCATTGTCAGCAGGAAATGGTATGTAATCTCATGTTGTTGTGGCTTTGAAGTACATATTGATTGTGCATCTCTTTGCCTGCTGTTGTATTTCTAGTTAGAATATATATGCACTGATGGACAGTGGTAGCAGTAATCTCACTGTATGGTGATGTGTGTATTTGCCTGATAATTTTGTCCATCCAATTGTTCATGATAATATTGCATGAGGGGGTTGTTAGGATGAATGGTTGGTAAAATAGATTAATTGGTAAAAGTGGATGGATTGAAAGTGATTGGTTTGTCCGAAGAGAATAGTTCTGAGGTTCGTTTTTGGTCCAGATGAGTGATTTGTAGGTGTCTTGCCAATTTCATACCTCTTCTTCTACGAGAGATTTGAATTCTTGAGAAAGCATAAACCCATTGATCTTGCACTGTTTTTTTTTTTTTTGTGTGCATCCAAGTTGCATATTTCTCATCTTTTGCTAAATTTGTTGTGACCAGGGGCTTCACCAAGTTCAATCGCGCGGACTATGTGAGATTGAAGCAAGAGCAGAGGATTCTGCCTGATGGTGTCAATGCTAAGGTTAGTGTTCTTGTCCTTTACAAATGATCAACTCAACTAATTTGGTAATTTGGGAATGAGGTCCAGAAATTGTTTATAACGATGCAAACCTCTTGTTGCTGCAGCTTCTTGGATGCCATGGACCATTAGCGAAACGTGCCCCCGGACAAGCCTTCTTGACTTCTGCTGTCAACGCTTAGAACTGTGTTTTCCCCTCCTATAGCAGTTGATCGTCCAGAGGAACATCATAGTCTTTTCAGCTTTTTTTCTGTTGTGTTGAATTCCCTTTGCCGTTTGTTATATCAGGATTCTGCAAGACGTTGGTTTATTGTTGTCTTTGTCACTAGTCTGAAGACTGAAAAGGTTGTAGTGACAATGCAACTCTGTACTTCTGTTTCTGTTCTCACCCTGTTATGGAACATGTTCACCATCCTTTTGCTTCAAGTTCATCGTCATAATAGCTACAAAACCAGGAAGCATTTGCATTTAAGAGCTTGTAATTTAGTTGTGTACTACCATATTCTCGTTCGGTTTTATGACCTTTTTTTTTATCTTTGTCAATTGAATTGTTTGGCCGACTGAAAGTGATACTAGCGACCACGTTCAACGCTATGCATAATCGGGATAATACTCTTCAAAATAAATCCTCTTAGATCGAAAATTGTCATTTCTCCAACTCGAAATTGATTCCCACAATATATCTTTTGTATTTGGTTATATTAATAATTATATTAAATCTCCAAATAGAAAAGAAACAAATGAATCGTATCTGGGCCTGTGGTCTGGAGGGCTAAGGTGGTAATTTCCATACGAATTCTGGAGGCCATTTCAGGAACAAAAACTTAAACCCTTTCACCGACGTGGAGCGCAAGTGCAGGAGGCTGGAGCGAGTGAGGGGTTTCTCTAGGGTTTAAGCTGACATTGAGTAGCTCGCGTTTTCAACCATTTTCCCCTTCCCTTGCATTTCGTCACCCTTCCTCACTGCTGGAAATTATCATCATCTCGTGTGAGAGCTATTGTCCATCGGCCGCCCAACCGCCGTCGCCATGTGGGCTCTTCGCCGGACTTCGAGTTCTCTCAAGTAAAACCCTACCCGACCCTCCTTGTTTTCGTGAATTCGCATTTCATTTTGCAGCGTTCTTTGTTTTCCTGGTGTGGTACTTAAGCAAGTTGCTTTCATGTGATTGATTCTTCACTTGGGTTGATGTTGACGAGCTACACAAGCTAGTAAAAATATGTACGTTGTTTTGATTTGATCTCTCGGTCAAGCTTTACCCGACTGGTGGCGATAACTGGCACTGCGGAGAAATAGAAGGAAGTGTTGATTAACTCTTTCGAGGGATATTGGTTTATATCTTGACGTTCTTGCTTTGATGAATCCAAGGGCTTTGTTTCATTATCTGCGCCTTTCCAAACCCAAAGTTCAACTGGGTTCATAGAATAGAATACATAATCAGAATCACAACATGAAAAGTTGTAGCAGTGTTCATAGGGGTTGTTTACTGGATGGGGAAGCTTCCACGTTGCTATGATTTTGATCTATCTGCTGATTTGTGTTTTGTGACCTCTAACATGCTGAGAGCAAGGACTGATGCATTGGTTATGTGGATAACTTGGTGTTCAGTGTGAGGTTGATTAGTTTTACTGGGAAATGCTGTTCGCTTCAATTGTTTGTATTCTGAGGACCTGATTTACTATTTCTTGTTTGCAGGTTGCAAGGACTGAGGTTAGCAACAAGTCGAGCTGGATGTGTTAAATTGGAAACAATCTGTGGTCAATTGGAAGTGAACACTAATACTTTCGAGACTCCTTCAGCAGCATACACTACTTCTCTGTTCCACCGCAGTGCTACTATGTCTTCAAAGCTCTCTACCGGGATGCGTGGCTTGTCTTCCCAGGTTGGCACTGAGACTAGTAGTTCATCTGAAGATGATATCGATGATGCATTCTCCGAGCTGGAAGGTCCAGAGGTCAGCACTGATGCAGTTCAGGACAAGAAGAATACATTTGAAGGAAATGAAGATGAATTAGTTTCCGACCCCGACCTTTCTGATGATGATTTTATGGAAGAGAGTTCTCATGATACATTGGGATTGTCGGATACCGAGGCGGATCCTGCTGAGAAGCTTTTGACAAGGAAGAAACTCACGTCGGAACTGTTCAATGCCATTGTTAAGGATCCGAATTCATCCATTGAAGATGTTCTCAGTAAGTGGGTGGAAGAAGGGAAGGAGCTTGGGAAGCAAGAGGTCACTGCAGCCATCCTTGGTTGTCGCAAACGTCGGATGTTTGGGAGAGCCTTACAGGTATCTGTTGACTTGTTTGCTTGATCAAATTTGCTTGACCATGCTTCTAGATTCATAGTGTAAGGTATAAATGATCCATGTGCTAGTTTAGTTTGTGCTTTACTGATTGATGGGAGCTAGGTTTCGTCAGTTGAGCTGGCGTCCTGTTGGTTTTGGCCAAAAAAGGAAGGACCCTGTGGTCATCTCCCATATCCGTGCTGATATGTGTGGTTGCCCAGCAAGTCCTCCTACAGTGGGCATGTCACTTGAGTATCTCCCATCCTGACTTGCCATAGTCCATCATTTCCCTAATTTTTTCTTTAGGGAAACAATCAGATCAATCAACTGAGTCGTATTCGTAGAAATAGCAGAAGTTTACACGTTTGAAGGTTTTAGACTTTGAGTTTAGATTGATAGATGTTTTGAAGATGTTTCCGAACAACACTCATGGTGTAATTGCTCCATCCAAATGATATTTATATATGCTAATGACCATGACGCCAGGAGATAGATACGATGCACCAAACACTCTTTCACATTGTTCTTGGCATCTTGATTGATGAATTAAATAATCTCAATTACCATTGGCTGTTTGGAACATCAAATCTAAAGTAGCTACTTTCTTTTAGTAAATGGTCGTTATGAGGGGTGATCTAGCTTTGTGTTCAATTTGTAGCCAGTTCTGTGTTAGCTTTATGTGTTATAATTCCATGTAAAAAATGTTAAATATGGTGTGCTTTTACACGTTATCAAGTCGCAATATTTACCCTCATCATCTTCCTTTTGCAGCTCTCTGAGTGGCTAGAGAAAAAGGATGAATTCGATTTCATTGAAAGGGACTATGCTTCTCGTGCTGACTTGATCGCCAAGGTACGCGGCCTGCAGAGTGCAGAGAAGTACATTGACAAGATACCGAAATCTTTCAAAGGAGAATTAATCTACCGAACCTTTCTAGCAAACTGTGTCACATCCAGCAACTTAAAAAAAGCTGAGGAAGTGTTCAACAAAATGAGGGACCTGGACTTTGAACTCACTGCATTCACCTGCAATCAGCTCCTCCTCCTTTACAAGAGGCTCGATAGGAAGAAGATTGCCGACGTCTTGCTCTTAATGGAGAAGCAAAATGTCAAGCCTACATCCTTCACCTACAAGCTCCTGATCGACACCAAGGGCCAGGCGAATGACCTAACAGGTATGGAAGAGATTGCTGAAACTATGAAGGCTGAGGGACTAGTGCCGGACCTCACGACTCGAGCCATCATGGTTGGACACTATGTATCTGGCGGGCTCCGCGAAAAGGCCGAGTCAATTCTGAAAGAGATGGAAGCTGGCGACTTGAAGGAAAACCGATGGGTTTGCCGTGTCTTGCTCCCTCTCTACGCTTCCTTGGGGAAGTCTGATGAGGTGGCTAGGGTCTGGGAAATATGCAAGGCCAGCCCGAGACTCGAGGAGTGTCTCTCCGCGATCGAGGCATATGGGAAGCTGAAGCAAATCGAGAAGGCCGAGGCAGTTTTCGACAAGATGGAACAGAAATATAAGAAGATATCTTCCAAGCACTACTCCACTCTCCTGAAGGTCTATGCCAACAATAAAATGCTCTCCAAGGGGAAGGATCTGGTGAGGAGAATGGGGGAGAAGGGCTGCAGAGTCGGGCCCTTGACTTGGGACGCAATGGTGAAGCTCTATGTTGAGGCAGGGGAAGTCGAAAAGGCGGACTCCATGCTGCAGAAGGCGGTGCAGCAGAACAAGATGAAGCCGATGTTTAACTCTTACATAACGATCATGGATCAGTACTCGAAGAGGGGCGACGTGCACAACGCCGAGAAGATGTTCGTCAGGATGAGGCAGTCGGGTTACATAGCTCGTATGAGGCAGTTCCAGTCTCTTGTGCAGGCTTACGTGAATGCTAAAGTGCCGGCTTATGGGATCAGGGAGAGGATGAAGGCTGATAACATCTTCCCGAACAAGGCGCTGGCTGCTCAGCTGGCTCGTGTTGATGCGTTTAGGAGGACTGCGGTTTCCGATTTGCTCGACTGATGAAGTTTCTCGATCGCTGTTCTGGGTTCGTACATTGTTAAGTTGAAATGTCGAAACTTTCGAATGTTAGAGGAGAACAATGGAAGCTCTCTTGTTTCCTGTTAGTTTACATATTGTGATATGACTGCTTATCTGCTGCTGGTTTAGCTAGAAAGGCATTTGTGTTAAGCGGGCCGAGTTCTGAGTTTCTCTGTCGTCATTTGTGGCCGTAGCTGTTTTTGCAGATTGTTGACTGTGAAAGGAAGTAGAAATGCTCAAATGGTAGTGTTTGTATTTAACTCGTTTACAGTGAGTCGCTCCCAATCCAGATGACTAATGTGTTATCAAATAATTTTTAAGTGAGTCGCTCCCAATCCAGATGACTAATGTGTTATCAAATAATTTTTAATTTGGACGGTTATGGCTTTGATAACATGCAATGGAATTAGATCTTCGAGGTGAAGCATTACTCTCAATTTGGATGGTTATGGCTTCGATAACACGCAATGAAATTAGACCTTCGATGCGAAGCATTATGAGTAATTTCATTTTTTATCCTATGAATGTAGTGACATGTTCATCTTTCCCATAAAAAACCAAAATAAATGATCCCATGTCTCTATTAATGGGCCAGACAGCCCGGCCCAGCCCGGCCAGAAATTTTGAAGCCCTAATTTTCGATGGGTTAGTTTGGAGGGAAAGAAACGAGAGGGAAAAAAATTACAAAATCATATTTTTCGTAATTGTCTGGGTCTGCAAAAGATGTTGCGGCTAATCCAACTATCCAAGCGCCCTCTAGTTTACGAGTTGAAAGAGGGCACAAAGGAGAAATGGCGCCTCGTTATCGTTCTCTTCTCCTTCTCCCCAAAATACTCATGCCCTCCTCTGCTGCAGCTACGGCTGCTTCTGCCTACTCTTCTTCTCTCAACCTCCGTTCCTTCTCTTCACTGCCTCCGCTTCACCACCCGGCTCTTCTATTCAAAACCAGGTCTGTTTTATCCTGCAAAACCCCTAGTTTCATTACTTTTTTTGGTGGAAAAGCAAGGATGTGTTGAGTTTCTGGAGAAATGGAATTCGGAGCTTTTAATTAGTTGGATGTTTCTGGGGAGATTTTGTTTCCGTTTTGGGTGTGCGTTCGGTATATTTTTCACTCTACTGGGTTTCTGAAGTGACGAGTGGTGGTGGTTCGAGTAGGTTTTCACCATTTTTCTGCTTGCTGTTCGTTTCAGGGTGAATTTTCCATTGAGGAGGTCTTCCGGTCGTTTTCTTGTACAAAATGCTGTTTCGCCTAGAGCATTCATGTCTTCCACCGTCACAACTGAGGCCGCCAAAGAACAAACGACCTCAAGCTCTTATGGCTCGGACCAAATTCAGGTAACTTGGAAGTGTATTGGTTGCCTTCCTATGAAATGCGTACTACACTTGGTACTTAAAAATTGCAAGAATGGGCGCAATGTTTAGAAATTAGAATGATGTGTTTAAACTTTTGGCTTCTTTGTGGCTTCATGCTGACATTTCTTCTTTCTTGGTTCTGCTATTGTATTAAGGTGCTGAAAGGTTTGGATCCTGTAAGGAAAAGGCCAGGGATGTACATTGGGAGCACCGGACCTCGTGGTTTGCATCATTTGGTAGCTCCCAATGCCATTTAGGTTCTGTGTTGAGTTTACTGTAGGGTTACTATTTACCGAGAGATTTTTTTTTGATTGCTTGCGCTCCTTGCTTTCAGGTGTATGAAATTTTGGATAATGCTATTGATGAGGCCCAGGCAGGATATGCTTCGAGGGTAGAAGTCGTCTTGCATTCGGATAATTCTGTCAGTATTTCAGACAACGGGCGAGGAGTATGTTCTGTTCCCTTTAGTCTTGACCACGGATTATCGATTCCTTTATGGTCTTTTAGGAAGATGAATATATTCCAAAGCATAGGATTTGTTTTCCACTTTGTGTAGTCCAAGGCATATTCTTTTAGATCTATGCATTATAAATTGCTGATTCCCTTTTCTAATACCGATATATGGTGGTGTTTACGTGGGTCGCTTGATGGACTTTTTGGGGAACAAGTCTCATATTCTCTGGAGACTATCATTATGGGTTTCCCAATGAGGAAGTCGGATTGATGTTTGGTCTAGGTGTAAAGCTAGAAAAATCAGCATGATTGTCTTTTCCACACTGTAGCCCTATTCAACTCATTACTATATGCAAGCATTCAGCCTACTATTTTCATGTTCTGGGCGTCTTTTCGTCAATGATTATGCTGTTGGTTGTCATTGTATCAGTATTGTTTCCGTAATCATAGGTCTACCTTATGATGAAATATAAATGCTTCCGTTGAGTTTTTGCCAGGTTTTGGTTTATCTCTCGTAATGTATTGACATGCTTGGTTTTTATTTTCTTGTAGATTCCTACAGATCTCCATCCAGCGACCAAGAAATCTTCCTTAGAGACTGTGTTGACAGTAAGAATTCTGATTTCTGTTGGATTGTGCAGACTATATATTTATTGCATGCTTGTCTCTTCTCTGTATCCACCTGTTAGATTCCAGTATCAGATGCTTTCTACTTTTATATATCAGGTTTTACATGCTGGAGGGAAGTTTGGTGGTTCAAATAGTGGTTATAGTGTTTCTGGTGGATTGCATGGTGTTGGTTTATCTGTCGTCAATGCCTTGTCTGAGGTAAGTATTCCATCTCTGTTTTCATTTTTCTTTACCATTGTGCATGTGATTGCAATTGCAGGCATGAGCTTCTGTTCTATTAACTGTTGCCTTTACGAAAGCGGACTGAACAAAATGTTATTCGTTAGAAACTCTACTAAATTGCTTTGGTAGATCATAGAGTCGAATCTTGCAACAGAAAGTATCTTGCATTTTTATTGGGTGTCTGTTTCTATTTTAGACAATTCTCTATACTGCCTTTTCCCTGGATTTTTCTGTTTTATGGAATAAATGTTAACAAATGATACTTGTTCATGCCTTCTTTGTAGAACTTGGAAGTTACAGTTTGGCGTAATGGGATGGAGTACCAACAGAAATATTCTCGCGGAAACCCTTTGACTAGCCTTATTGGTCTTTCACTTCCAGTTGAATCAAATACTCGCCAAGGGACTAAGATCCGATTTTGGCCGGACAAACAAGGTTCTCTTTGATTTTTGTGTTTGGTTTTCCAGTATATCATTGAGCCATAAGATCCCAAGAGATCTCTTCCAATTTCATCTTCAAGATTATGTCTCTAATGCCAGCACCTTTGCCCCCTTTTGTTTGCAGTATTTACTACTGAAATAGAGTTTGATTACAGCACTATAAGTGGACGAGTTAGGGAGCTTGCTTTCCTAAACCCAAAAGTAATGCCACCAATCAAGTCTACTACCTTTCGTGCCTGTTTATGAACACTGTTTTCTGTTTCTGTATCATGCGAAATATTGTAGGTTATAATATGTTTGTTACTATGTCAGACTAGTTTGATTGTTTGAACCTACTTGTCTTGTGATATTGATCGCTGTGTAATTTGTTGTATCTCATTTGCAGCTGCATATCACTATTAAAAGAGAAGATGCTGATCCAGCAAAAAATCAGGCTGATGAATATTATTATGCAGGGGGGCTGGTTGAATACGTGAAATGGCTAAACGCTGATAAGGTACGGATTTTTCTAATGTTCCTGACTTCCTGTTGTGAACTCAGGCGACTGTGTTCATTCACCATATTGAACATAACTACAATAGTGATGTTTAGGATTTTCCTGATTGGATAAATGCTTTGACTTAACAAAATCTGTAATCAATATCCAATAAATTTTTCATACTTGATGTTTATTTATATAGACACCAATCCATGATGTTGTGGGAATCAGCAAAGATATGGATGGAATCACGGTTGACATGGCTTTTCAATGGTATCGTCTGATTTCTTCCCTTTTTGCTTCAGCACTGTGCATGCTTGTTCAACTGAACATGTGTCTATTTCATATTGAACACTGAGCTTGTTTTGTTCTCTTGTAGGTGTTCAGATGCATACTCTGATACAATACTAGGGTATGCTAATAGCATACGTACTGTTGATGGCGGAACACACATAGATGGTTTCAAGGCTGCGCTAACAAGAACTGTTAACAGCCTTGGGAAGAAGTCAAAGATAATCAAGGTGTGCCTTTAGCCTGCTGTTCAGCTGTCTCTTCAACCTTAACCATGTCTGAAGTATGTTTAGAGAAATTGGGCGGGAATTCATTCCTTTTTTCCTGGATTGGCTAGATGGGACTATAATCAAATTGGAGCATTTATATCATGTTTAGATAATTATGAAACATAAAGATATTTTTTACGCCATGAAAACTAAAGCATGGTCTGATGCTATCAGGAAATTTTGCTCCGTTTTGAGTTTTTAATTTTTTTTCCATCATAGGGTTTTCTTCACCAAATGAATCGTTCAGCCTACAAAGCCATGGCTTCAACTTAGCTGAATTTGTTGAGTTGACATTGTAGTGATATAGTACATCATCTACTGGGAGTTGCAGTGTTTCCTGTTTTACAACGTCTTGCTCTTTCCTGGCAGGAAAAGGATATTAATTTAAGTGGCGAACATGTCAGAGAGGGATTGACTTGCATTATCTCAGTCAAAGTACCAAGCCCTGAGTTTGAAGGACAGACAAAGGTACTGCCTCCTTTGATGCCAATCTCCCAGAACCATACATTTCTCTATAGGTTCGAAATGTAATAGACTTGCTATGTTTATGCTGTGTCAACTGTAGACAAGATTGGGCAATCCTGAGGTTCGGAAAGTCGTGGATCAATCTGTTCAAGAGTATGTTACTGAGTATTTTGAGTTGCATCCGGATGTCCTTGATTTAATCCTTTCAAAATCTCTAAATGCTCTCAAGGTACTCTTCTTATTGATATAATGCATTCCTTTCGTGTTTTCCCCCTCACCTTATTGACCGCTGAACTCCACCTTGATGGCTACCCTGCAACAATTATATGTCTGTGTTTCTCTCTGTTTAGGCAGCCCTAGCAGCAAAGAGAGCTAGGGAATTGGTCAGGCAAAAGAGTGTCTTGAGATCATCTTCTCTTCCAGGGAAGCTTGCTGATTGCTCATCTACCAATCCTGAAGAATCTGGTGACTATTCTATTCCATGTTATTTATTTTGACAGAGTTGCTGAATTTCAAGATAGCTAAATGAAATAGCCTTGAAATAGACTTCTGCTTGATTCGCCACGAGGTTCAGTGTCGCATTTTAAGGACTCTATCATTTCAATGCCTGCAGAAATTTTCATAGTTGAAGGTGATTCAGCTGGTGGAAGTGCTAAGCAGGGCCGGGATAGGCGCTTTCAGGTAATTGGATCCATTCTTAATTTAATCGATGAGCGTGTGAATGGTGGTGAAGCAATGTTGTGGTCTGCTTTGTTTAATTGGGAATTGGGCATTTTTGATTCATGTCCCTTCATGTTCTGAAAAATGACGTGTGCATTACTCATTAGGGTGCTAAATTATCTTTAAATCATGTTTTACAGGCTATTCTACCTCTTCGAGGGAAGATTTTGAACATAGAAAGAAGAGATGAAGCAGCAGTATACAAGAATGAGGAGATTCAAAATCTTATACGTGCTCTTGGACTCGGAGTTAAGGTGAGGTTTAAATAATCACTTTTTGTGCTTAGCGTTGATTTATTTCAATTTTCTGTCCTTGTACTCATTTTGAAGTTCTTGCAAAAACATGGACACAGGGAGAGGAGTTCAAAAAGGATGCTCTTCGTTATCATAAGATCATCATCTTAACCGATGCGGATGTGGATGGTGCTCACATTAGAACACTTCTATTGACTTTCTTCTTCAGATATCAGGTATATTTTGATATAATATACAGAATAGAAGACTAGAGAAGTACTTGTATTCGAAGCAGAAAGATCTTATATCAAATTTTAATAACTTAGACTTAAGATCATACCGTCGAGCACAGTTAATGGGATTTTTTTTAACTTCTTGTACAGAGGGCATTATTTGATGAAGGTTGCATTTATGTTGGTGTGCCTCCGCTTTACAAGGTACACTCTCTTGGGAAATTCACAAAGTGAATTGATTTTTCTTTGCATGCTTCACTGCTCTTGCGGCCTTCGACAATGGTTTCCTTCTGAATTAACCAGGTCGAGAGAGGAAAGCAAGCTCACTATTGCTATGATGAAGCGGATCTGAAAAGGGTCCAAAACTCGTTCCCCCAAAATGCATCTTACAATATCCAGAGGTTCAAAGGTGAGAACATGACGGGGCAAGTCGATGATTTACTTGAAAAATTTACACCAACCCTTGGGAAACAAGCTTTCTCAGCCACGCTTTGGATTATGTTATTCCTTTGAATATGATCATAGTGTCAACAGTTTTCTTTTGGCCATTGAGGTGTCTAAACATGGTTTGTGTGAATTTAACATGGAGGAAATTTTTAGTGCTATAGAGTTGCTTAGTGAATTGACAATAAACTCGGTTCCATTCACAGGGTTGGGAGAAATGATGCCTGCACAGCTGTGGGAAACAACGATGGACCCAGAGCAAAGGATGCTCAAGCAATTAGTGATCGAAGACGCAGCTGAGGCCAATGTGGTGTTTTCTTCTCTCATGGGAGCTCGGGTAAGTCTCATATACAACACAGGCACGAGCTTCGACATGCCATTTTCGGTGTCTTCATGTAAGCTCGGTTCTGAATCTCTACACGTCCTTAATAACAATCTATGACTTTCGGGTTTTCAGGTAGATACTCGGAAGGAGATGATCAGGAGTGCTGCAGCCATGTTCGACATTGATCAACTCGACATTTGATCGATCTTGTCTAGCCAATTAGATTAGCAATCGAGATGTCGGTTTCAAAATCTTTGATCGGTTTTTGATGAGCGGAGTGAAACGTCGGTAGCTGTTTTCTGGGTTTTAGGATTAGGTAGGTGATGATGGACGGGTTTTTGCTGCACTGATTCTGAAGCCACACCTTTGTTCTGAAATGCTACTGTTTAGTTTCGCGGTGTAGGGACTAGGGACTGTTTCTGTATATATGATTTGTAAGTTTGTAACATTAACTAATGAGAGAAAAATTATGAAACGACCATCCTTGAGGTTAAGTTCTCTATTGAAAAAAAAAAAAAGTTAAACCTTCCAAGTTATGTTGTGATTATGAACGATATTTGCCGACAAAGGATTCTGAAACTATATCAAAAGTTGTACCGCAAAAATTAATAATAGAATATTTTGTACTAAAATTATGGTTCACGCTTTCATATTGCTAAAATTAATTTGATGCTGGTTACCCAGTATTCCCAGCCCGTTTCCAAAACATTGTTTATGAATTGATGAGTTCTGCAAAATCCAAATCGAAATGCCAAGAATGAAACACGGCCGTGTTCTCCAACATCTCCGGCGCAAACTCCCCGTCGTCCCACTGATCCTCGTCCTCCACCTCTCCAACCACAGCCACTCCAACCACAGCCAGCGGCGGCGCGTCGTGATCTTCTTCTTCCGGCGAGGGAGCCACGTTATGGCCGCCACCGACAGAAGAATCAACAGTAGCAGTTGTGGTGGTGGTGAGACTGCTGCAATTGCTACTGCTGTCCGACGACGAATTGGAAGCTGCTGCTGGCGGGTTGATGTGGTGGCGGTGAAGGGAAGGTGGGAACTCGGCGTCCCGGCCGGTGAGTTGCTGAACGAGTCGGCGGAACTCGGAGGCACGGATCTCGAACTTCATTGGGTTGGAGATGTACACCACTCTCATGGGCTCGCTAATACCCTTATAATTTCCTCCTCCTCCTCTGTTTCTGCTTCCTCTGTTGTTGCTCTGTTTCTTCTTCTTTGCTGCTGCTGCCAGCTTCATGTCCATCACCAGATTATTCTCCATTTGAATCATCGATCGAGCAGAGGGAGAAGGGAAGGAGCTGGAAAGGGTGAGAAGTGGATGAGAGAACTAATAAGGAGATGGATGAGAGGGAGAAAAGTTTGAGAGCTTTGATGGCGGAATCGCAAGGTGACAAGATTGGAAAAAACTGTACTTAGGAATGAAAAGGTGATCGATAGTTCGATACATGAATCTATCTAGCTCCCACGCCCCACTAGGAGGATGTGTGTGTCCACTCCAATCAATGGCCGGGTTGCAACTTGAGGGAGGAAGATGCAAAGATATTTTCTTCTACACATACATGAATTAATAGCTAGGGACCTAGTAGGGTGGATAGATTAGGATATAAGATGCTTTGCGTATGACTCGATAAAAATTGAAGTTGTAGAATCTTGTTACAAGTGATTTCACCTTGATTAGTATGATCGTAATTTACTTCTTTGTTCGATCTAATTAGAGACGGGGTTTTTCCCCCTCCTCGCTAGTTTTAGTTGAGCGTAACTCTTTTGGATGGTTGTGACTGGTTCTTGTTCTCCCACGCTCATTTTTCAAAATCCTGCAAAAAAAAAAAAAAAAAAATCAAACTCTAGAGTTCATCCATCCTTCCCTCAATAAGGTAACACACGCAATGATACACTGTCTTCTCCGACTGTTCCTGGATGTGAGGTTGTTTTTAAAATTTCAATTGGCATTATCGTTATCATGCCTCTTCATTCTCCTTCTTCTCAATTTTAGTGTCCTCATCTAGTGCCCCGTGTACTCTCCATCAATGATCGAGCTCGCCCTGCTTCTATCCTGTTATCACAAACGACACATCGTTTGTTCTATGTTAAATAAGATTTTCGATTTTTTTTAACCTTGACTATCCCAAAACATATTGTTTAACTATTGTAGAAAGGCTATTACAAAACCTAATTTCGTTGGATTTACACCTTTGTTATAGTCAGCTTAGTCATTTTAATAAAATTAATGAAATCTCGTCTAAGACAACATTAAGAGATTAAAAGTTTGAAACTATATTAGCATAGTGTGTTAACGAAAGGAGCTGAGAGTTACAGACACGCTCCGTGGATGCGAGTGGGAGTATATAAAGGTTGCATGGCCAGAACGGCAGAGCCCTCGCCACATTGGATAATTTGCGTACGTGGCTCTTTGTAACAGGCCGCTTGGATGTCATGACGCCATCATTTGCTGTAGCGCTGATGTCACTTTTAATTTTAAAGGCGGCTTTCCTGTTTATTATTGTACTAACTAACTACTATGTGAAAACTGTCACCATATTATAGATAAAATAAAATATCCGACGTGAATTTTGAAGTGGACTATCAGTGGGCTTACATGGGCTTTCTTAATAAGTCCCCTCGGGCCCCAACTAGACTGCCATAGCCCATACCTATTGATCCGATTGAGTTCCACTGGATCGAAGAGGATGAAGTTTGTGTCAACCGAAAGCTCGAAACAATTTTTTTGTTTCAATAGAGGCACCTTAGAAGTGTAAAGGTAAACAAAATAGTTGAGTTGTGATCAATGACCATGACCTATCTTTATTCTTTACCATAACAAATCCCCTTCATCCAAATGACTGTCTATTGAATGAATCAAAAATATACATAGCCCACATTGACGGCTAGCTGATAGCAAGAGTTATGCATTGCTTTTATGAGATATTAGAGGAAACTAAAAATGTTTTGGTTGCTATTAGGTTCATTTGGGATGAATATAGCTGTCATCTCCGGAACAGACAGAAAAAAGAATAATAGAAAATTATTGACATAGCCAATGCAGTCAAAAGCGCGATTCTATCTAGAAGCGGTTGGGTGACCTAGATGCGTAAAACCGTAAGCTTTTAAGTTTTAAAGCGTAGATTTTGACTACATTTGTAAAGGAAAATCACGATTCTACGTAGAAGCGTTTTGGTGACCTAAAAAGGTAAAAGCGTAAGCTTTTAAGTTTTAAAGCGCGATTTTGACTGCATTGGACATAGCGATTCAATGGTTGGAGTATAACAAAAAACACCAATTGTAACAACTTAACAGCGGCATGTAGAGGTCGATCTCTTGGGAACATCTAGTGATTGGGAGTTTCAAAATTAATGTAGATAATGCAGTTTTTGAATAAAGAGGGGCTCGATTTTGGGTGGTGATAAGGGATGGATTTGGCAATTTCTGTCTACCAGGGGTTAGAAGAACAAGAATGCCATGGCTAGCAGCGTTTTCTGAGGCAAAGGCAATTGGATTTGGGGTAGAGATTGTTGCCCATTTTCATTTCCCCCTTGGCGGAGTAAGATTATTTGATGGTTATTCAGCAATTACAGAGGGAGGAGACAGAGGAAACAGAGATTCGAGCCTAGAATTTTGGATCACCAGACCTCCAATCTTTCTAATTCTTATGGTTGATTGTAACACTCATTCCCACAATCAACGAGAAAGTAATCAACGTTTATCATAAAAAAATTCTCTCAACATAAAGAAAATCATATCAAAGTTGTATCATAATTGGTAGTTGGTACAGATGTTTTGAATAACTCTCATAATGGAGTTTCATATTTCAATTTGAGCACTCACCTAGCTTATCATTCAATACATATGTGACCCTTTGTCATCTTCCCGTCACTCATGTTGAGTATGTTGATCATTCAAATGAGACCATTACTATGCAACACATGAGGCCTGTTGTCAGTTTGGTGCTATTCACATATTGTTAACATGATACTTTATTGTCGACCTAAGTACTTAAAGAAAAAAGGTTGTGTTGGTCTAATGGTGAGTTTTTGTAACGGTTGGTTTGCCACTCCTGGTGGTGCCCTTCCGTCAATTCCTTTAAGTTTCAGCCTTGCGACCATACTCCCCCCGGAACCCAAAGACTTTGATTTCTCATTAGGTGCCGGCGGAGTCCAAAAAGCAACATCCGCCGATCCCTGGTTGGCATCGTTTATGGTTGAGACTAGGACGGTATCTGAATGAATTACGTGTATATATTACCAGATTGATATTGGGCTGCTCATTTAGTGAAACAATACGTTCAATATTTGCACTATAATATGTTTGGATAATAATTTGTAAACTGATTTTCTATAATGGAAAGTGAAGTTATTATTGACATTATCGTTTTGTTATCGTCTTATCTTAAGAAAATCAAATTGAAGTGTACATAGTTGAGCATCGTGCATGATGGATTAGAGTCCATTGTCACATTGATAATCATTGTTTCATTCAGGCTGGTTGGACGAATAACATTTTGTGGAATCTGATTCAAATTTAATTTCTTCATTTGTTATTATGGTAGGCATAGTTTGCGGAGAAGGTGGAGACGAACGTTGGTAAGTAGTTTGACCTTCAATTTAGTGTGACGGTAGGATACGTTAGTTGAAAATGTAAATAATAACGAGATAGAGAAAATTGTGAGAAAGAAGAAAATGAATTCGTACTTAGGAGGATAAAAGCTTTCGTATACATTAGAGTTTGAGCAATTTATCGTGAGCTCTCATCATCATTGATCATCAATGACGGGCAATTAGACGATGGTTCGAAGGAGTATATGCCAAATATATAAAATAATATATGGGTAAAATTTAAAACAAAAAACTCCAACCCTATGTTACAAGTGAAGTGGGGCCATTTCCAAAAATTCTGAGCCATCACCACCACCGCTGCCACCTGATCTCCATGGCGGGTCCCAACCGCGTCTACCGATGTGGCCACATTCAGTAGCTTTCCTCAAAAGAAACCAGCCGTGATCATCTGGAAATCGGAATTCGAAAGGAAAGAAAAAACGGAAGGTGAAAAGCCAACTCAACTTTCTATTTAGCAAACAAGAATCCTCCCCTCCGGCCAAATATAAAACGAAGCCGCTCCCCGCTCTGTCTCCTCCAGTTCTCACTCCCTTCACCATCAACAATCGCCGTATTCGTTTCTCTCCGGGAGCTCAGCAACCGCCGCGAAGTTTGTTGAAATATCCGGTATTGTGTCTTAGTTTGTTTTCGCCCGTCTGTTTCGTGTTCCCGCTCAATTGGATTCGTTTCGCTGTTTCCTTTTTATGCTTTGCGTCCGGAGCCTTAAGCCCGCCGGAAAAAAAAAGTATTTGATTCCCGTTCGTTTTTGTCCGTCCAGATTCCGGGAAGCTCCTCTCTGGCGGTTACGAAGGTAAGTTGAACATTGCGATTACTCTTGATCATATCGAAGTAGGATTTTCCTGTGGTTTGCTGTAGGTTTTGGTTAGGAATTTAAATGGAAATAGATTTCTGTTGCTAGAGTTGAGCTTGATTGGGATAGATGATTGTGGTCGTGTCCGGAGCTGAAATGTAAAAGATGAGTTGTCTGTTCATGTGTTGAGTTTGTTCACTTCCTGTGCCGGGTTTGGCTTGGATTTAGTCAACAAGTTGTGGTTGTGAGTAGACTGTGATGGTGGTGTTCTTTCTAATGATTCCGAAAGCTACTATTCTCTTTGTTTCTCGTATCTTTCTGCTGAATCAGTTTAGTTCAAGCAAGTACTCAATACTTCTGGTCCTTTTCCCCCCATCTGATGTCTTTTAGGTTGGCGCGGATTAGGTTTGTAGTAGCATTCTGAAGTTCGTGGAGCATCAGAGTGGTGGATATTGATCGCTGTTGTTTACTTCAATTTACCTCTATGCAAGATATGTCGAATGAAAGTGTGAGAAGGGTCTCACCCAGAGACATACAAGTGGTAAGCAAGCTGCTATGTTTTGGATGCAAGACTCAGTTGAATTATCTTAATATTTACCAGGGTCTTTTCCTAAATTCTTTGTTCTTAGTTCGTCCTTGATATTCAGTTTCTCGCATCATATATTAATTAGAGTTTGATAGAAATGTTTATGAATGTGATCTATGGCGTCATTCAAGAAGGGATTTGCTAAAGCAAGACATTTGAGTTTACTTGATGTTGGTTGTGAAGGTGTTACATTGGTTTCTCTGCTGATCTTGTGAGAAGGCTCGAAGCAATGGTTGGTTGCTAATTTTTCTGCTTGATTCTGATTTCAGGTTCAAAATCTCATAGAACGATGTCTTCAGTTGTACATGAACCAACAGGAAGCTGTCCAAACCTTATTGGCTCAGGCAAAGATAGAGCCTAGTTTCACAGAACTTGGTAATTGTTAGAGTTTTGCTTGTTTAATCAAGTTTTACTAGATTGAGTAAGATGGCAAAAGTGTTTATTGAACTTCGGTTTCCCCACTTATGACAGCACTTGATGACTTACAAGTTAAAATTGTAATTTTGAGTTTGTCGTGGCTACATGATGGTTCTTATATATATCTCATCTTGTAGTGGAACTGCCCCTTGTGAGATTCTACATAGGGGCTGATGCATAAGAACATTGCAAAACGTTTACTACCACTTTCCTGTTACGTGCCTACACTTAACGGTATTTTCTGGATTAGTCCGTAATTATTGTGATATTTCTTACATAGGAGCAGTTAGTAACTGCCCAGCACTTGCGAGCTGTGTCTATCTAGCGAGTAATTGATTTTGTGACAATCATATACTTGAGGAGCAGTTACAGCAGCTTCCTTTTAATTAGCTTGTTCATCTCTCCCTTAACGGCCGAGAAGTAAGAGAGAAAAGGCATTCAAGAAGGTTTAGCGCCATTTGTGCTCTCTCTCACATTAAACAAGCTAATCCTTGGCTCTTGAAAAGTTGGCATACCAGTTAGAATTTTACTGATAGGAACCATGACCAAAGAATCGGGTCCTGGTATTCCTACTTCTGGGACTTGATCTTTGACTTAAGACTCTTGCATTTTTGTTTCTTGTAAAATCTGACATGCCAACATGATCACACACAGAGTCCGTTATTGACATGTAAATTAGGGTACCAGGTGGCGAGGTGGACTAATAAAGAAAGGAAAGAAACAGGGTAATTTGCTAGTTTAAAAAGGATAAAATTTTGTAGGAAAATTAGCAAAATTAGGTGGCACCGCCATTTCTTTTCAGTTTGGATCTAATTTTTTTTCCTTCTGTTTCCTTGGTATTAAAAGAACTGTTATCAAGTAGTATCGATTGTACAGTTTTTGAGATATAAAAGGGAACGATATTGCATTGTTGCTAATCATTGCTTTGTTTTTAGTTTGGAAAAAGCTTGAAGCAGAAAATCGGGACTTCTTTGATGCATATTATCCGAGACTAATAGTGAAGACCCAGATAATGGAATTCAATAAGTTACTTGAGCAACAAGTGGAGCTGATGCATCATATAAGTCCAACTGGAGTTGCTTCTATTCCTAATTCTAACGGGTCTCAGCTTCCACCATGTAAGACTTGGTTCTCTGCCAATTTAGATCGATTTTGTTGTGGTAGTTCTGATTTGAGCTGATTTCAGCAGTACTTCCATGTCATGAGTTTGTTTGTCAATAATTTGCCAAAATAGTCACAGGATTAGTGAAGGTAAATGATATTTGTTGAAAGTTACTATTGACTTCATCGTGTTCCACTAAATCAAGAGAACTTGATCTGTGTCTTCGAAAACTGTAGTTCCGTCAAGCTCAATCGATTACTTGTTATTTTATAGCATAATCTTGTAACTGATTGTTCTTTCTCTGCAGTGCATCAGAACTCCGCATGCTATGTCTCTGAGCAGGCATGTGGTGCCTTGAGATCAGATAACATACAACATACACCCATTTGTTCAAGCATTCCCAATTCATTTACTAATGGTGGATCCTCACTCCATTCGAGTATGCAAACTGCTGTTGACATTTCAGCTCATGCAAATAGAATTGATGCTTCAACAAACTTGCTTGCCATTCAAACTACAAACTTGGGTATGACGCAAGGATTGAATGGAGCCATAAAATCTGAATCTGGTTACACAGGCACTTCTTATGTGGTGGGCACTGGTGTAAATGTCATAGAAGCACGTCAATCCATTGCAGATGCATCGTTCGGCAGCGTAGAGTCCAGTTCACAAGCCATTAATGAGGCACTTATTGATCCAGACACATCTTCTTTTGGATTTTTGGGTCGGATTCCTCGAAATTTCAGTCTTTCAGATCTGACTGCCGACTTTAATCAGAGCTCAGGTTTTTTTCCCCCCTCTCATAAATCTGTCATCATGGATATGTAGGAGATACTGCTGAAGTTCTTCTTTTTTATGTTCTTGTATGGATGTTTTACCCCTGTTGTACTAGTAAAGTTATGGGCCTGTATAATAATCTGTAAACAGACAGGAACAAGTTATTTGGCTAATATTTTTCTCACTTCTGGTTTGCACATTTCAGATATACTAGAGAACTATGTTAGATCACCCTTCATGGGTGCTGAAAATGATAACTTCTTGGATTCTCGCGACAGAGAGCTTCAAGGTCTGTTAGCTTCTCTCTATGTCTCCCCAAGTATTCATATGGCTTTTTACCTAGAAGGAACATAATTTGGTGAATTTGCTTAACAGGGGACAGTCGATTGGATACTATTTCTGAAGGAGTGAGTTATCACAATTTTGGAGCGGAGTAGGTGCATAGTTCTAGGGTAAGTATCTATGGCCTGATTTCTTTTATCTTTCTTGTTTATATCTAGGTAGCTCAGTTGGTAGAATAGTGGTTATGCTTATTGATTTTCACTGGTCCTCTCTGCTTCATCTTGCTGGAAACTGATGAGTAGAAAAGAAACTTGCTAGAAACGGGAGGAAAGGTAGACTTCAGGGAAATCTTTTGTTGCTCTGCCTCTACATCAATACTGTTGGGATACTGGCTTTGCCAGAACTCTACCGAAGCCTTCAGTACTAGGACCAAAATTGACGAGACTAACCTCCAAGTTTTAACTTGAACGAGAATTTCTCTTCTGTCTGTTTTCCCCTAGCGAACAGTACCTTACCTCTTAACCCAAATTAGAGTTTAAGCCTCTCAACATGCAGATCAATTTAATGCAGAAGCACTATAGATGCATTCTGGTGCCTAGTAGGTGTAGAGAATTCCTTAGAAATTATGATGCAAGTTAAATTATGAGTTTGAATGCGTAGGTTAGTTGTTTATCCTTTTGGTTTGGAAGAACCTTAGGGTTGATAAATTAACAGAATGGTTAACTACAACTTCTGGATTTAGGCTTCCTAGTATCTGTTAGACTATGAGGCTTTTGGTCAAACTATGACTCGAGACTTCAGGTAATGTCCACCCCTTTATGTCTCGTGGTTGGTCTTATGTTGCCAAGTTGTGGTTAAGACAATATCGATGTCCAACCTTTCATGTCTCGTGGTTGGTCTTATGTTGCAGAGTCGTGGTTAAGACCATATCGATGTGAATGTTATTACCATCCTTAAAACTTTTTTTCGTTGCTTTGGAGCAATATTCCTGAGCTTTCCTATTCCTCAATGCAGGTCCAGGTCATAAGGCGAAGGAAAAATTTCAAACTGTACATGTAGCATTGTGTAGGATGGGGATAGAGCTTCAGGTCTAGATGAGTTTCTTCAAGGGTGCATTTTCAAGGTTGTGTAGCAACTAGCAATAACAAGAGTAACGCGTCGAGTGTGGCAATTTATGATGATACTACTCGATAATAGTGTGGCTAGCTAGATTGGTTTGTGTCTTTCACCTCCTATGGAAGAATTTTGCCATGATACTGTTTCTAAGTATATTAGGGGTTTTAGATGAGCTTGTATAAATGTTTGAATAGCAGGTATTTGCAGAGTTTTAACGAGTGTGCAACAAAGTGAATATTATGTCACAAAGCTCTCTAATGTCTCAACATGGACAAAGCACCAACTCGCAAATCTGAAGACGGAAACATGGAGTGAAAAGGGGACAACTAATCAACAATCCTATCAAATCAGTAAACAAGGCGTGGCTCAAATTCGGCCAAGTCCACGGATCCAGACTCGATGGGCGGCATCAGGTACGCAGATATGATCTCGGAAACCAGCGCTGCAACAATAGGTACTCTCTTCAAGTTCTTCACCAATGGAATATCGTCGGTCTCTCCTACAGCCAGCAGCTTCTGGTTTATCTCCACCATCCTGTCTAGCTTTCTCTTGAACTCCGGGTTCTCCACATCCAGCACTGCCGGGAATATCCTGGCTGTCGTCCTGTTCGTCTGCAAAGAAGAACAATCACAGCATGTCAGCTTCCAGGAACCGATAGCAGCCTCCGTGCGGCAGCAAAGCTAACCGTTGTTCGTTTCAATTGACAGGGGAAAGGCCATATTGTTACCTCAATGATGACATGCATGTCGAATTCTTTCGTGTTGAGTCCAATCCCTTCATAGAAATCTGATCTCTGACAGTCATTGAGGTACATCGTGACATACACCTGAGGGGAAGAAACACAGCAGTTTCAAATCAAACTCATCTTGCCATACAGATACCACAAGGACGAATCACAGATTCGTATTGTTGCTTACAGAGAGGCAGAAGAAGCGAGCCCAGAGCTTGGCCTTCCAGTCGTTGAGGAACTGCGGCTGAGCCTTCATCAGCGCTGAGAAGAAATCACCATGACGATTCTCATCCTGGCACCAGTTCTCGAAGTACTTGAAGATCGGGTAGCACTGGTACTCCGGATTGGCCTTGAGATGCCTGTAGATGGTAATGTACCTCCAGTACCCTATCTTCTCCGACAGGTAGGTCGCGTAGAAGATGAACTTCGGCTTGAAGAACGTGTACTTCCTCGCCTTTGTCAGGAACCCCAAGTCCAGTGCCAGGTTGAAATCCGACAACCCCTTGTTCAGAAACCTGCCGGAAGAACCAAAGAAGTATAGTCAGAGAACTGCCACCATTCTCGGGACAGAGGAAAACAGAGTCGACCATTTTCTCACCCTGCGTGCCTGGCTTCATCCCTTGACATGAGCGAAAAGATCTCCGCCACCACTGGATTGGTTTTCTGCATCATCGAATCGAAACAATCGAATCGTTTCAGTCAGTTAAGATTTCGCTATGTTACCTCTACCAGTAGAACAGGCATTGGGATTGGTTGAGCTGTGATTACTTACTTTCAGCCTCCTGCCGAGCTCTTTGTAGAGGAGGAACCCGGAGAACTCGGCGGTGCAGGATCGCTCGAGGAACTCGACGAAGATCTGGCGGAGAGGGCCTTGCATCTTGTCGGCGGCTTCCTTGAACTCCTTGTTCCTGACGAAGTGGGTCTGGTTGTAATCGGTCTTGAACTCCTGCAGCAGGGCTTCGAACTCCTCCTGGTTCAGCTGCTTGTTGATCTCCGAATTGAACAGCGTCTCCATCTCGTCGAAGTCCGTGGTGTAGAACCGCGGGGTCAGCAGCGTCTCCTTTATCGCCGTCTTTTGCAGCTTCTTCTTGGTCCCGCCGCCGCTGGCGGTGGTAGAGGTGGCCGACATTCTGATGGAGCAGAACGACAGTCTGCTGCTGCTTCTGGAAGTGGTGGTGAATTTGGAGATGATGGGTTTTGCCAGGGCCATCTCTGCCGCCATTGTTGTGGCTGGTGTTCAGGGTGGGGGAAGATTGCTGGAGCTGGAGAAGGGAGTGGAAAATGGGAAATGGCGATGGGAAAGCTTATAATTGGTGGGGGAAGATGATTAAAATTCTCATCCACTGGAAATCTACTAGAGTTTATGTGAGCGCTACACGTGGCCAAGGGTTATTGGCGGGGCTCGATTTGCCAGTTTGCCACAAGTGGCTGTGGCGATAGACTGTTGTCGTCGCCCATTTGTGCAAAATCTCACCTCCCGTGGTTGGCTGGAGTCTGGACGCCATAAGATTTCCAACAACCCTTAATTTCCCTAAAAAAAAAATTGAAATGTTATCGTACTCTTTACAAGTAACCAATAGTCCAATATGATATTCTTTTTTTTTTTTTATCATACAATCTTGCAATTTCGCGTTTATGATACTTGATTACACTCTTACTGATTCAACGCTTGGTATCGTTTCGCCGTCTATGGATTTCAGTTTGATGCCATCAACAACACTTTTGCTTGTAAAATTTAGCTTCTCCCAAGACTGAGAGCTGCGTGTAGCATTGGCAGGTGTGTTGATTTATAAGTGAGTTTGGGCGAAATTGTAAACGATAGCGCTATGAAATTTGTTGCGATTGAAGGTTTGTAGAATTGTAGAATCAAGTGACGAAATAGTTCTTGTTCCGAGACATAGATATCACAAAGAGGCTAGTGCAAGAGGCACAAATTTCAAGACCCATCTACCAAAGCTAGAGGAGCAAAGAACTTTTTCTTTGCCTTCCTTCTTCTCCCACATCTCACTTCTCACAACCTGAATCCAATCCTTTATGGATATTTTCAAATGTTGAACTCCTCCTAAAACTTTTGTCACAAGTGGTGAACCAAAAAACTTTCCCACTGCTCCTTCATAGAGGTCCTCTATATTTTCTTTATCCACTGCAGGCAATTCTTTATACGATATGAGGTGCCTCGTCAATCTACCTCTCTTTACCTTTTCTTAGTTTTTCAAGCTAAACACAACCCAAAAAATTCCAAAAGACATTTTATCTTCTCTCTTTGTGAAAGGTATTAGAACAAAATCTTCTATAAAAAAATTATAAAGTGAGAATTAACACATGATAAAAACAAACTAATTAAGAATTACACATTTTGATCTTAACAATGTTGTATTCTAATGAAGCTATATGATGATACCATGATTCAAGTAAAATTGCATCTTTTTTTTATTTTTTTCTTCCTTTTCTAGGTTTTGCTTTCTCTTTGTACTCTTTACCTTTTGATATTGAAACAAATTGTAACCCAAAAAGATGAGATGAGAAGGAGTTGGTGAGGAACCAAGGATGGGACAAAAGGAAGGATTTGCAATTATATGCTAATGTTAACTCTTTCAAAATGTTTTACACATCAACCACACAATTTCCATTTGAATCTTTTACCACCTTCTACTTGACATCTCAAACCCTCATTTGCTCTCCTCCATCTCATTTCTCTCATCCTGTGAATCAAAAACAAAATGTTAATGCAACAAACAATACATGTAATTAGTTTTATTTGCTTTTACATCCTATTTAGATAAGGTTAGTTGGCTAATGTCAATGTTGAAACTAATCCATCTTACTTGGAATTACATGACCTTCAACTGGATTTGGATGGTGGAGTATGGAGAGTATTGCTTCCCAGCCATATAGTCCATAATAAAGTCTTTCGTTTAGTGTGCATGCTGTTCGTGAAGGGTTGCTGCTGCGTTCATGACCTTATGTTGCGAGCTATGACGATCTGATAAATCATTATAAGGATCAAATGTAGCAACTCCACCGTCAGATTTTCCTTTCCTCTTCAAATCATCATCATGATCATCGTCATTGAAACTATTATAATTCAAGTTCTGCAAAATGGCTGGGAGCTTAGTCCCTTCCTTCCCAAGCTTATCCCCTCCCATTTCCAAGTCAAATTTCTCCTTAGAGCTCATTAAATTGTTATGCCCATTCATGCTCACACTCCTCACTGAATCATCGATGATCTCCACTGGAGCCACCCATTCCCTAAAGTTTACTGCCGATGGTGGAATGTCTGATACAAACACTTCTTTGAAGTTCTGTAGGCACCCTCTTCTGAACGGATTATCCTTCTTATCATACCGATATCTAAAATTCTCGTAAGTTGTCTGCATTTCAATGCAAAAGATAAAAAAATAAACAAATTTACAATTTATCATATCAATTGTAAAATTAGGAATCCTAATTTGTTATAGAAGTACACAAGTTACCCTTAGTGAATCATTTAAGACAAACAATTTACAACAATTGTAGCATGTTGTATGCATCCACAAAGGATGTGTGTTGTGAACTCACTTGGTTAGTGGAAATCAAGTATAAGTGGAAAACGGTGAGGCCTCCAACAAACCAAACAGCAATGAAACAATAGATGATCAAACTAAGGGAGATGATGTCGTTGGAAAGAACAGTCCACAAGGTTCCCTGTTGGCGGATGATGTTGATCCACGAGAACACAAACACATATATGCACAACATGGTCGACGATGATATGAAGCATATGAAAAATGGGTAGTTCCTCTGCAAAAAAACCGGAGATCAAAATTAAGTAATCGAACCCATATATTGTGACGGTCTTAGTGAACATTTTTTCGCTAAGAAAGCCTCGCAAAAAAAATGTCCACTAGGACCGTAGCCAAGTCAATCCCTTCATATAGTGTCATACGCATTTCTCGAACCCTAACAAACACGAGGATCGAGAGGGTCACTTACCAATCCAATGCACTGACCCACCCAGGGGCAGTGATGATCAAACTTCTGGACACAATTGTTGCATATGGAGCAATGGGAAGCCCTAGGAGGACGATACAACAAGCAAGTCTCGCAGAACTTCACTCTCACACTGTAACCATTCACAAACACATCCTTTGTCCTGGGGAGCTTGAAGTGTGCTAGCCTGTTGTTCACCCATTCCATCGACGTCGCGGTCATGTCCATCGAAGAATCCTCCATCTCTGGTGGCTGTGAGTTCCTTGGGATGATCCCTGGATCCCTACTCGATGTCAGGAATAAGAATGCAAAGTCCTGCAAGTATAGCCTTATCTACCATGAGAATTCTTGCACTGTGCACTTCAAGCTAAAGATTAACCATGGTTAGTTACTGACCATGACTAGGAGAACCCATCCACCAACAAGAACAGGGTAGTTGAAAACAGGATCAATGCGCATCATTAACAACATTTTTATGCAGAATGTGATTGCTGGAGCTCCAATTAGGAATGATGTCAAGAACAGTGATGCAGCATCTGGGCCAAACACTAATCTCCCACCACATAAGAATTTCTGCAAGTTACATACATTGGCCCAATAAAATAACATTCCAAAAGTTCAGAAATTGGGATTGGTTTTTAGGGTTTTGTTTCCACCTTTTCTCCTAGCAAGATATTGTAGTTGATTGCTATGTTTGATTAACAAAAGTTCCTGCTAACCAATCTCATTCGGGATCAACATTCTTGTACATTCGTAATGAGTTTTGGTTTCTTGCAAACACGACATGACGATATTCATTTTTTGGACAACCTGAAGAGAGAATAAATGAGAAATGAGGAGATTCATACTTACGTTGTTACCCTTCCAGAGCTGATAAAGTCTGAAGGTGTTGAGATTAGGAGGGCCCATTTCCGGAATTTGGTGGTGGCGGTGCCCGGCTTAGAGGAAAGAGTTGCGCGAAAATTCTGAATCTGCCGGGAGGAAGTTTTCTACGAAAACTCCTTTTAAATTGTGAAAGAACATCAATGAATAATATCTTGTGTGAAAACAAACAAATAAACTTCTCCCATATAGCAAATTAACACCCACATGAAGAAATCATATCAAAACAAGGCTAATTGTTTTGAAATGAGATCAAAGATGGTGGGTGTTTTCCCCATAATCACATCAATTGGTTGATCCTTTCCTCCCCTCTCTTCCTCCCTTCCCCTCCCACTCCTCTCTCTATCTTTGGAGTTGAAGAAGAAAACGAAAGAAAGAAAGAAAGAAAGAAAGAAAGAAAGAAAAAACAAGTAAAAACCAAAACTTGATGAATAAAAAGGAGAAAATATTAAAAAATAATAGGAATAATAGTAATATTACAAATCTCAATTTACAATCCAATGGAATTCCCAACTCATCCCAGAGTTTTGTTATTGCCAACATTTTTTCTTCTATCCAACAACCTTCCTCGTTTGACCCTAAAAATAGCTTTTTTGTGCTTTCATGAAATGATAAACCAACTAAAATGTGAACATGAGAGACACACAAACAATTTAGGGAGAAATATATTCATCTTTCATTTTGCCCCTAAATCTTTGAGAAAAATGGGGAAAGATTTATACAGTAATTTAATTGATCAATCAAATTGTCTAGTTCTGTCCCTTAATCCATTTGAATATGAGATTAAATTTCTACAAAAGGAAAATATTGGGTTGCGCTCATTTGGACAAAATGCATTCTTTATAATTTTGTGTTGGATTGAGTCGAGTATTAATTAAATTTTGGATGGTTTCGAATTAGAATTGGTGTGATTATTAATACGATCATTTCTTACATTTCGTCAATATATAGGACAAAAGCGAATATTTTCTCACAAAACTAACAACCTGGATGAGTGATTACCTTACTCGCACCGACCAAATCATCTATGTCGATACAAACAACATTAGATATGACAATTATTTCCATCATTGTGAGTGTCCAACTTGTTTTTAATCCTTATTTAATCAATACAAGGATTTCTTGCATTGAGTACACACGGAAAATATTGAAAACGAAAATTGATAGAAAAGAGATAGGATGAGTAATTATCGTTGATTTTTATATCCTTAGTATATCATTTAGGTTTTCTATCTTATGAGTTGACTCAATTTCTTGACATCTGAGATGATTTCTTCAGTTTTCACCTTGTGCAACCAGATACCCTCTTCATTCTACATATTTTGGTTGATTTCTTGTTCACGCTTACTATTGATCAACTTCCATAGATGTTATACATAATTAAATTATCATTAACATATCAAATCAATTGAGTTCAAGAGTTAATCATGTACTGTACAAAAAAAAAAAAAACGGCTTGGATTCAAGATTTCAAGTATCCATTGAAAAGTGGCAAAAACTAAGTGAACATATGTACTGAACATATAGCTACAGAGGACCATGACAGCAGCAGCAACAACAATGTACAGATTTGCAGCAAGGTCCCTAGTCAACTCCCTATTAGTTTTTTTCGGATCCCTCTATTTTTTCCACTTATATACGAGGAGAGGAAGCCTTGAATTAGATCAGCCAATAGATAAAGCAGAACCAGGAACAAAAGAACAATGGAGCTAATGCCCTCTTATTCTGACTTCTTCAACTTCTCTTTCTCTGCAGTAGTAGTTCCCTTCGAAGGCGCAGCGGTCACCAGTTTGAATATCCATCCGGCTAGCAGAGTTGCCTTGACTGGGGCGAGCCAGTAAACGTATAAATGCTCCTTGGAGAGGTGAATCCCCCTTGCATAAGCCCATCCCATCACCTGCAGAATATATGCAGACAGGCATTGTTCACAACTCAAACCTTGAATCTTGCAACTTTCATTGGTAGCTTTACTTACCGAGGCAGGGTTCATACAGCCGCCAGTGAGATCAGAGCCGAGTATCTGAAGGGTGACTTTCATGACACTTGAGATCCAAGTCTTCCTGAAGAAACTACCCGGGATCTCTCTCGATAGCACGAGAGAGATGGTTACTATGGCGAATGTCAGTAGCCCTTCTGTGAGAGCACCATGGTGGATGTCAACTTGCAAAAGCGGGCCCAGTCCTATCTCAGGAAAGGTCTTGATCATGAACCTAACTCCAGAAATAGATCCAAATACCTAGCAAGTTGAAAGAAGAGAAGGGCACAAAATTAAGAAACATGAAATCTCACAGGATAAGGAACAACCTAGTATTTCTAACAACATGAGGGAACTGAACTCGTTTTCTTCATCTAGAAGGTACAGAAAAAAAAAACTCATTTTTCGCAGATCAATCATGAACCTTTCTTATGTGGAACAAAGCACACGCAAAGTACAACAAAAGGCCAAACCCTTTCTTCAGACAGTTGCATTGCACCACAATCATGAACCTTTCTTTGTTGCTCAAACAGTTGCAGCTCAATCTCCTACTAAATGTACCTTAGTTCAGATCCGAAGGTCCTAACTGAATACTCAGTACGAATGCTTGATTGATTTCAGTTCAATCTCCTACTAATAGAGAGAAACTTCAAAAGGTTAAAATCCTAACACATCGTTGATCTTTGATTTCAGTTCATCAGCGTAAGCTATTTGTTTCCATAAGGCTTTACACCATCGTCATTCGTCGGAGAGAACGTTCAATAAGGTTGGGAGAGACCTTATTGACCAACAACTACAATCTACTGCAAAATACAGGGAAAGACCGTAGAGAAGCTGACAATGGCCTACATTGCAGCAATAGTAGCAGACTTCCCCATAAGTTTGGGTGAAGCTGAAGTTGGATGTTGCAAAGGAATGTACATTTTCGAGGAATTCCTAAAAAAGTTCTGCTTTCCTTGAGCTTAAGGATCCCATGGACATGGCAATCAATCTATCACCCTACAATCAAGTTCCACAATCCAAATTCAATACACTCACAAGCGACACATTCCTGTTCAAAGGGCAAACCCCAAATTCGCTATGCAATCAAACGGAATCTCATCTAATTCATCGACGATATCGAAAAACAAATAGACAGACCATAAACGTCAAATCTACGAAACCACCGACCAAAAAAGACAGAAGCTTTTTTTGTCGCTTAACAAACCTGAACAGGGATTCGAGCGCCAAAAATGAAGAGGAACCGGAGGAAATCCCCAGAAACGGCGTCGGACAGGACGTTGAGGGGATTGTAAGTCCCGCCTCCGCTGAGTTGGCCCAAGAAGGCGAAGAAGAACATGTTGGTGATCGAGCAGGCGCACGTCACGATTTCGGACACCGGGTCGTGGGAACGCATCCCGAGAACCTCGACGACGAACATCTTCAACAATGGGCTCGAACACACCCACATGAAAGACATCACGAAATCCGCCACGAGCAATCGCGCTTTCGTCGGCCCGCCGGCGGGAGCCATGGTGTACGGACGGAGGAGGGAAATGGGGAATGGTTTTCTCAGAGGAATTAGATGAAGACCCAGGAGGTCAATAAAGAGATTCAAGATGAAGAAAGAAGGAAAGAAAGAATCTTTTGCGTTTTCCGACGACCATTCATCGATGGTCGAGACGGAAATCGTTCGAACTAACTTTTTCCCCTGGTTGTCTTTCGATCTCCCGGGGTTTTTGTCCGACCAGGGGAATTTTTTAAACGACCACCAACGTGCCAAAGGAGAAGAGGCGATAATGGAGGTAAGTGCTAATATCGTCCCTATATTATAGGATTAGTGTCAAATTGGTCATCAAACTAAAAAATAGTGGATACTGAAATCGCCGCTGTTGGGTCAGGCGTCAAATAAGCCATCCCTCAAGCCCGGCCCATTACTGCTGGCTGCGAATAGCGGCCCAACTAATCATCCATCATCTTTTGGGCCCATCACTTTAATTACAAGACAAGGAAGGACGTCAATAAAGCAACAAGGGATTGAGTTGTGGTAAATAGCACAAAGGCGTAACAGAAATCTGTTTATCTTGGAGTGAGGAGTTGGCATCACCAAAGCAAACACTTCATGTTTTTCATAAAGGTGTGCTTCCGCCTTGTGGACGACATTCTTGTGACCGGGAATAAAGTCTCGCTCGAGGCAGAAAAACCTGAGTTGGTCCGTGCGACTAAAAATGATTTCTATTCTCACAAGTAATGATCAAACCGAAACCAAAAAACGAGACGGGAATTTGAAATTGTGAATGGTTTTGTAATGCTAAATAAATATTTTTGGGCCGTAGTCTTCGGCCCATTGCAAAGGGCCCCAAATGAAATGAAAGTAAGTATTGGGCTCCATAGTGTTCAGCCCAATCTGTGTTAGGATAAACAAATGAAATGGATAGCATCTTTAGCGACAAGAGGAAATTAATGAAGCCAGATTACAGATGGATAAGGTTTAAACTTTAAATAAAAGATTAAGGATATACGAATCTCGAAAACAATATGAATAAAAAAAAATATCCAGTAGGAGTGTAGGACTCGGTTGGTTAACTTGCAATCCACACCCCGGGATCGGCGAGTCTCGTTGACGTGAAAGCCAGCCCAAAACCAACCCCACCTTACTCTGGGCCCGGGCCCACGAAAGAAATTCCCACCTCACGCGCCATTTTCTTGTGTTACCGTGATGAAAGGCTCCCCAAACTTCCCAAAAAGCGAAAAGCCGAAAACCCTCCACCGCACGCGCCGTTTTGGTGCGGCAACTTGCATCTTTTTCTTTCTCTATTTCCCGTTTTGATTAAATCCAAAAAAATGCAATTCGCAAGTGATCTTTTCATAATTTTATGGGATTTTCCCAAAAACATAATTAACTGATTTTGTCATATATCTTTAAATATATTAAAGGGGTTTCATAAAATGACCCCCTCCACGTCAGCCATGGAGCTTCCTCCGCATCTTTCGATTTTCCCCGTTTTCCTTATTTTTTTAATGTCGGGTAGTTACCATATTTTGTGGAATTTTTTCCCGTGTAGTTTTTTTGGTTATTTAGTTTTCTTCCATAGTTTGATAGTTAATTATCTTTATAATATTTTAATATCTCTCCTGCGGTAATTCAGGTTTGGGTAGAATTAAGGAATTTTTCCTCTTTCACCTAGAAAACTCTTCTACTTTTTTTAACAATGTTTAAGAAATTCTAGCATGTGGGTTGGATCGAAAATACTGGATATTGGATCCAGATTGGTAGGTAATTTTAACGGTAGGAAACGACTGAGCTATGGCTTAACACGATTTCAATACAAAATACTTTACCACAAACTTTTTCAATATAACCTTTCATGCATTTCTTTTTACTCTAAACAAAAGCTCTTTATTATCATTTTGAAAGCTATGCCAACTATCTTAATGTGAGAAAATATGTATATAGTGATATGACTATGCAAAATACTGTAATATAATCTTCCAAATACAACACATATCCAATAGAATTGAAATTTTGAAAATTGAGATTATTTTGATGTCCACTCATAAAAAGATTAGATTATAAGCACAAGCTAAACTTATAAATTTTACGAATGTTGGAAAACACTAATACCTTTACAAAATTTTGAATACTGAAATTACAAAAATTCTAGAATGAAACATTAAAATATTCAAAATACTGAAATAAAATTGATTAGTGTTGATAAAAAGATGGAACTCGCCCGCACAACGTGCGGGTTCAATGCTAGTAACCACCACCTCTTTTTCTCTCTTCTTCTTCTTCCTCCTCCATTTCCAACCAGCTCCCGTCGCCATCCGGCACACTTCCCAAAACACTTCCTCTTCCTAATCCTCACTGAGAGCACTTCCTCGGTAATCGTCGATCACCGTCGATTGATTCCTTGCTTGCTTCCTTCTCGCACCAATTCCTTGCTTCCTTTCATTGCGCTTCTTTGTTTTTTGTTCGAATCGGTCAAACTTTGACTTACCTCACTTTGGATAACGGCAGCTCGTCATCGTCATCATCGATCAACGATTTTGGATGAAGTGAGGAAGGATTCGAAGTAGCAAGCAAGCATAGGCTCTCCAATGGCGGCCGCTACTGTTACTAGTACTACTACATCTTCCTGTTCTTCTTACTATTACTTGCTGTGCTGTTTCTTCGCCGCCGCAGTGTGCTTGATCGCTCCGTCTTTGACCACCGGCGTCGACGCGGGACCGCTCGACGCTAATCTCACCGCCGAGTTGTCGGTCGACGCCTCATTCCGCCGGCCAATTCCCAGCACTCTTTTTGGAATTTTCTTTGAGGTTTTGGCTCCTCTCTTGCTTTTCTGTCCCTGTTGTGGAATTAATTTTGCGTAGAGAATTGGTTTCTCCGCCGGAACGATGAGCTCATCAGATGAATTTTTTTTCCCTCTCGCTGCAGGAGATTAATCATGCTGGAGCTGGTGGACTATGGGCAGAACTTGTGAGCAACAGAGGTAACTGCCTCTTACCTTTTCCTCTGAGCTAACTAACTTTCTGTATGTGGAAAACGTGCGATGACCCTTTTTCTCAACTTGATCACTCAGTACTTATCAAATATTTGCATTGAAGATGATCTTGTTTGGATGAATTGAACTATCTTTTTATGCAGCTGGAACTGGATTTAATGAGCTTTCCTTATATATACAGCATTGATATCATTTGCATGTGTTACTAACTGAGGCTGCATTTGTAATTTACCCTCTTTGGAGCACTATTAGAGGCTGGGCTTGGTTGTCTCGTCTGCTTAGCTTTGCAGATTAGCTGTCACATATGGTAACTGTTGCAGATTATGTGATGAAAGTTTCTTTCTTTTCCATTATCCTTTTTGGATTCCAGGATTTGAGGCTGGGGGTCCTAACACTCCGTCGAATATAGATCCGTGGTTGGTCATTGGAGATTCGTCGTTCGTGGTTTTATCTACCGACCGGTCATCCCCCTTCGAGCGAAACAAGGTTGCTCTTCGGATGGATGTACTCTGTGACTTGGAGAGTTGTCCATCTGGGGGAGTTGGTGTGTATAACCCTGGATTCTGGGGCATGGTGAGAATTGCATTATACTCTTATTCATGCAATGTGAATGATAGTGGTAGAGATCTTTAAGTAAAGAACATCTCAAAATTATGTCTTTTTTATTATCTCACAGTCTCTCTTTGGTCTGCAGAGTTCTTCATTCTCCAGGAACACTAATGAAACTTTTACTTCCTGCAGAATATAGAAGGGGGAAAGAAATACAAACTGGTTCTTTATGTTCGCTCACTAGATTCTATTGATGTGTCTGTGCTGTTGACGGGATCAAATGGGTTGCGGACATTGGCTACTACCATCATCAAGTGAGAACTTGTATTCATTTTTTTGTCTGTGTGGCATGGCAATCTGCGGCATATTGCGATACATGGATGAGTTAATTTGGATTCATTTATTTCAGAGGCCCTGCTTCAGCTGTTTCAGACTGGACAAAGGTGGAGACCGTGCTAGAAGCTGAGGAAACTGATCACGGTGCAAGACTTGAATTACGAACTTCAAAAAAAGGTGTGATTTGGTTTGACCAAGTTTCATTGATGCCTGAAGATACATACAAGGTATACTCTCTCATTCTTCTGCTTCTTAGATATCTCTGTGCAGTATATGAAGTTCCTTTCTTTTGTAATGTTTTTGCTGTGGGATTTATTTATGTGTCTAAGACTTTTGGCAAGCTAACTTGTTGCAGGGGCATGGTTTTCGGTCTGAGCTCGTTGAAATGCTTAAAGAAATAAAACCTCGATTTATCAGATTCCCAGGTGTGCAAAAATTCTGAAAACTCATACCGTAAATCTGAAATATTGCTTCCCTTGAAGTTTAGGTCCTCTCATCACACCTTCTTTTATTTGCTGTCATCATAATCTCCTAAAGTTCAGGGCTGATTTATGAAAGTTGTATCTGTACTGCATGTCTAGGCGGCTGTTTTGTGGAAGGCGAATGGTTAAGGAATGCATTCCGATGGAAAGAATCAGTTGGCCCTTGGGAGGAGAGACCTGGCCACTTCGGTGATGTTTGGATGTATTGGACTGATGATGGACTTGGTCACTATGAGTTTCTTCAAGTAGGTCTTGTACTCATTTAGTCATTTTGGCTTGTACAACATCATTACTTGAATTTGATGCTAAAATAGCTCATTTCGAAATTGACATTACTTGGACAGCTAGCTGAAGATCTGGATACAGTGCCCATATGGGTTTTCAACAATGGTATGTTCGCATTTCAGTACTTCCCAACAGTTATGTTTCTTGTCCTGTTGTTTGTGTGGTTGATATATTTCTCTGCCCTGTGATGGGTACTTGAAAATTTGCAGGTATTAGCCACCAGGATCAAGTTGATACTTCAAGCATCTTACCTTTTGTGCAAGTACGTCGTCTAGTCAACCATTCAGACATTGCAGCACTGAAATGGAAGCAAACCTCCTAACTAACTTTCAATTTCAGGAAGCCCTTGATGGTATCGAGTTTGCTAGAGGTGATGCCAGTTCAAAATGGGGTTCTCTGCGAGCTTCCATGGGACACCCCGAACCATTTAATTTGAAACATGTTGCCGTTGGGAATGAGGATTGTGGAAAGAAGAACTACCGAGGTTAGTGATTCTGCAATACTTCTGAACCTGAGATGACATAGGCTTTTCAGGATGAACCTTTATGAAATGTGGAGGAGCGCAATACTAATGTATTTTTTCTACCAGGAAATTACCTCAAGTTCTATGAAGCTATAAAACGGGTGTATCCTGACATCCAGATTATCTCAAACTGTGATGGGTCTTCTCATCCGTTGGACCATCCAGCCGACTATTATGATTTCCATGTAAGCTTGCATCCCAGTTCAGTTGTCCGTGGAATTTAAAGATTCATTTCTTTGCAGTTTTATTTGATATGCTTGATGGTCCCTCACACGCATTAACAATTTCTTATCTTTTATTAGGTTTACACAGATGCGAGCAATCTGTTTTCCATGTCTCACCAATTCGATCACACATCACGCAGCGGTCCGAAGGTGTGTTGATATACTTCCCCCAACCTACAAACAAACTTACTATTTTGATACAGAACCTAAATACTAATTAATTTTTTCAGGCCTTTGTGAGTGAATATGCGGTGACTGGAAAAGATGCCGGCACAGGAAGTCTCTTAGCTGCACTTGGTGAAGCTGCATTCCTCATTGGTGTGGAGAAAAACAGGTAATGCATGATGTATGATAACATTAGACCCCGAGGCCCTGACATTTGTGGTTTCGTGATCTTGATGGTACAAATGTCATCTTTGGCTGCAGTGATATTGTTGAGATGGCTAGCTATGCACCACTTTTTGTGAACACCAACGATAGAAGGTATGCCAACCGTCTGTTTGGTTCTCTTAACAATGAAGTAGATACTCTTTCATCTGTGATTTAATTGACTTGTTTAAGTCTGTACTTCCCAATGAAGGTGGAACCCAGATGCAATCGTTTTTAATGCATCAAAGGCATACGGAACTCCAAGCTACTGGATGCAGCGTTTCTTTGCAGAGTCAAGTGGGGGATACCTCGTCAACTCTACACTTGTAACTAGTTCCTCCAGCTCGCTTGTTGCATCTGCAATTACTTATCAAGACTCCAAGGACCGAAATACTTACCTGAGAATAAAGGTCCTCGAACAAATCACTCTCTCATGTCTATACTCTACCCTCACAATCTTCGATCATACAAACGCTAATGGTCTGTTCATTTTCAACATTTTATCAGGTTGTAAACTTTGCAAGCAGCACGGTGAATCTCAAGATCTCGGTGAGCGGATTGGGGGCCAACACTGTGGGGTTATCAGGATCAACAAAGACCGAACTCACATCTGCGAATGTGATGGATGAAAACTCCTTCCAGCAACCAAATAAGGTATAGAATGTATCATGCAAATCCCACCTTACTCTTCCGAATGAACTCCTTAGTAACAGATTTCTGTCCAGCTGCTAGCATAACCTAATCTTCTCTATTTCACATATTTCTCCAACTTTGAAATTTGCAGGTGGCACCAGCTCAAAGCATGCTGCAGAACGCTGGAAAGGACATGGACGTGCTGATCTCTCCCAATTCCTTGACCTCATTTGATTTATTAATCGAATCGAATTCGATCTGGACTCGAAGATCCGATCCTTTGGTATCTGTTATGTAAATTAACCCCACACACCACTGTCATGAACCAGTTGTTGGGAGAAGGTTATGCTGGATCTTATACCACTCTCTAACACGCCCCTCAAACGAAAGCCAACCCACGGGCTTGAAGTTTGCACAGGCCCACCATACCATGTGCTTGAAAGACAACGGTTAATATTGGGGGTCGTGGAGATTCGAACACATGACCTTTCGGTTCTAGGCTCTGATACCATGTCATGAACCAGTTGCTCCCAATAACTCGAGTTGTTGGGAGAAGGTTATGCTGGATCTTATACCACTCTCTAACAACCACAACCCAAAACCTAATACCGATTACCAAATTCATAAACTGATCCATGAACAACGCTCTTGTAGTACTTGCCAATTGCCATTTCATTGTACACCACACGATTACATCCTCGAATAAAACGGTTGCATTACGTAATTCGAGCTTGACACTTTGAAAGGATGAACAGATTTTATGCAAGAAATCACATTGCAATACTGATAAACATAGCTAATCAAAACGTAGACTTCTTCATTCGATAAACAGAGTGCCATTAACCAAAACAAATAGGAACCATTGTTCAGAGCTCGATGCTAATCAGAGAGCTTCAATTGTGTCAAACCAGCAACTGGGTGCTCTTCTCCTTCACGAGTGACAGTGCTGCCATTGCTGCTGCTGCTGCGGCTTCTTGCTCTTCAACGCGCTCCCTCTCAGCAACTAATCTTCTCGTGTTGGCGGTAACGAGTACGAAACAGAGCTCCCCCTGAGTCTTCAGCCCTGAAGCTCCACAACTGAATCACATCATCGCACCTCATATCCAGCCTTCCCATCTCCTTCAGCACCAATCTCCACCCGCCGCCGGTCACCGCGAAAACTGTGCTTCCCGCCATTTCCCACATGGCCAGGCAAGAAGACCCTTCGTCAGGGGAGGCGACCTCGAGATCTGGGCCCAGGAAAAACCTCAACTTGATCTTCTCCCCCATCTTCAGCTCCGACCATTCTTCATCTGTCAGAATTTCCAAGAGCTCGCGGGCGTTCTCCTTACCGGGATTGGACAGATGGCCGTGGTGCGGGCTGAGGTTGCCATCAATCTCTTCCTCATCAAGCGAGTAAACGTGGTCCTCAAGGAACAGACGGTTTCCCCGCCGACCGCCGCTGAAATTCTGGCTTTCAGATTCAGGGGAAAGCCATCGTGCTGAGCAGCGAGACCCACCGGTGGATGTGCCATCGCCGCAGGACTGTCGCCGGAACCCTAGTTTTCGAACGCAAGGGAAACTGCGCGAAGTGGGGAAAAAACTAAGAAGGGAGGAATCGCAATAGCTTCGGAATGGATAGGGAGAGTCTGGAAAGGATTGGGGTTCTGTGAATTAATTATATAAGAAAATGAATTTGAGACCGAACCCAATTGGTAAAAGGAATAGTAATCCAACTGGTGTAAGGATTGGCGGAACTAGCGGTTGGCGCGCCTTCCCGGGAAGAACAATTCCCGCCACGCTTAAAACGGTGACGTATTAGTCCTGGCGCCAAACAGACATAAGCGCACTGGGTGCTTATTGCAGTGGGTTAATAACTTAAATGGTCACTGAACTATGGTATAGACAGCAAAATGGTCATGAAGCTTTGAAATGTAACAAAGCGATCACTTACATATCTTAAACGTTGTATATGCGGTAGGAATATTGGGCATATTGACCGACATATTATATTTTAGTGTCCATCTGCCTTAAGCGTATATAATAAGAAAAAATGACAATTTCCAAGAAAATATCATTTTTTATACTACACATATAATTTCTCATGATTTAATTAGTGTTCTTTTTTACTATTTCTCTTAGTATTGGCGATTTGTAATTTTTTATTTGCATAATCTTAATATGATCGTATTGGTAGTACATCAATTAAGATGATAGGGAGAAACCTATTATCTTTTATTGAATATGAGCGTAGTTTTATTTACTACCAGAATCTTTTATATGGATAACATAAATTTTAAATTAGTTAAGATAGAGTAACATATATCCATTATCTGTCTCAGACCCAACTCATTGTTATCCCTAGAAAAAAGAACATACACTAATTTACTTGCTTTTAAATCTAGAATGGAATCGAAATATTAACATTAGCATCATCAATTGGGGTGGTGGCGCAGTTGGTTAGCGCGTAGGTCTCATAGCAATAGAGTGATCCTGAGGTCGAGAGTTCGAGCCTCTCTCACCCCAATAATTTTTGTCATATGTAACTTCATTCCCCTATATAACACTTTTCAATGGAGCAAATAAAAGCTTGCAATAGAGTGATCCTGAGGTCGAGAGTTCGAGCCTCTCTCACCCCAATAATTTTTGTCATATGTAACTTCATTCCCCTATATAACACTTTTCAATGGAGCAAATAAAATCAAGCTTTCGAAGTGAACAATCATCGAATTCACGAGACAGTTCTTCTTGGTGGGATACAGTATACAGTAAAATGAGCATGGTTCGCATAAATAAAATAATTAAGTAAATTGACATATAATTGATACCCATCATTATGTTTTTTCAAGATAAATACTAATTATTAGTCAAATCTTATCCATATTTTTTAATATTAGCAAAATCTTTCTAAATACAAAATATTATCCTCACTCTTTATATGAGGGCGGAATTCACTATTCAGGTTCATATGGCAACACAGAAATGGCGCATCCGGGCTTCCAACAGCCAAAAAGACCCAAAGAGAGAATCAACGGACGATAAGGCACCATCTCCAGCTGCTGCATTTTCATCAGAAGTCACGACTTTGCAAGCCTATGATCGATACGAAGGAGCCAGGCAACGGAGAATTGATAGGCAAGAAGGATCATCTCCAGCTGCAGAAAAATTCTCTGCTAGGGTTCTATCACAGATACCCTTTATTGGTCTCATCTCAGAGTACGGCATATTCATTACAAAGAACCCAAAGGTAATCCAACACAGATTAAATCAAAGCGAAAACAAGTTGCCTATAACTGGTTACAATCTACAGTTTGTTCTTTCCCTACACGTATACAGAAGCAGAGCAACAAGTGAACACAGGTCGTTGGATGATGCATTACATGATGCGCATTCACTTCGATGGAAGAAACATCTCTGACTGTGTCATTTGGCTGAGATTATGACATCTGGTTTCAAGCGTACGATGGAGCCAAGCATTCATCAACCATGTCCACTAGGTTAGGGTTCTCCAATGCTGCTGCTATTCTCTCCTTATCATTTAGCTGTTTATTCACTACAAAACAAAAAAGAAATAAATGTATGGTAAATAAACACGGTTGAATTGGCATAGGTTCAACTGTTCAAGCTGGTAGGAAGAAGAAACCAGAACATCAAAAAGGGAAACTTAGCCCTGTTTACTTTCATTTCTGTTTCCTGTTTTTGAGAAAACAGATGTTGAAAACAGGTGAAAACGACATTTTTTCGTTTTCGAAAACAGTAGGAATTTGTCACTTTCTGTTTTCAGAGTTGGAAACGAATAGAAAACAGAATGAAAAGTAAACATGTTTTCTAGTTTCGTTTCCCAAATTTGTAACATGAAAACAGAAAACAGGAAACGAAAATAAAAGTGAACAGGGCAAAGTTATGTTTAATTAGTAAAGCAATCAAACCATGTATATCACAGAACAGTTCTAGATTCTTGGCATTTATACACATCTTCCTTCTTTTCTCTTGAATACCATGACAGAATTCAACCCCGAGATATATAGGGGACGAAAGCTTTCATCACATAACTTTCATCATTTGCACATAACCCAAGTACATTTCGATTTATTGTTTTAGTTAACCCGAAAGTTCAAATTCAGCTCCAGCAAGTTTATCCAGACTAAGTTTCTAATCGACAAACACAAATGATAAAGAGGGAGTAGTACCTGCAGCTTCAGTTGCATGGGTTCCTGGTGCAACCCTGATATCCACCTAAAATGCAAACCAATAAGTGATATTCGTGAGAGGATTCACATAGGAAGTACGTAGGACGTAGCATCAGAAGATTCAGAACACAAGATAATCTACATGTACTACTATCACTCGAAGGCAAGAAAGCTTGAATCCCCAACAAACTTATAATGAATAGCAACAATTGTATGAAAAAAAAAAGCAGTTACCTTGTAACGAGATGGCAGGCTTCTCATAAGCTTAACTCGCAAGCAAAGACCGATAACAGTCGCCATGCTACAATGCTCCACTGTCGGAGTAAATGTCACCCTGAAGCAAATCAGAAGATACCAATTCAGTATCTTGCAGTGAAAAAAAAAAATCCAGCAGTTGAACAGATGGAACAAGATTGCGGATACCACCTAACATAACTACGCCTATCATCCACTTCGATCGCATCTTCTGATATAACTTTAAGCTCCTCCAATGAGTAGGGGTGCTCTGGATCCTTTATGTCTCTCACATGATGTATGAACCAAGTTAAGAAGCACAACAAAAGAGAAATCAACCCTCAATTTCGATCAACACAGGTTAAATCAACCAATTGATAATAGATGATAGAACTCCTAACCCATTTGTAAAACAATCAAGCTACTTCCAAATGAACAAACTTTGCTCTCCAAAGAACACAAACACTAAAACCCACTGAGTCCTACAATATCCTCTATCATGCCCCCTAGTTACTGATTGAATAAAATTTCAGACCTAATTCAAACGCTATTGAAATTACTCTAGCTTGTCGAATTTTACCAACAAAAGAAGACAGATAAAAAGAAAAACAGTATGGAGAATAGAAAAGGATATCAAACACTTCCAGCTGGTCGATGGCCTCGGCAGAATACTCGTCCGCATCGGGGATAGAAGCAGGACGTTGCCGCCGCTCTTTCTTTTCGTAGACGACGGGATTGGCGTTTATCAGCCCCGACACCATTGCTCAATCCCCACGAATACAGGGAGATATTGAAAATAATTGGCTGCTCCTTCCCCTTTCAAGTTCTCGCTCTCGATTCTACCGGGGATTGAGCAGGGCAGAGGCGCTGGCCTCGCAAAAGAAGAGTTCGCCGGCAAAGCGCCACTCGTTATTATTGATGATACTTTGTTGGATTTCGCTCTATACGTTAGCTGAGAGAGAGAGAAAGAGGCTTGATCGCCGGCGAGATGGGCGGTGGCCGCTTGATTCCTAAGAACTCGGAAGCCTTCAACGCTAACAGAGTTACAGAGGATGTGCCAAAATCGGAAATTATGATTTTAGGGCTCAGCATTTGGTTTCCTCCGATGAGGCATAAAAGCGTAAAGCCACGGACATGAAACTACGTCGTTTTCAAAAGTTCATAACAAACTGAATACAAAACAAAAGATGAAAAATCCTCCTTTTTAAACCAGTTGTTATATCATTCCTTGTGCAAAAATGCAAAGGCTCTGCAATCTTGTACAGCTGAATGGAGGCCAAACATGATCAGGTCAAGATGAAAGAAAGAAGGCAAATGGAATCATAACCCAACCCGATTAGTACGAAATACGGAAAACTCGATCTAACCAGAAGCTGCGTCTGTGAACGTTAAGCAAAATCAAACGGACCCAGTAATCGTTTCAGTGGAACTTCTTCACAAAGGAAAAAGAATCGATTCAACTCATCAACCTGGAAAAACCTTCCAACAAATACTCACATTTTCTTTACATGAAAAAGAAAGGAGACAAAAAAAAGGAACCCTCATCAGGCATCGAGTCTCTCATTCTCATACACGTATTCTATGACAAAAACTTGTCTTTGAATCATCAAAAGATACACAAACCCAACCTAACCCGTACTTAAAGAATACTCTTCACAAACCCAGCTTGACTGCAGGCCAAAAATCATTCAAAAGGGTTGGATGTTCAGTGTGCAGTATTGTTCGTTAACTCGAAGAAGATTCTATCTCCTTGCCATGATCGTCGTCCTGGAAGTTCCTCTTCAACCTTCTGATCCAGATATCATAATCAATGGGATACGGTGTCCCACAGAGACTGTCAACATAATCAGCAAATGCTTTCAACACGGTAGACACATCACCGAGCTTCTGCTGGATTAACCTCCTCGACCAGGCCGTCTCCCTCCACTGCAAGGCACCTTCGACTGAGTCCAAGTCGGGCAGAGGCCCACCGGACGAGAAGTAGAGCATGTAGACGAGGCTCTCAGCGTCGGAAGCAGAGCACAACTTCCCCTCTTGGAGAGCATATGTTGAAGAGAAATGCAGATTCATTGCTGGACGGTCCCTTTCCTCGATTATTGCGTGGCCCCAACCAATTAGTACGAAGTGCGGATGCTGCCTCGTGCTGCCCGACCTTATAATGTTCTCGGGCCGGATGTCACCGTGTCTAATTCCGACTGAGGCTGCGGTTGAAAGAGCGGATAAGCAATCGTGACAACACCTGATTGCTTCTTCTGGCCCGAATCTTCCGGACATTATCATGTCGGATACCGACTCCCCGACCGGGCTCATGACGAGGATCGGAGTCGAGCACCATGGATGATCGCAGTTTCCACCGGAGCTGGGTTTCCGGCACTGACCAGGGTGGGCGATTCTGCCAGAAGCGGCCAGGTCAGGTAGATACTTACTAGACACACCTTTCTGCCTCATGATGGTCAATACTTTGGTCTGTCTTTGGACCTGATACCATAGCTTCATGTCCTCCCATGCCGGTTCGAGCTGAGAAGGGTGAGAACCAACGTAGAGGAAATAGGATCTATTAGGGTCTTCTACTGGCGAGGCAAGATAGTATTGTAGTTCGCCATTGAACAGAACACCGTCGATTTGATAACCCTTCTGCTGGTCTGTGTCCTCCAACCACAGGACCGAACCATTTTCCAACTTCATCACAAGTTCTTCCGACTCGATGTTATTAACCGACTCATCCAGAACTTCCACTATCTCTGGTTCCATGCTACGCTGCTGGTACCGAAAAGCCCCATTTCCATTAACTCGAGCAGTATCCCTATCCCCCAACTGCCTCTCGATTCTTCTTGCTTGGAGACGAGAGCTATGATCAGCAGCTAGATCTTCGATAGAGTGCTTTGGCATCCCTGCAAACTGCATTATAGAGTGGAAGGTTGCAAAAAGGACCTGTAGAGCACCAATGTCCCCCCAATTGGCATTTCCTAGCTTGTTCCATATCCGATCTATGGGAGAGACTGAAATCCTAGAACGGCTCTTGATCCAATCGGCACAACTCTCGTAAACGTTATTCACATCAAACTCCAATCTATTTACATCACCTTCAACTTTCACTACCCCTCCATACTGCGAATCAACAAGAAGAACAAAGACAGTGTCCACACTCTCAGCAGACTGAAAGCTCCCTAGCTTCCTGGATAACAGTAGGCGTAAAGCATAAAAGATAGCCTCACCCAGCACGGCGTGTGAAGGCTGCGGGTCATACCCTATATCAGGCCGAAGAAGAGCCAGTTCGAGAATTTGATCCCATTTACCATGTGGGTGTCTTGGATTGTTAACCAATACACCAGTCGCACAGAGGCCAGGGAGCTTCCCATTCGCTATGGCCTTCTCAGCTTGGTAGAACTTCAGGTTCTCACTGTAGAGACAAGCCACTGAGAAAGGCAGGGGAGCATCCTCTTCATCCTGACTCCAGAACGCCTCCCACAAACCCTTAACACCGGCGTGGAGAAAATCTTCAACCGCTAAGAAAGCAATGGCTTCCACGGCATCAGATGTGGATGATGCGTACACAGCACTGGGCATTCGAATCAGCTGCTGAAACGAAACCCCTTCCAATGCGTAGTCAAACTTCTGAAGGTCTATTAGCTCGAAAGGGACATCAAAAGCCGGCCTTTTGGGTCCGGAGACTGATTCAAACCAGTCGCCGAGATGGGAAGTCAGCGTTTCGCAGTCCACTAACCTATCAAGGAACTCCCGCTGCCGGTGCTGAGACTTTCTGAAAGACGGGATACTCGATCTCCTCGTGCCCGACCCGATAGATTCAATGTCCGGAGATCCGCCGGCACCTGCTGAAATCGACGGAAATGGAAAATTCTCGTTTCATTCCTAGTTCGCAAATGAAATTAGGTTTATATAACTTCTCCACGAGAGAAAGAAGAGCACGAAGAGGAGAAAAGCACACACCTTCGGAGTCGGATGCCCTTCGCGGCGGAACTGGAGCCATGGTTGCCAGAATTCAAAGAGAGATCTCGAGCACTCGCGGCCGCGAAACCGCAGCTAATCCAAAACAAAAACAAGAAGCCAAACCGACGGCCGCCGCCGACGCAGCAGCAGCTGGGAGTGAAATTCAAAGTGATCTCGCTGCCGAAACAGTCAACTCGTCGCGGCTGGGACTGGTACGCGTCAATTCAACGCAAATTCTTCGGGAGATTGACCTGTGTAAGTGGCGGCGAAGAACCATTCTATTGATCCAGCTCTTACTCCTCAGACAGCCTCTATGCTTTCCCCCTTGATTTCTGAACCGCCGTGAGATTTTCCGTAAGTATTCCCAGGCCGGAATTGCTTTCGCTCGGCGATGAGAACTCCGCCGGCCCCGGAAGAGAAGAAACGGGAGGGAGGCAAAAGACAAAATACAGTGATGATAGTGGCCAGAGAAAGAGATGATTTCCTGTCTCCACCGCCCGTCCACTTCAATTTCTCATATTTTCCCCATTTTGTATTATTATTGTCAATCACGTCATTGTACTTTTTCTTAATCTCCCCTAACTACCTGTCTTCCAATCTCTGCGGGTAAATTAATAAATGATCACTGAACTTTGAGATTGTTTCAACTCGATGACTAAAGTAAACAACAAATAAGGCCAATAAAAAAAGGTCGAGAAGGTTCAGGAGGGACGGAATGCATCCTCGCCAGCAAGGAAATTTGATCGGATTCAGAAAATTTGACAAATCAGGAATCTGAAACAGCTCAGAGGGAGAAGGAAAGTCAGAAAGAGAGAGAGAGAGAGAGAGAGAGAGAGACAGGCGAGAGCAGGGAGCGGGAGGGACGCTCTTCGAAATCTCCTCCACTTGGCGGCGGTTACATCGCCGGAGAAAGTCATGAACGGCGGTCCCTCTGGTTTCAGTACGTTTCTTTTTCTTCCTCCTCCCCGCCCCGTCGCTTGTTTGACTAGTTTTCTGCCAAATTCCACGGCGAAACATTGACGAGTGATTTTTTTTTTGTCCCCACAGACAATGCGCCAGTCACAAGAGCGTTCGTCATTTCTTCTGCCCTCTTCACCCTCTTCTTTGGGATCCAGGGCAGGTCTGCCAAGTTCGGATTGTCCTACCAGGTGCGTGCGCTCTATTTTCGTCGCTCTTTCTCTTGAATTAGTCTTTAAATCGGGGAATTCTATTGCTTGATTGCCTAGTATTTGCCCTAATATCTAATGTTGGGTAGAGGATTTTAGCTGGGGGTTTGAATCGCGTCTTGCTGGGAGCTTAAGGATTGAATCTGATTGTTGGAAATTGAAGTGAAGTGATGAATGTGGGAGACTAGCTGTGAAGGTGCGAATTGGATACGGGTTGGGGTTGTTAGCTGGTGAGAGTTGAGAAGCATTTGATTTGTGTTCGATGATAGTGATGGGGAAAATTGATCTTTCCTTTCTGCTTCATTTGATGGCTGAATCAGCTGAATATTTGAGCTGTCGACTCTGCTGTGTTCTACGGATACGTTAGACATGATCATCACCTCATTGAAATTTTTGGTGGCTGATTGGTGGTGTCCAAGCATACTGGTTGAGTTATAAGCTACGTACTCGATTAGCTACAGTGCGGGGCCCAGAGAAGGCCTTATCCTAATCTAACTGAGAAGAATGAGTGGGTAGAGAAATTGAATTGATTGTTGGAGATTTCCATTCCTAGGCAGCAAATGATGTGTGAGTAGTATGAGTTTCTGTATGATCAATATTGTCATGGAAACTGTTTTCACCGTTGGAGGAAATGGATTGCTGAAACACACGGATTTCGCATTTCAGAGGGATGATATCGTCATGTTTGTGTTGTATGCTTACTTTGTCAAATCAGGGACTTGAGCTTCTTCTCTCGTCTTGAGTGTTTGTGCAAACACTTAGTTGGGGAATAATTTCTGTTTTTCTGATAAAATTTTGTCTTGAATGATTGGCCTCTTTAGACTGCATATATGCAAAAAGTAGCTGGACAAATTGTGTAGCTGGAACATCAGGAAGATATGTACATACTTCGACTGAAACTTGTATGTATATACATTTGGTTACCTTGACTTGACCATCACCCAGGGGCTCAGCTCCTTGCCATAGGACATGGATTAGGAAAAATTGGTTTTAAAGAGCTTATTACGTGTCATTCTATACCAGCTCAACGGAATGAAGTCATGTGGAAAAGAATTTCTCAGAATCAATATTGTTTTGGCTTACTGTTGTTTGTTTTTTAAACTATTTTGCAGGATATTTTTGGGAAGCTCCGTGTACTGAAGCTGATTGCCTCAGTTTTTGCCTTTTCATCAACGCCAGAACTGTTGTTCGGACTTGGTCTTTTATATTACTTTAGGGTTTTCGAGAGGCAGATTGGATCAAACAAGTATTCGGTGAGTTACTATCCACTCTGAACTGCTCATATTACCCATGCTTGTTGGAGCATATAATCTGTTTTGTTACTTGGAGTTCCTGTGATCTTCATTTTCTCTACCTTGCCTGTAACATTTGTTGTATAGACATTACTTGCCATCCAATTTACATTTTTCGTATCCTCTCTTAAATATGAGATTGCTGCTCTAATTAATGTGATGGCTTTATTGCTTTTGTGTCATTTTTTCAGGCTTAACTCCTTATTTACCAGTTACCACACAATACACATAACACTTTTTTTCTTTACTATTCTTACGGATTGCTTATCGTAATTTTTCTGTGTCATAGTGCTAAATATCAACGATAATTGTGCAGGTGTTTATATTGTTCTCTACAATTGGATCGTTGCTCTTTGAGGCCCTTGCCCTATCACTTCTAAAAGGTAAATTGTTGCAGATAGTCCATGTTGTGCATTATCATATTGATTGTTGTTCTGTGATCGGGTGAACAATCCAAACAAGTGAACATGAGGATATATGGTGTAGAGGGTTTCTTGCATGTGATGCTAATACCGGGAAAAGAATGCAGAATGAGAAATGGGAGGTGGGGAAGTAGAAATGGATAATCAAAGAGGGGAGTTCGGTAGTGGCTTGCTTGGAAAGTGGTGATCAGTCAGGAAAATCACTGCTTACAGAAAAAGAATTGAAGTATGTAAAGATTTGTAATAGTGAGTCACTGAGTCTAATACACACATTATTCTTCATGCACTAGGAAAATATGTACGGCTGCAATGTCCTGATACCTTCTATGAAGGCGTGGGAGGATGCTACTCAAAATGCGGACTTATTGCTGTGTTCTAGCTATCACTTATCAATAAATGGACTATATCACGTAATGGTTTCACAAACGCGTAAAAGTGAATGGGATGCAGAGGGAATAGTTTGAAATGTGGATGAAACAATGCTAAAGACCTCTAATGTAAAACATATGTATGATGGAGTTGAAAGTACTACTTAGCAGTATCTCTAGTGGGTGGTTGGTACTTCTTTTCCTAATTCTCGTATGTTCTATTTTATGTTTCCTTTGTGTGCGAATTTCACAATTATAACAGCTGTGACACTTTTTCATTTTTTTTTTTGTGTGTGTGCAGACCCAACTCTGAACTTGCTTACATCTGGACCTTATGGCCTCATTTTCGCTTCATTTGTGCCCTTCTTCTTTGACATTCCGGTATCAACTTGGTTTCGTGTCTTTGGCATCCGCTTCTCTGACAAGTCGTTTGTATATCTTGCTGGTCTGCAGGTACTGAGGAATTTCACCATTCTGCATTCAGGGTTCTTGTGCCATGCATATGTTTTTTCTTTCTTCAATGCTTCTAGTACTGGTAGTTATATCTCTAACTTTTGATATTGCAGCTTCTATTATCATCTTGGAAAAGATCCCTCATACCTGGGATCTGTGGCATTCTTGCTGGCTCCTTGTACCGTTTAAACCTCTTCGGTATCCGGAAAGCAAAGGTAATTTCTCTCATGTGCAAAAAAGATTGGTATACAAAATTAGTGCTTATACAAGCATATAGCTTGAATGAAGGTACTTGTGTGGACGTTAAGTGATCCATTCTAGCCTTCCGATTCCTTTAATGTGGGAGCATATGTTTTTTTTTTTTGCTCAATACCTGCTGAATCCATGTTAAGTATGCTTTGTAATCTCAGTTACCACATACTTTGTTTTACTGGATAATAGTCTCGTATCATCATTGTAGTTGATGATACAGTTAGCATGATATCATTAGTTTTGGGCTGATGTCGTTATTCGATGCAGTGATGTATATATCTTACTCTGCTTCTGTATCATTCTCTGCCTCAGTTCCCTGAATTCATGGCTACTTTTGCCTCCCGATTTTCTTGGCCATCTACTGGGAGTCCTCGTGGGGTAACAACAACTAGGGCCAATGGAGCAGCACCAACTGTTCCATCATACGCAGGTCGCCGTGTGGAGGTAAATACCTCCTTTCCAGTTCATGAAAGGCAATAATCTTGTATCTTTATGTATTGGGGCTATTTGCGTTACTTATGGTGCATAATCTTTATGGCTGGATTTTGACAGAGAACATATCCTACTCCAGTCCCTTCTTCGGTAGAACCATCAGAGTCCGCTATCGCCACATTAGTTTCTATGGGCTTCGACGGCAACTCGGCAAGACAGGCACTTGTGCAGGCTAGGAACGACGTCAATGCCGCTACCAACATCCTTCTTGAAGCCCAATCACACTGATTACTCATGGGTGGGTGAAAAGCACAACTGTATGGGCTAATTTTTAACTGGCACGGATCAACGGAAACTGAGTCATCACAGTACAATATAGACAATGAAGTCCCATGTTTGATAGTTCACAATCAATGCGATATGGCTTGGTTAACATCCTGAAAGGGTGGTGGTTTTGCTGTCTTTGTCCTAAATGTAGGTAAATAGTGTAGTGTGGACAAAAGAATCCTTAGGACATTTTGCCATTGTTTTCATAGTCTGTTCTTACTGCTGCCCTGCTTTTGGAACAGACAACGGAAGCATTATTTGGCTTTCAAGTATTGTGCCTATATTGAAACAGTTGCAGAAAGAAGATTTCAGTAATAGTTTCACTTCTTTTAATTTGTTCGACAGAATTTCTCCTTTACTAAGCCTAGTGTCTAACATTCTGCTACTGGTGCTACAATTTCGACCCATAACTCTATTTCATTTCAGGTAAATGATGGACCACTCTATTTTGATGGCATCGCTCAGTACATTGATCATATTGCTCAGTATTTTGCTGTCATCTTCAATCTTATGAATGTTCTTCTTTAGTGTTTGGTGCTCTGTTATCTTACGAAGCACAGTTCTGCTATGGATATTATACAGTCCAATGGCTTAACAATGCTGACAGTTTGCAAGCTTTTATTCGTTCACTTCAACTGCAAAACCATACTGCTTTGGCAGCAACAGTTTCAACACAACTACGCAGTGAAAGATTATGACTGAAATCTCTATCCATCTTGCGTTCTCGTTATAGATATTACAATCAATTGATAGATCTCTCAAACAGAAAAAAGATAGTAACCATTCTTTTTCCTTTAACTGGAATGCAATTCATTCAAACAGTTGATCAATTGATACTCCTCTGATGCTTCCTTCACAGCCTTGTTCATAGCTCCAGCACCACAACTGCGAAATCAAGGTTGTCAATTTCCTTGATGAAGAGAAACATGAATTGAAAAATAAGTATCAGTGTATGTATAATTGTATATAGAGACACTTACAGTCAGAATCAGTGGTGATCCAGTTGGCTTTTCTGTCCTGGCCCGTGGCAGGGCAAGAAGCCATAGACATTGCTGAGCAAGTGGTGGAGCTGCTTTCAACTTCCCATCTCAAGCTGAACCTTGGAGAGTCGATATGGCTATTTTCATTGTACTTGTAACTGTTATTGTGTTGTCTCCCCGTTAGATCCGAATCTTCTTGCATTGCCTTCAGGGCTCCTCGATTTCGAAATTGATGTAGAACCTGTCATAGAGATAAAAAAAAATCACACTTGAGTGGCATACACAGCATACAAATTTTGGTCAAAATGTTCATACATAAAAAAAGATGCTACCTTGCGGCCAAGGAACTTGCCATTCTTGTCAGATTTGGTAGCTGCAGCCCATCTAATGAGCTCCTTCATCCTGGAAATGGCCTTGTTCTTGCTGTCCCCTTTGACCTGTTTGGCGTCTCTCTTCTCGCATTCCTCTGCCGATGGCAGGGGAAACCGTGGAGGCAATGCAGCGTTGGCTTCGTTGCTGATTGGTAGAACCTTGTTACCCACGTGATGAGCAGCAGCAGTGGAATGATTAGCAGATGGATCCGGCTTCTTACCCGCGGCGACCTCTTCTTTCTTCATCTTCATAGAGATGATCATCCGACGCTCTCGTCTGCTCGAGCTATTTCCAAGCCTTCTCAGGTTCAGCGTGCTATAGAAGCAAGCCTTCGCCACATCTTTTCTAACAAGAAGAATCCCAAACGGGCTGCTAAAGTTCTGCCAACCACCAAACTTGCTGTCCTTCTTAACTCCTATGCCTCTCCTCCTCTGGCTACCACAATGCTTGAACAGGACTATGTGTTGCTGCTGTGCGCCTTATGTTTGTTTATGAAACAGGAAGGTAGAGATGGAAATGAGATCGTTTTAAGATATCCAAAGAGTCAGAAGGAAATAATTAATTGAGATGGCACAAACTTACTGCTATTATTGGCCTTATTATGGGGCAAGCTAGAAGTCTTGTTATTGCTGCTACTGTTGCTGCTGCTGCGGTTGTCTCTGGCCTCATCATGTGCAACATTGAGAAGCCAGTGAAGAATCTGATATATAAATATTGAGGAAGTGGGTTAGTGGGAAATTTTCAGCCTCTTCACTTATTAAGTTCACGTGTTCTTTCCTTCCACCCCAATTTATAAAAGTGTAACCTTACCTGCATGTTACAATTATTTGGATGTTTTCAGGAAGACCCTTTTTGTTGATAATATGAAACAAAAAGATCTGGTTGGTCAAATGGGCAGCAGTTGCGGTGATCCACTGTGCTTGTCTGGATCTAGTGGCTTTTTGTTTGGATGGGAAGAACAGACAAAAGGAATTTTGGCAGTGAATCTACTGGAGAAACAGAGTGCTCTGTTTGGGAACAAGACAACTAGGTAGTCTACAGACAGAGTTGGCTTCTGGCTAGTAACATGGGAGTGGAAAGGACTTGGGGAAGTTTTATAATATTATACTATCATTCATGTGGTGGGTATTAAGGACAAGATTTGGAAGAACATTGTGGTCAATTGGGAACCAAAGATTAGTGTTTCTCTTTGCTTATAGGACCAAGTGGCACCTCTTTTTGTCATGCACTTGTCGGGATGCGGTTCATTAGATTCGTGGGGTGGGATGATCATGTTATAATTGGTATAGTAATGGTTTACATCAAATGCATTATGTGGACATGTTACTACCATTTGACATCAAACATTCCTTATTGCAGCCAACGGTTTTGATTGTAAAGCTTAAATCTTGCTCCAGAATCGTGTAATGCTGCTACAGACAGACAGGCACTTTACTATAGAGAGCTAGTTCACAAACTTATTAGGAGGAAGCCCTTTCTGTTTGGTTTCTGGAGTTTGCAGCCTTATTGAAGAGCTCTACTTCCCTACTGGTTTTCCGTTACTCGCGACTTGCTTCCCTTTCCCGTCGGTTTCCTTCAAACCAGGATGTGATCTTCCACTCCCAGAAATGAGGCCTTTTATAGTGGACTTAAGTTCACTGTCCTTCATCAGAGTCTCCAACGTAACGTGTACACCTGAATTCACAAAACAAAAGCAGCAGCAGAGCTTCAATTCTTACTTAGCGTCTTACAGAAGCATTATACTGAACAGCCAACTCAAATTTATCGTAGTGAAAAAGTGTTGCATGGAGGGAAAAGAGGCAATACGGTATCGCCAGTAGTGCTTCGGATTCGTAGGGTCGTTGATCGTCTCTTCATTTGCAGGACGTGTTGTGTAGTCCTCTTTTAGAACTAGCAAGTCCTGCAAACATTCATTCACAAGAACAGCCCTGGTTGTAAGGTTATCAACTCGAAATATGATATTACTATTATTACCCACCATATCAGGCATTGAGAGACAAACCTGTAATGGGAATATTGCCCACATTGATGGCGATTCAACATGTTGCCTGATGATGAAATGTGCAATAGCTGGAAGGCATGTATCGGGGGGCAGCTCATCAGAACCGACTATGGCCTTGAAGTATCGCTGTCTTCTTTCAGCATCCTCCTCCCACCAAGCACGCAACGTGGAGCAGTCGTGGCACGATGGGGCACACACCTGAACCAAACCATGAACACCAGTTTAATACGAAGAGTAATACTTGATATGAAGTGTAACAAATGCCTAATGACAATGTAGTATTATCTTACCGTCATGTAGCTATATTGAGAAGGAACCCCAAATTCCAGATCAGGTTCACTAGGCATACGTTGGATGCGTAACCCGATCATTCCCAGCTCTTGCATCACCTGCATTTTTTATTCTAAAAATCAGGACAAAGAAAATGGAGCAGGAAATCGGGTGTTGGGATTTTGGAAGGCATACCGGGTGAACACAAGCAGGTATGAGCCCCAGATCTTCACCACAGGCAAGCATGTTTGATGAATTGAGGAGAACGGGTAACGTCTTCAGAGCATTTTTTCGCCATAGCTCTTCTTGGCGATGGAAGTAGTAATCATAGTAGAGTCTTTTCATGACATTCTTGCTGTATAATATTAGATGAGGCGAATTAACTTTACTGATTAACCAACTTTAATAAAATTGCTTTTGCCAACACTCTAGTTTATCTCGATTTTACCTGTGCTCATCCAAATCCTGAAAACTTGAAGTATCCTCGAGGTTGAAACGCGGGTAGAAGTTCTTTGCATCCTCGGGGTCTCTAATTAGAACTATATTCTGAAAAACATCAGTTAACACATGAAAGTTGGATAGCATACAGTTAGCTGACAACAATTTTACGATATAAAATCTGAAATTTGTTTGAAGAGTATGTGCATACCTTGAGGAGATCAAATAGATCACGTCTTATCTTATCTTCACCCTCTAATAACAATGATTGTTCTGCCATGGTCTTCACTTTGGAAGCAATTTTTTTCTCTGTATTGCAATCCTCCTTGAACTGAAGCATTACAAAGCACAACACACCAGTTTTCTAAATATAAATGCTGCACTGAAAATTTTAGACGAAACAAAAAAGAAGGGTTCAATATGTTCAACATAACCATTAACAACTATTTACCTCATAAAAGCCTTTCTGCACTTCATTCAGAAAGCTCGAGGCGATAACTGCCCAAAATGTTCCAAACTTTTCCTGATTTGACCAAAAAGGAAAAAGAAAAAATTGAACTTTCAGCAGATGGAATCTGTAGCCTGTAAAAATAACAGTGCCCTGCTTCCAGACACGAAGTCGAAGTCAATCACCTGTAGAAACTCTAGCTTTATGTATGGATGGCTTAAACGATCGAAGTCCCAGATTCCTTCTCGTTCTAGTTCTTCCTACAGCATAATAAGCATAAAAATTCAAAGAAAGCAATGTAAAGAATTGCAACCTTTGGTAGCATTGTCTTGACTAAAGCAAACCTAAATGAGGACAGCAAATTGTACCTGGCTCAAGGGGATTGAAGGTCGGAACTTCCCTATCAGTCCCGTCATAGCATGATCAGGAAGCTCCCAGATTCTAAAGAAACCTAGTATATGATCAATCCTATATGCTGTGAAGTACTTCGACATCTGGCATTACAAGGACAGCTACATTGAGTAATAAAGTAAAGATGAGGAACACAGTAAAAAGCAGTTTGACAGTTCAATAATAACCTGTGTTAATCGAGCACGCCACCAACCATAGTTGTCTTTGGACATCTCCTCCCAGTTATAGGTTGGGAAACCCCAGTTCTGCCCATTTTTGTCAAAGTAATCTGGGGGAGCTCCAGTGGAGGTGTTCATACGGAACAAGTTGGGATACACCCACGTGTCCACACTATTTCTGTCAACACCAATAGGTAAATCTCCCTTCAGTACCACTCCTTTCTTTCTTGCATATTCTGCAGCTTCAGACAACTATTATACATCAAGCAAAATAGAAAGTTAGAATATTACTGGAATAACGCTATGTTGAGGAGAAAGTCAAACAGATGTGACAAAGACAGTGGAGCTCACCTGTAGCTGTAAATGGAATTGGAGATAGTAATGGAATCGAATTATGTCATAGTGCACAGTGTCTCTTGAGACGAGCTTCTCCAGCTACAAGAAAGAACAGCATTGTTATCATGCAGATAACAGCTAATAAAGCTTACTAACTGTGATATGCAGGAAGCCAAATGGCTAACCTACCTTCTCTTTAGAAAATTCAGAAAATCGACCCCATTGGCTGCGCTCAGATGTTTCAAAGAAGTCCCTCAGAAAACAGAAGGCTGCATACGGTTTTAACCATTCCTTTCATAATTGAACAGAGAAGAACAGTTAGATTAGATGTCAGAAAACTGGAAATGTATAGAGGAGATAAAATTGAACATCCCAGGAATCAGAGATAAGGTTTCCTTATTACCTCATTTTCTGAGAAGAATTCCTTAAATGCGCTGGAGTTAAGTATCACATCTTTCTCTTTAGCATAGACTTTTTTGGCGATTGACAATTTTGTTGCCAGACTAGCCTCATAATCAACATCCTGCAGTGCCAATTAGAGAGCATGATAAGCAGGCACCAATCACCTGCTTCAAATACTGCATGATTCTACGGTGAGGGTGATCATATTAGTTGCTTTCTCCACTCACATGCTCATAAGATCAGATTGCAAATTTTAAAGGCAGGATAAGGAGTGACAGAGAGAAAGCATGTTCATGAGTAGAAGTGTTATACCACGGACGAGATGAAATATCCAATCAGTAAGTTATACTCCCAAGAGGGATAAAAAATTTCTTTCGGACAACTGCTAATCATTAGGGCAATCATATAAAACCAACCAGGACATAATGAGCTATTTCTCGGGTTGCATGTGTATTTCCTTCCCCATGTTGTCATTTACTTGTTATTAGGTGTCATACAAAACCATCAACTAGAACAAGAAGTAAGAATATAATGTCTTTTCGAAATAACGAAGTATGAAAAAGAATAAGAACAAAAAACAAGGTCACCTTTCCATCAAGCCTTTTCTTGGCCTCCTGTATCTCCTTCTGCAAGTAAAGAATCAAAAGTGGAAAAGCTGTAAGATGAAAGTAACCTGGGCCAACAATATCTTATGAATAGCAAATAAAGTAACAAGTACCATATGAGTGTAAATACCTTCACCTCCTCTGGCAGATTAGCTGAAAGTGCCTGTACTCTCAGGTATAGCGGATGCAGGGCAAATACAGACAGGGAGCTGCACAAATCATGAGGAAAAATGCTTCAAAAACTGCTGAAAAATTCATTCTGGGAGGTAGTCAAAAGTTCCAATAAGGGGGAATGAATCCAGCTGAAGAGTACCACAACCAATTAAAAAATCACTATCTTCATCAAGTTCCGTCGCTATCATTTCCTGTGATCATTGAGAACTACCAAAGTCCATGAAGAAAACTTCAAACTTCCTAGACAAGGTAACTATTTTGCCATACCTGTATGGATAGGAGTCCCACCACATCAGATTAACAGAGGTGTCATTGATTGGTAGAAGCTGAACTAGATGGAACCCAGATTCCACAGCCCAGTCAACAAGAAGTTTCAGGTCAAGGAACTCTCCAACACCAAGATCGAGTTCTGACCTTATAGAGAACATAGGTATCGCAACACCAGTTCCCCGCCATGGCATTGCCTATGAGAGAGCAGATTAATTAATATCATTGTTAGCGAGATTCCCTGAGGAGGGAAAACACTTTCTTCATAGTCTTTCAGTCTCTCAGCAGCTTACACGCATCATGCCGTCTGAAACAAAGACATACTTCAGTTGAATGTTTGCGGGATCAACAGAGAGCTCCCTATTCGCACCAGTTTCCAGAGAGAAGTTCCCTGCCTTGGCCCATTTGCAGTACTTGTATGTAAACCGTTGTTAAGGAAGAAAAGTTGAGAATCTTCTTGTAGCAATATAGATAGTATACATTTACAATAATCCATAATGAGATTGAATTGAAATGCATCTATCAGGATATTTGAATGGAAGATCATCCTTTTGCACAACAACATCTGCTTGCCAAGTAGAGTTTCCGGCATAACTAAGTTTAAGCCCATCCTGAACCTTCCAGCAACCCAACTTTGCACAACTCCCAATAACGTAGACCTGGATGTGTACAGATAGCTTATAAGCATTCAGAAATTCAGTAAGATGGTGGCCTAATCATGGATGAAGATCCCAAGACGTTGGAAACTTACATAAGTCTCTTCCTCTATGTTTGGGCAGCAAATCCTGAAATGAACAAGAATGGAATCTGTTCCATTTTTGTGGTTCATAAATACAAATAGTGAGTACACCATCATAATAGATATTATAAGACCACCAACTGAGTGAGGGAAAAGATAAGTATCACCTTCCTTCTCCAACTTATTCTGGACTCCTAAGGGCCTCTCGACCTTCATATTGCAACTTTTGCTAAAAATGACATCTTTGAAGGCGCTTTTGAAAGGGATATCATCGTCACCAGTCTGGTTTTCATTTCAAGAGAGCATGTGTTATGTTGAATTACACAAGGGAGAAATATATACTCAATCGTAGCTCTGATTCTAGTCAGCAACTACCAATTCACATGAAAGTGAACAAAATCCTAGTTCCAAAGACGAGCCTCCTTAAGAGGCTTCTTGCATTATATAACAACCAGCTGGCGCTGGATGAAACCAGGAAAACTGAACTTACTAATCAAAGTCCATGAAACGAATAGCAGAACCAGGGCATACTAAGTTTCAAAAGGAATGATTCATCTTGAAGCTTAAGCACATAAAGCTTGAGAATGCATAATGAAGTGTATAGGGTTAGATCAAGAAAACTCCATTACAGGACATTCTTGAGCAATCCATAATTATTTAACAAAAAGAAGCACTACTACGTAGAATACCAAGAGCTAAAATGAAGAAACGTCCTAACTTTTCACCAGAATCTACAGAGCACATCCGTGGAATTTACTAGTACAGCTTCAGAGATAACATTTAAGAAAATCATAGATACAGCACCTGCCAGAGATCACGAAGCTCCACGATATCTCCACCATTGATCCCCTGAGGTGAAAAGAGTGCTCGCTTATTTCCCATCTCCCATCTCAGCACATTCCTCTCATCATCCACCACATAATAACTGTACTCACAGCTGAATTCAGCCGGCACAGAGATACTTCCAGACCAAATTAGCTCATCATCCTGATGCACAGGTTTCAACAGCAATCCCCTCTTCACATTCCAGGACCCCAGCACCGGATCAGAACCACATACCACCAGGCTCTGACCCCAGTTGGTGAAATACGGTATTCTAAAGCTCACTCTCATCGACTTTGAGGATTTAGACCCGAAAACCATCCCCAAATTCGTCATTCTTCTTTCTTAGTTGTCTATCACAAGGCCTGCCCCAAAAGAACAAGTTGCATGACAAAACTATACTAAACAGAGGAAACAGAGCTAGAAACATGTTCAACCAATTACTTTCCAAATGCACTGCAAACATTTCAATACGAATGGCGATAAAGAAGAGAACCCAGAAAGCCAAAATCATCGGAATGGAGCAGAGACGAGAGAACAACCCTACAGTAAAGCAAAACAGCAAACCCGACTAACATTCCCTAGGAAATGGAACCGCAAAAGAAATAAAGGACAAAACTTGAGCAGAACCCAGATAAAAGGAAGTGAAATGGCAGTACACATTGTGGGAGCAAAGAAAATATTAAGACGAAACAGGAGACACTGGTCGATTCAGATACGTATGGTACGCGCGTAACGTAAGGGAAGGCGTACCTGAACAATGGGGGCCAAAGGTATTCAATTCCGGTCTCCAGAACTGAAGGAGCGAGAAGATTGGAAGTGAAGCAAATTATATAAAGGCCGAAGGACAACAACCAGCTGGGAATTTCACATCAGAGCTACGAGTGGACAGAAGAATAAGTGAAGGGGGAGATATCAAATCATATCGAGATCAAACAAAATGAAAATTGGCTGGTTCGGCAAGGAGAAGATATTTTCTGCAAAGTGGAGAAAGAAATGGCTGTCCTTTAGCTGGTAAGGTGGAAACAAGAGTGTAATGAACGAGTAATCAAGAACGTGCGGATTAGGAAATTGAAGAAGGAAAAGCTCCGGTGCTTTCTTTCTCTTTCACGGGTGAAAAAATGAAAATGTCAGAGAGAGATGGGTCGATACTCAATAACACAAATTTGCGGGGGAGCTCACATGGGTTTTTTGCTTTTCTACACTGTTTCGTTTTTGTTTTTCCCCTCTTTTCTTTCCTTCCTTCTTCCTGTGGCCTCCAAATGTAACCTCCCGCGTTCTGCCACACGGTCCCAGTAGCAGTAAGTAGTGACAACAGGGACACTCTGTTTCCGGAAAAAAACAGTTATGCCAGAAAGGGGGCAAATCATATTTGAAACGTTTCAGGATCGAGCCTTTGTCATTGTAGTTTGTACCATCCAATATTGGTTGAATCAAGTATTACGATTTTATAACCAAATTATACCGATTAAACCACGCAAGGAATTAAGTTAGTGCGGCTTTACATTAGAAGGCCTTTTACGCAATTTCAATTCAAGAAGATAATCATTGGACAACAACATGACCATCACTTGTTAGCTACTACTTAGCTGCTGCATCAGTAAACAATTGGAGATACTTGAATGCCGACGCATTCAAGACTACATCAAATCAATTGAAATGGAATGTAGTACAGACTTGTATATTAATCTGATCATTCATTTCTGAAAACTGTGACTGCGCGATTGGACAAACAATGTAGAAGAACATTACATGGGTGGAATCAACGAATTCCACACTCAAAAAGTTTGCAGCACAAGGGTTTTTAAGTATAAGAATCAAAAGCAAGACTTTGAAGATGAAGAAGTTCTTGGTATGGTACCTAGTCAACTAGAAACTAGCTTGCAATTTTGATTTTATCTGCAAATCAGTTACAACGGGAAAGAGAAGGCCTTGTACAAAGAAGCCAACTTTCAACTGCCAGGAGAAGCCGGGTATCATAGAAGGTAGGCAAACAAACTCAGAAACCTGGGAATCTATCAGCCCCAGTGAAGTAGTTCTATTCATAATGAATCAATTTGAATGCTCAACTTATAACACACTCAAACTGAAAGACTGCGGAGGCTCTTAATCAGATGTTCTCACCTGTTTGTATAAAACGTCTTCTCAGTGCCAAGTAAATGACTATCACAGAACACTGATGCTCTCAGCTGCTCCATAATGTTGAACGGAAGAGAACCAAATACTTGAAAGGTAGAAGCAAATTCACACGCAACATATAGACGCTAAGTCACTTATTTCTACCAGAGAGAGCAGGATATGGAATCTGTCTCTGTCTCTTAGCGAGAATAACAAAAATGCAAATTGCTAAGCTAACCTTTTTCCCCCTTTTGCAGTGAACACACTTTCAGTAGGAAGTTGAACTCACTCACAAAAGAACCTGTTGAACTAGTATCCATGAAAAAAATTGATTTCCCTTCTACAAAGAATTATATGCACAACATGCCTTCATCATTGAGATCCATCAGGTAGAAAAAGTCTGGATCTTTCAGCTCAGCTTGAGAGAAGTATCTATACAACGCCTGTGCATCCCCTTTTTGAAGTTTCAAGCCTGCGCCTGCGCTTGGATCTATCAGTTTGGCGGCTACCTTCCCCTTCATTGGAATTGGAGCTTCCATAGCCTAATGGGTCAGTTGTAGTTGTCCTATAGAACTTGATTGTTCTCACTTCAACATCGACAGTTGGTTCCATCTTCCTTTTACTTCCAGAATCCATTTTCTTGTGGGACTTGGAATTCTGCACTCCGTCGGGGTCAAATGAGTGATTGTGGTCAAGTTTAACCTCATCCACCCTCCATCTATTGGATTCTACTAACCTCAGCCTTATCATTGCCAGACAACCGGTTCTCGTTTCCCTTTGTCGATTATTTGCTTCTTTCATCGTCTTAAACCCTCGCAGTTGCAACAGAGCACTGTGTCACGTTTCTCCTCGCTGTTACGCTTTGTCCATGAGGATTCAATTGGAATTGCAAACCCAAATCCTTCGCATAGCAGTTGTAATAGACTAATAGTCGTATGCATCCTCGTATGATTCGAACTCCATCCCCAGAACAGGTGCAAGGTAGACAATTCCATGAGGTTCACCATTTTCAGCATCAGGGGCTGTCATATCATCACTGGTATGACCATGTTCTTCAAATTCGAGCATTCGCTCACAATTTTACTCGAGTTTATTACCTTCATCAACTTCTATCTCAGGGTTGTTCTCTTATAGCACAATGTTTGTCTCTTCTATCTCGAGATCATTGCCCGTGATCTCAAGAGTGCTCTCCTCAATAGCAAGGTCATGGGGATCCCTATCAAGGGTGGTGTCAGCAATTTCAAGGTCATCAGCCTCAATTTCAAGATCATTGTCATCAAAGTCGAGTCCATTTCCGCAATCCTCGAGAAGTTGCTCACTGTTTTGGCCATCATCTCCTAGCTGCAAAGCAAAACCAATGAGAAAATTTGAAAACACACTTCATATATACCATATGCCATGCTTCAAGAGGAGAATTCTGAATAAAAGAGAACTAAAGTGAAAGCAAAAACAAAGTCGTAGCTGCGAATAACAAACTGGACTCTTAAACTCGATAATCTTCATCGAAACTGGGATTCAAATTTGACAACCCAAGTCGCTAAGTCAGTTATGACAGACTTTACATTTTGCAGCAGTTAAAGACAGGACGTAAAGATGGCTACTTTACATAATCCACAATCATCAAGACACCCATGCCCGCAAAAGAATAAGAAGTACCTCGATCATCGCCACGGGAGACCAGCTGACGATCCTAAACGACGTTGAAATTGACTCAAGATGGGAAGTAAGGCTTATATCTTGAACTGCACTCGGAAACTGTTTCCCGGGAAAGAGGCTGTGGAGTCGAGGACCTGGAACTGTTGGTTACTGGCCTGCACCCAATCCCTCAACTCTCCGACCAGTCACTACCTGCGGGAAAGTGGAAATTTCTGCTTTCGCCCCGATGGCAAGCAGAGGCAGATGGAAGAGGAATCAATTCAGTTTTTTAGGGTTCCTCGTTTCTTCAATTCAGTTTTTGGGAGGGAATAGGAAATTTGACAGAGTGGCGAAACAGGGGACTGCTGGAAAGAATTTGCCAGAATTGCCCGAGCCTGACCTTAGTGGTTCAACCGGTCAGGCCTTTCGGAGCTGACTTGGCGGTCTGTTTGCTGATGTGGATGCAGAGCTGGACATGACGTGGGTAGCGAAAAGAGACACCTGGCGTATTCACCACTCCCAAAAAGGAAACTGACCGGAGGAAGTAGGAATATAAAGAGGCCGGCAGAAGCCGAGGCGCTGCGTGTGTTGAGTTCTTACATCACTCCCATGGCTTCTGAGAAAGACGCTGCTCTCGCGGCCGCCGCCGCTCCTGTCCCTTCCGATTCTCCCACCATGTGAGTTGGTGACTCCTACTATCTTTCTCTCCTATCGATTCACTGTTTCTGCTACTCCGTCGTCATTTCCCGGACTAGGGTTTGTGCTGTATCCTCTTCATTTCGTAGATGGTCTCTGTATTTGATGATTCTGAGTCGATTCTTTCAGCTTCTAGTCTCCAAAACCCAGCTTATAAGCTGTAGTGTCTTCTTTAGTTGAGCCCCTTTACTTGCACAGAATTCCCAAAGATGGAGGTTTGTGTTTGCTTCTTATATCTCACCATCATGTCTTGTATTGGTCACTTAGAAACAACAATTTGCTACCTAGCTCCAAAGGGTAGCTCTGCCTTTGAATATGCAAGATGGGGCCTTGGGGTTGATTGTTCTTATTTGGGTTTTGATGAAATACAGATTTGACAAGATCATCAACAAGGAAATTCCTTCTAATGTGGTTTACGAGGATGATAAGGTACCCTCGACTCACTGGAAGCTTGTGTTTTGAATGTGAAAGCTTTCATCTTTCTCCTTTTGAATGTCTTAATTGTGGTTGCAACCCTGTCTAATGCTTGAAAATCTCATGATTTTCTTCTCACTATGTCTAATCCTTTGCTTCCAATGTCAGGTGCTAGCTTTCAGAGACATAAATCCTCAAGCTCCTACCCACATTGTCATCATTCCAAAAGTAAAGGATGGTTTGTCAGGCTTATCTAAGGTATTAACAGTGCTCCCCAAGTCTTTTTTGTCATTTGTCTTATTTCACCATTATTATTCTGTAAAGGCTCTAGCTTTGTTGCCTCTCATGATGATCTCGCAGTACCACATCCAGTTCTTAAATTATTTTATCTTCAATAATGCTATCATCTCAAATGTTGACTCTGTGTGGTCAAAAGGGTTCTTCCTTTGATTTTCTGATTACTAACTTCCGAGGATCTATATGGTGTAGGCAGAAGAGAGACATTGTGAGATCCTTGGGCGACTGATGTACACTGCCAAGCTGGTCGCGAAGCAAGAAGGACTGGATGATGGCTTTAGGATCGTCATCAATGATGGACCCAATGGATGTATGTTTGCTCTTTGCTCTTGTCATGACTCATTCGAAGAGAGAGAGTTATGGTTATCCGCTAAACGAGTTAAAGATCACCATCGGGAAACTTACTGTGCTATTGTTATGCTGTCTGGCTCTTTTGTAGGCCAATCTGTCTATCACATTCACGTTCATCTTCTCGGAGGGCGCCAAATGAACTGGCCTCCTGGCTAAAGATTGTAGTTCACGTACTGCTATGCCACACGGCTAGTGGCTTGGCCTGAGGCTGGTTAGAGTTGACAGGGTACTGTAATGGTCGGATCTCTGGAATAATGGGTTCATCTGCTACTGCTATTGTTTCCCTTGCTGAATGCTGCATGATGCGAGTTCCTTAATGGCGACCAACTGAACACAACTGTACGGTTTTTAAATCCCAGCAGCTTTGGTTGACATTTACATACATCCACTGATGTTTAATAGATTGGAGTAAAATTATAGAATTTTGATAGTTGAACTTAGAATTAAAAGAACAACGGTGAATCATATGGTGACGACTGACGAGTAAAGCCAGCTAGAGCTGAAAAGGACCAGAGGGTGGCAACCAGAACCCTTCGGCCTAAGCTTTCTTGGATATCTCCAAGAGAACTATGTCCAAAGAGCACCAAATTCGAATATACAGGCCACTCTTTCCTATGCGAGCGAGACTGCTCCTTCGGTCTCTTGAAGAGCATCGTGGTCGAGAAGGAAGCACACTTCCATCTCCCAGAATGACAAACCTTGCACTAACAACAACCAATTCAAATTATTCAACGTGTTCCCAAATTCTCAAGCTGGTATCCTCAGAGATCTATTTCAGGCCTACTGTGTTTAAAGTTATCAAAGGAACCCGATTTCGGATATGAAACTTTCTCAGATCAGCTTTAACATATGGCAGTACCTTTCGTTTAGCAGCATATTCAACGTGATTGAATCATTGGAGAACTTCAATGTGTTAATTGAACATCCACAATACTCTTAAAATGACTTTTCTGTTCACAATGCAATGTAACATAAACACCTCTCTTCATTCTTTAGTTTCAACCCTGAATAAGAGCCAATTTCTCTGTACAACATTAACTGTTTGCATTACCCATACCCCATTGATTTAAGCATTTTTATTCTTAGGAGTTCCCTGGTAACTAATAATAAAATGACTCAAAAATAGTTATGATACATTACACAGAGTGAGTGAGTAAAACTAAATATATAGATATTGAAGAACCAAAACGCCACAAGAAACCTCAGTCTCGCCGGCTTGCCTCTGATTAAAATCCACCTACCGTCTTCGTCCTCCGAAACCAGAGTCATCTCCGCTGTCTCCGAATCCCCCGAATCGACCCCCACCTCCAAACGAGCCAGAACGCGTTGAGCCCGAGTCTCCAAACCCACTAGAACGGCCTGAGCCAAAGTCACCGAAGGAACCACCACCTCGGTCGGACTTGCCAGAGTCGAAGTATCCACCGCTGCTACGGCCTTGACTCGAACCACCATAGCCACCTGGCTGAGACTGGAACCGACCACCGCCGCTGCTGCCTCCAGGTCGACCACCATAGCCCGAGTTGCCATAGCCTCCGCCACGTCCCCCAGACCCATAGCTACTCGAACCACCACCACCACTACCGAATCGGCCATAGCCACCACTGCCACCGCGGCCTCCTGAGCTGCCAAACTGGCCAAAACGACTACTGCCGCCCATGTCAAGGTTCATGCCTCCAGCATCAACAGCTATTCTAGGGAGCTGGAAAAACAAGTCGAAAAATTATGTAAGTGGAAAGTCTGAAGTTCGATTAACAAGGGGAAAAAGGGGGGATCCAGTAGTTAACCTCGGTGAATCTGCACCCTACTTCACGCTCAATGATCTTCACATTCCTGGTCTGATCCCCGCCATAAATGAGAATGGCTGTTCCCTTTTTCCCAGCACGTCCAGTACGACCAGATCGATGAACAAATGTCTCGGTAGAGTTCGGAATAGCATAGTGTATAATCTGAAGAACGAGCCAAACAGGGTGGACAAGTTAATTTTTAAGTGGCCCAAGAAAGAGAGCAACTGTTCATACGAGTAAACCTACTGAACAGGTTAAGGCCTTTTAAGAGATGGCAACAAGTATGAGAATTTAAAACCTATTGGATCAAAGGCATTTCGTCGAAACTAAGCTAAGGTCATAGCCTGATTACCCTAAGGGATCAAAGTAAAGGTCTTTCATTGAACCAACACATAAATTATAGACTGAAGGAAATGAATCTCACCAGATCAACGTTTGGTACATCTAGACCACGTGCAGCGACATCAGTAGCCACAAGTATATTGAACTGACCATCTCGGAAACCTGCAAGAGTCCTTTCCCTTTGCATCTGGGAGATATCGCCATGTAGTGCTTCACATTTATGGGTTTTTGACATAGCATACGCCAAACGGTCAGCATCACGTTTTGTCTCTGTGAAAACAATACACTTTCCTCCTTTCCCGTGTTCCTAGCAAGAAAAGGATAACCAAGACAATGAGAAAGCATTATCTTAAAAGAAGCAAAAAGATCTCTTAACAGCTGAAGTCTAATGACAACTCTCATACAGCAATCAAAGGGGCGAGGACGCCTGCTTTCTGATACGACTCTGATGCAATAGAGTATAGAGTAATCCCATCAGCCAGCTTCTTATCCGAATCACCAACCTACAAGAGAAACACAAAGTTGTTAGTGCAAATGTACTACGCTATATGTCAACTAAAGCAAACTTCCAAGCATGACATACTAACCAGATCGATAGTCAGCGGATTTGTAAGGTAATTCTTGATGAGGTTCTTGATCCAACTCGGCATAGTGGCAGAGAACAACATGGTCTGGCGCTTTGGAGGCAACTGCTTGAAGATTGTTTCAATGTCATCAACAAAACCAACGGCAAGCATCTGGTCTGCTTCATCAAGAACAACAAACTGGACCTCCGACAAGTTCAGAGCTCCTCTCCTCATCAGATCAATAATCCTACCAGGAGTGCCGACGACAATATCAGTACCATAATCGAGCTCCCTCATCTGCCGCTGAATGGGAGTCCCACCATAGAGGCAGATAGTGTCCAGTTTAGGAGCTGATTCACGAAACTCTTTCTCAACCTGGCGAGCCAACTCTCGAGTAGGCGCCATGACTAAGGCCAATGGATTCCTTCCACGTCTAGAAATGTATATGCACATTTGGATTATCAATTAGGGAAAAACAAATTCTAGAGAAACAAAAGTTTCACCATGGTAGATTGAACATACCCATGCTTCGCATTGTACTGAATGATCTTGTCAAGAATCGGGATTCCAAAGGCAAGGGTTTTCCCTGTTCCGGTTCTAGCCCTCCCAAACAAATCCCTCCCTGCCATTGCAGGTTCAAGAACAGCTCTCTGCCACAGAAAAATCATTAGAATGAATACTGATGGCTAAATTGAACCAAAACAAACCCAAAGCTGAGAACTTTACGCCAACAATAATCACCTGAATGGGGAAAAGTTTAGAGATCCCCTTAGTAGCCAAAGCCGAGACAATCTCTTGAGCAATCCCAAGCTTCGAAATTTCAAGCCCTTCCTCGCTTTGGCTATTACCAGTCACCTCCGTTTTCGCGCCGCCGCCAATCCTCTCCTCGTCGTAACCATACTGGTGATCTACGGCGAACTCAGCCTGGGAAATCGTGGACGACTTGTAATTCAATCTCCCAGCTTGAGAGTGGAACCCAGAGCTCACGGAAGATAAAGCTCCAAATCCCAACGAGAGAAGACCCTTTCCCACCGGAAACGACGCCGCGCCGGGGGCTGCAGCGACGGAGGAGGATGGGGAATTCCCGACAGATAACGATGAAGTGTGGCGGCTGCTGCTTCGCACGATGGTTTCGACGGCGGCCAAGGCGGCGAGGGCCGTCGGCCTGCGAGGCACCGGCAACGAGCGACTTAGATATGCCGTTAACATGATTTCGCAAAAGGCTGTGGAGAGTTTAGGATTCTGGGTAGATGGGAGGTAAAGGAGAGAGCGCGGTAGAGGAAGAAGAGGCAGAAAACCCCAACTGAAATGTAGGGTTTAAGGAGAGGCGCAGATTGTATTTATTTCCTTTGGAAGATATATTTTATCTATTTTTTTTATCTTTAACCTCTGTCAGCTTGAATTAGGGGTGAGCATACGGTTCGGTAAAACCGAACCGAATCGAATATAAACCGAACCGAAACCGAATTAATGCTATTCGGTTCGGAATTCGGAAGAGAAAAGGGCATATTTCGGAAATCAGGGTCCTTTCGACCAAACCTAATTTCCGAATTCCGAACTGAAAAACCGAATTATTATAATTGCAAGCTTTAAATGGTGGATTTTTATGTTTCTACTTATTATGAGACTTAAATATTTGAATCATGTTAGTGTTTTATGACTTATGTGTTGAAATGTTTGATTTTTATCATTGATGATGCATATTTATTGTTCACATTATGGGTGAAAAATAATTTAAAAAAGAGAAGATACAAGCTTACCTCACTATTTCGGTTTTGTATGAAAAACCGAACCGAATTATAATTCGGTTTGAACCGACCGAACCGAATTATAATTCGGTTTGAGGTTTGCTAGAATTCGGGGACCCGGTATGCATAATTTCGGTTCGGTTTGAACCGAACCGACCGAATGCCCACCCCTAGCTTGAATGGTCTTTTTCTTTCTTTTTCAGGTAACCTGTAATTCAATTAATTGGGGGACAAAGTTACATCATCCAGCCGTAGCTGATCGACAAGGAAAGTAGGTGGATTATCAAGCCACACTTCTCTGATATCCCAACTGGTCCCGTTATGGGCCATGATATGCGTTGAATTATTCGCCGAGTGCCTTACATGTTTTACACTTCCCGGGGATGGGGTATGCTCCTGTAGAAGGCGAGAGATCCGCTTGCAGATGACTCCAATCTCGGACTGCACATCCTGCGCCTGCACTACTTTCTCAACCAACGTCAAGCTGTCATCTTCAAGCTGGAAGCGATGGAAACCCAGCTGGTGCGCTAATTGGGCACCGAACTCTGCCGGCAGCGCTTCTGCCAATTCCACTCCAAAGGATCCTCGAATCTTTTTCGTTGCTGCAGCAAGAAAATGCCCCTGATGGTCTCATTAAACTGCTCCCAGGCCTATCCCATCATTAGCCAAAAGGCCGGCATCCGTATTAATCTTGATCCACCCTTCCGCCGGTCTCTCCCATCATTCTGCCTGCGCGTCACCCACTAATGCTTCCTCGTGGCCTTGGTTCTTCCTATAGTCATCAAGAATTGAGAGTGCGCGCTGCAAAATCTCGTCCTCAGGCCATTTGGGCCCATTAAATAGCTGTGCATTTCGTTCCTTCCATATTGCCCACAGTACCATAGCCAACGATTCCGCAATGTCCGAGTTCTCATGCTTCATCACTTCCGCCACCCATTTCATGCAGTCCGCCGATCCATGCACAGTAAACACGCTTTCCCACGGCGATCCTCTCCATAATCGGCTGCTCCAGCTGCACTCGAGGAAGAGATGGTGTTGGGTTTCCTTTTGGTCACAGAACGGACATTCATCACTCCGTTGTGGATTCTTTGTTACCACTTTCACTCCTGTTGGGAAAATATCCCTAGAGAACTTCCATAAAAAATGACGAACTTTGAGAGGAACTTTCATGGTCCAAATAGCCTTCCAGAATTTCTCATCACCCCGCGGACCAATCCCCTCCTCCTGTATAAATCTTGCTAGCCATTGCTTGTACCCACTCTTAACAGAATAGCGGCCATCATCACTATGACGCCAAACAAGGTGATCTTGCTCCTCACTCCCCCGAAGAGGAATGGCCATTATAGTATGCACAGTCGGGGCGGGAAAGCAATTATGAAGCAAATCAAAGTC